CCTCTTCAGGCAAATTAAATCGAACCTTTCCTTTTTCCTTCTGCCTCGTTAGGTTTAAAATGACGCATAAAGGCCTTAATTAATTATAAAGTTCTAAAACTATTCCATCGCTAGCAAACTTTGAAAAATGTGCAGGACTTAACCAGATATCTTCGAAAGATAACTACCTCTTTATCCAGCATTGATCGGTAAAAAAAAGTTTCATCTGATATAATACAAATATGTAATCTCTCTTTTTAATGCATTAGGAGAATAGATTAATCATACAAAACTACAGTGAGATTGAAATTCAGAAAAGCTATCAGAAAAAATCTTTCCAAAAATAAATTATCCTCCATTGATGTTGTAGGCACTTTACTGTCAATCTTTAGTGATGGAGTTTCATATCTATTGAATCAGTAACTAATTGGGGTTAGCTTCTTCAAGAATGCTAGTCGTACATAGGAATATTCCAAAGAATCTAAGAATCTTGGAATCTTTGACCCAGTCAATTCTTGGAACAATTTTGCCTCTTAAACTCAAGAAGCATTAGTAGCTTCTTACCAGATTGTTGGGTTGGAAAATATCTGTATCTTGACTTGGGTTTTTTTGCTTTTTTCTTTGTTGGGTTTTTTGGCTCTTCGGTTTTGTTGATGTTGCAAGTATTTGCTTATTAAGCTTTCCCCATTTGGCATTACCATTTATATATGTGCTGTCTGTAATGCTTCTAAGATTAGTAAGGGAGAGAGAGAGAGAGATGAGATGAAATGTTCGATGGCATGTTTATTTTTCTTCATGGCTTTTTCTGCTAATGCAAGGATTTTTTATAGGGGAAGGTACAGGTGAGTAAGACAACTAAGCTTCTAAGAAGCAAAGGATATTATGGAGGAAGAAAACAAAATTGGAAAAACAAAAAAGATGACTGGAGGAAAGACTGTGTCCACAACCACATGTCAAGGCTAAAGGGTATTTTCCAAGTTTGGTAAGCACTTAGGTAACTTCTAAAATGGCTTGCACTATTACTAAATTCCTGCTTGAAATTTGGATATAACTAATTAAATTAATAATGTAAAAAAAAAGGTTTAGTGTTATGGTTGATTAAATTTCATATAATATAATCAAACAAGATTGAATTTAAGGTCATTAAGCGATTTCAATCCGCACAGAGTGATAACGACAAGTTTTTGATCCTCCGAGAAATACATCTTATGAAAGACAATTTTTAAACCTTACAGCTTGAAAAAATTTACACCTCAATGCTTAGTAAAAAATATAACTGATATGCAAAATTAATAAATATGCACTTGAGAGAAAAATTATAATAAAAATAATAATGTATCACATCAAGGTTTCAATATATGCATCCAAAACTGGTATAACTACATCAAGGTTCTATAGTTTTATAATTCAAATAATTTCAATTAGTTTTTTCCTTTCTTTCTTTTTTTCTCTTTTTAACCAACCACCGTGGTCGGGTTTAGTTTTTAATGCATCCACAATAAATTTACTATTTGGATCTATTCGACAAAAATTAAATTATTTTAAGTTATAAAGTCTAAACAGTAAATTGCTAATTTGAAAAAAGTTACTTATCAAATATAACTTTTAGTGATTTTGAACGAACACATGTTTTTAACTTTTTTTTCTAAATTATGTGAATCGGAATTTCACGTTTTATCACGTTTTATAAAAATTTCTAAAATGCTTTCAACAACTAATAAAAGTTATATTCAAATCTAAATTTATCCAATCTATAATTCTCCATAAATGAGATGCGTAACAAGAATCAACTTACATTTCTATGACAAAGACCTACAGCAAGTGTGTATGTATTTATTTAATCAGGGATTTGGAATTTTTGTGGTCAATTGTTATAAAATCACGTGCCACTAATTTAGCAGTAACGGTCCAAGTCCCTGTGTTTCAAGGTACTTGATCTAGCTTCTAAGAAAGAATATCATAACAATCATAACAAATCAAATTGTTAGAAAACTAAGAGGTATCTACACAATCCGTAAGAGTTTTAAAATTTTTGGAAAATGCCTAATTATTTTTGAAATTAGTATACCTTATTTGACAACCATTAAGGAAGCTTATTGACCATTCAACTCAGAACGCTTCTCGATAATACTATCATAAACAGATTTCTATATATATATAATATATATATAATATAACGCATGACTATGAAGTTCCATGAAAAAAATAAAAAGAAAATGTTACTATACTTTTTATTTGATCAATTTATTGCTCTTTGCGTTATTGGAGGTCCACACCTCATCGAATAGATTGAATATCCCATGATTGGGTTTTTGAATAAAGAGTCTTCTTTTCTTTTTTTCCCCTTTTTTTTTTTTTTTTTTTTTTTTTAGCGTAGATACTATACATATAATGTTATTATTTTACAATATTTTGCAGTTTGAACGACTTTAAATTCAACCCTTATCAATATACAATACATTAACTTTATATTACAAAATAATCGATATTTTAGACCATGTAGAAGGTATGAATTGGATGTCAATACATCACCGCCTTGCCTAAAAGAGTCTTCCTTTCAATTTCGTTTTCCCTTCCTCGATTGGATCTGAAAGTATCTGTAAGAAATTATATTGATTGAATCCATTTTGGCTTAAATAAAAAATAATTGCTTAATGGTAAGTGTATTTGGTGAATGTGACAACCTAAATTTAAGTTTAAATTCTTTTTTTTTCGTACTCAGAAATAAAAATTATAAAAGATAAATAGCTGCAAAAAAAAGTAAAATATTTGTTGGATCCATTTTTAATATTTTGAAATTCAAAATTTTATACAGGCAGAATAACTCCCCCTCAATCAAAAGCCATAAATATAAAAACAAAAATGATGATTTAATCCAAAATATAAAAATAGATTTTAATTTTATTCCAACGCATTTACAGGTTCAAACATATAATATATAATTATAACTATCCTTTTATCTAAAAAAAAACTTATCATTCATAATAATATAAGCCAATAAAACCAAAATTCCAAAGAAATTTTCAAAAATAGCTACGTAACTTTATTATTAACTAATAGTTTTTAAATTATATAAAATTCAAAACCCATACCATTAAATAATATAATAATCTGTCTATTTTTTCATTAAAAAATTAAAATTTTGAATTTTATAAAACCAATGTAAATTAATCCCCTCCTATGTTATCTAAGCACCATTGGACAAACTTATTTAAAAAAAAAAAAGTCAGGACAAAAAACTAAACTTCGAAATCTTGACCGTAGATAACTATCCCAATGGTGAATAATCTCAAGTTCCAGCTAGAGTATGATGAGATCGGGCACAGAGACGTTAAGGACATTTTTTCAGAAGAGAGAGAGAGAGAAGAACTTGGTTAGTAAAAATAGTAACCACGAATTGGCGCGAAACCAAAGGGAAGCAAAGCCGAACTCGGTGGCCCTCTCAAAGACCTGTCTTCAATACCACCAAAAAAAAGGACTCTGCTGCACTCCTCGAAATCTTTCCTTTTCCTTCTTTCGATCAAACATTTTTCCATTTTCGATCTGCATCCCTTTTCCTTTTCCCCTTTTTCAATTTCCATTTTTTCTTTTTTCTTTTTGAATCCTGTCCCCGCTGGTTGGTGATTGGTCATTTTGGTGTTTTTAGTCTCACTTGAATCCAGTTTTCAAGAAAACTGTGGTTATTGGTTCATGTTAGTTTTTCAAATGGCCATTATCAGTTGGGATTTTTGTGATCAAGCATGGTTGAATTTCTTAACAGTTCATGCAGATAGAACTTGAATTAGCCACCAGCGCGTTTGATTGATCAAATCCCCCTTAAAAATGGTACGTGAATTAATGCTTCAAATTCCATAATTTAACCAGTAGAACGCAGGTTAGACTGTTACATTTATAGGCTACAATTATTTCCAATAATAATAACAATTTTTCACGCTTTTTTAGTTTTAGGCATGATATAATTAATTTGGGATTTCCAATTTCTAATTCCTCAAATGAAAAACCAAATGATTTTTGATCATAAATGGCTCAAGTGGATCGACTACTTCGCCGACAATAAGGAAGATATTGTAAATTTGACTTAAGATATTTTGGGTAGAATTTGCCAATATTAACAAAATGCACCTCAAATGTTGTCGCGCCACTGTTTAAATAGTTTGGTATCCGTTTGGAAAGAGATTAGGATGGCATTCTCAAAGTGTTTGTGAAAATTTTTTCTGAAGAGTCAGCAGAGGAAGATGGATCACAGGCGAATTTTGACCAACAGCAAGAATAACATCAGTTCTTTAGTAGTATTCGCAATATTATTTTGATGAATCCACTATCATAGGTGTTTACCATATGGGAAATAGGTGTTTGTCAAGTTTTGATTCAGTTACAATATTAAGGTTAATAAGATTGAGGATGAGAAAATAATATATTTTCTTACGGATGGACACAAGTCGGGCATAATAGTGGTTTCAATTAAATCGCGAAGACTGTTTTAGCTTTTCATGGAATTGGCTACCTTTAATATTTGCATTCCAAGAGTGATTATTGGCTTCAATTCTAATTTGTTTCGTGTAGAAATGCCAAAATGCTTTAAGATAGCATAATAGCGCAAGCATTGGAAAAATATAGAGCGAATAAAAAACAACGATACTTTGGAGATGCTGGGGTGAAGCATTTGTAACTGCTTCTTTTCTTTGGGGAGGCTGAGTAAATCTTCTTGGTTGCAACTCAACAATTGAGCAGGAAAGAACATATATATAAACACTTTTGAGTATTGAAACAGAAATTGAGAAGGATTTTGCTCGAACTAATTGAACACCTCAGTTAGAGTTCAACGGATAGAATACATAAAGAAAATATCAAAGACGAATGATTTTTAAACAGAGCCTTAGAAGATCAAGTTAATTCCCATGTCATTGATAAAGGGATTTGCCCTGCTTCTTTAAATTTTGCTGTGGAAAGCCTATGCTGTTTAAACTGACCTCGGCATATTCTAAGCTATATAAGCATTTACATTGTTTGGTGTCCTTTCCATGTAGGGAACTACCGTGAATATCATTGAAGGTTTCTCAGCTCTTGGGTTGAAGACCCAGCACTGGCTTTGGATTGACGGACCAGGTAAATGTAAAGATTACTGGAAAGAATGTTGAGATTGAGACAACAGATGGAAAGAAGAAATTACGGCAACCCTTATCAAAACTATATCCAAAAGATATGGAAGCACCTGGCCAGGTGGCGTTGATGACATCGACAAAGCTTTCTTTTATTTGCATGAGCCTGAGTTCTGCAGAATCTAAAAATCAAGAATCATCGAAACTCAATGAAATCTTACTGTAAGCTTTCTATTTTCTTAATATTTTATAGCATAACACATAAACGATCCAAAAAGAAAAAGGAGAAAACTCTTTACTTTCTCCCTCTGATTGTCTGTGAAATAATATGTAATCTATCTCGATTCCAATTCCAGACATACACTGGGAAATCTCGCTTATTGCCAATTAAATCCATTTAACGACTGCCTCATATCTATGATGGTCCCACACTGATGGGCGCAACAATACACGCGGAGCACCATTTGGTGAGCTAAGTCCTCATGTTTTTGCAGTTGCTGATGTTGGTAGCAGGTTTTTCCCATATTCCCATACTATGAGCTTATAGCAATTACTTTCTTTTATTCTATGAATGGCTCAAGGGTAATGGCTTTTACCAACCCTACCTCAGGGCAATGGTCAACCTCGAGAGCAACAAGGCACATTTCATATTGGGTCAGTGGTGAAAGTGGTGCAGGTAAAACTGAGCACGACGAAAATGCTTATGAGGTATCTTGCCTTTTTAGGTGGTCGAGCTGCTACTGAGGAAGGACTGTTGAACAACAAGCTTCTCGAAGTATGTTTCAAAAAAGTTGGATTTGGTTCTACACTTTTGATGAAATCACCACTCAGTATTGTTTCTTATAGGTCGATGCTTCCTACCAGGTTTCTACCGCTAATGAAATTCTGACTTGACTTTCATAATTATCTGCAAAGTCAAATCCGGTCCTTGAAGCGCTTTTGGGAATGCTCACACACACTGTTAGCACACATAATACTCTCACGCGTGAGATCTTCTCCTCACCTCGCTCAAATAATATGATGTTTGATTATACGCTCTCCAGACGCAATGTGAAAGATAATATCCACAAAGTTGTTGCCACACTCGCGCTGTTTTGCCAATCTCCTAAGTTGTTAGGATATTTAACTGACATGTAATTCCTATATTAGCCTCTAAACATTTTATTTAGAGCCGCTTTCTACGCCTACATATGTTGGTCATTTGACATTGATGTCTCCCTCCTCATCCTCACATACTCCGGCTCCGCAAGTCGTTTTGGTAAATTTGTTGACGATCCAGTTTGATAAGCCAAGGAAGAATTCTCAGGAAGGCTGCCATCAGAACTTACCTTTTAGAAGAGATCTCGTGTCCTTGCCAAATTTCCTCGCACTCTCGCAGCCGGCGGCACACCTATCATGCTTCTTAACCTTCTTTGTGAGCCGCGCACCACAGGAGGCCTTTCAATTCTCTCTCACTGAAATTAGCAGCTTTAATCTGTAATTCTGATCCTTGGTAGTCTCTGGCAGATTTGAAGCTATTTTCTATTTGAATTGATTCTAAGCTGAGTTCATTGTTATTAACAGAGAAATTGAGAAGTATAAGTGGGGGAACCCAAAATCAATTTCATTTATCCTTAAGCCAGATCAAATTTGCTATGAACTAGTTTGGTGTAAGTGATGGCGCCATGACTACGCTTGGCCACAAGAAGAGGCTATGGATGTCGTTTGGAATAAAAGTGGCAAGGAAGGCAGGTATAGCTTGTGAAGCTTTTGAACATCGTAATCAATATGTCTGGCATCTTACTCTCTCTCTCTCTCTCTCTCTCTCAGGAGGCAATTTCAGAGTTGTCGGCTGCAATCGCTTCATCTTGGCTAATATTCTTGTTTGGGGGCGCAAGGGAAAGGACATGATTCCTCAGTTCGCAAAAGGATGAGGCAAGCCAAATTTCATCTTAAACATGAACAGCGGAGCTACTTCATGTATTAGTTCTGTTTTTCAGCATCATCAACATCGATGGTTCTCAAATAGGTTTGTGATCAAATAGATGGTGATTATATTTATAATTTTGTTTTTAATTTTAGGTGTGATGGCCATAGGCTTTTGGAAGATGCATTATGCAAGCGTGTTATATCACCCCTGAGGAGGTTATCAAAGCGAAGTCTTTGATTCCTCGCAAAGTTGCAGGCAGTTCAGCAGGGATGGTTTAGCTAAATACAATTTATTCACCTCTGTTTGCTGGTAATGGGTGTACAAGCACAAAACTGAGATGAAATTTATCAAGTCAGATTAGAATTTTGATAGTTGTTATAGTAGTTTCTAAAATTATTTCTGTCTGATTTATGTACACGGCTGGTGGATAAAATTAATAATTCATTGGACAAGATCCTAATTCAAATTGTCTGATTGGAGTCCTCTTGACATCTATGGTTTTGAAAGGCTTTATAGACTAATAGGCAAGGACTAAATCAAAATTATGTAACGCACATATAATTGAGTAAATTGCAGCAAACAAGCCATTAGATATTTGCATAGAAAATTTTGAAAATTGCTGACGAATTGTTCACTGTTGCTGCTGTGCAGTTTTGAGCAGTTCTGTATTATTTCACCAATGAGAAGTTGGGCAGCAGCGATTTTTCACCGTCAGCGTAACTATGACATAATTCTGGCCATCTTGCTCGGACTTCAATCAATCTTCCTTTTAAACTGAAGAGAGTTTCATATAATGACTTCAGCATGTATTCAAAATGGAACAAGAAGAATATACTAAAGAGCAGATTGATTGGAGGCCTACATTGAATTTGTTGATAATCAAGATGTTTTGGATCTTATAGAAAAGGTTATTCCTCTATGCTTCATATATAATGGCCATAATGTTTTGAATCACGTTATCCTATATTTTTGTTATTCCTAACTGTGATGTTTTGTTAATGTCGTCGTGCCTTAAACTACTTTGATGTGGTTTTTGGTTCATACTATTCTACTAGGCATTTGACTAGAGTATTTAGCATCATTTACATTGGTAATTTCTTACAGAAACCCTGGTGGAAAATAATTGCGCTCCCCCTTGCATGAAGCCTGGTAAATGTAATGTATTATTGCTTGTAAGCTATATTTTGATTTAACTTCTCAAAGAATGTTTGCTGGCATATAGCAATGTTACTATTTTAGATGCTTTTCCTCTTACTCATGTAGGCTAACCTATAAATTAAGTTACTTTAAGCTTTTAGCCGGAAGGATCAGATTAGTTTTTCTCATTCTTGCTTAAAACGCGCCTTGTTTGCTTCAGCATGTTCCCAAGTCGACCCATGACACATTCGGCAAAATCTCTTCTTTTGGGCAGCTTTATCAGAGCATTTCAAAAAGCACAGCGTTTTATCAAGCCGAATTGTCTCGAACAGATTTCGGCGCATTGCTCATTATGTTCTGGAGAGGTATGACTCCTAAAAGCATCATAGTTGGTGTATAAGTTGTGAACTGCTGTTACTCAATATTATCTTCCTCATAATTTTCTTTTGCAGGTCCTGTTATCAATCTGATCAATTTTATGGACAAGAAGGCAAGGACTATGTGGTTGGGCAGAACATCAGGAAATTGTTAGGTGCTTCCAAAATGTTCATTTGTTGGCAGCTTTTCCCTCCACTGTCCAGAAGAGACCAAGTAAAACGTTCAAAGTTCTTCTTGCTATTGGTTTCTCGTTTAAGGTAATTTTATATGTGAAAACCATTGGATTTTTTTTTTATTTTTATTTTTTATCTACAATAAAGTGTTGGTTGTGTAATTCAAGTTTTCCAACCATACCTCTTAATGTCATTTCTCATGCTGTGATGCTCGCCTTCTAGTCGCCAAAACCTGGAAACTACTCTCTATATTTCATTAAATATATGCAGGCTTCAACTAGCAACATTAATGGAGACATTAAATTCTACTGAACCTCACTATATCAGTATCGTGTAAAGCCAAAAGCAACTTACTTAAACCTGCCATAATTTGACGGAAATGTTAATATCATTGGGGCAAAATTGAATGGGCGGTGTAAGTACAGTTTTAGCCCTTATTTAAGTTAAGGGCTCATTTATGGGAAAGAAAATAGATTGGATTCTTTTCTTTTTTATTGGATCCCAAACTCAATGCTGGTTGTTCTTTAGGGTTCTTAGAGGGCTATGTAGAAAATTAGTTGCTGCTGGATACCCGACTCGCAGAAGGCTTTCTTTGTAATTCATAACAGATTTTGGGCTTCTTGGCTCCAGAGGTCTCTGAAGGAAAGTAAGTACTTTTTAAGGCTAAGCTGGGCAGTTTAAGAAGGACACTTATTGCAAAGCATGTTGGATCATTGAAAAAATGGATGCGCAGATTGAATTTGTTTTCTTGTACTTTTTCTGATTGAACTTGAATAGAAAAAATGAATTTATTTTTGTTGTGAATTCACTTGAGCAGCTATGATGAAAAGATTGCCTGCAGAAAAAGATTCTGGAAAAAGAAAGGGCTTCAAAAGGCTTTCAGGTAATGCTGGATGCTTCTTTTGCTGGCCTTTGACAATAGCTGCTAGGCTGATAATCTGTAAAAATCAATTATGGTAGTACGTCCTCTGGTATTAATTGGATTATGGATGAAATCAAACCTAAAATGGCCTGATTGATCACTACTTGTTTTAAAAGGTTCAATGAGTCGCAGTTATGTGTACTTGTGATAAAAGCCACTTACTCAATTTTGGCGCCTGAAATGGCTTTCAGATAGGGCAAAACGAAGGTATTCTTAAGAGCGGTCAGTAATGGCTGAAATTAGACGGCACGGAGAGCTGCAGGTACTCAGCAATGCAGCAAAAAACTATCCAGCGTCGTGTACGAACTCATTGTGCTTCGTAACGGATTTATTGCATTGCGGCGGCTACCAATATATTCTTCAGGCAGTATGCAAGGTAATGCATCATACACGTACAGTGACATTTTCTCATTTACCCTGCCAGAGTTAATTTCATTCATGTTGTTCTTAGTTTTTCCATCTTTAGTTGATTCTTTTCAAATTATCTTTTCTCAAATTCTAACCCTCAGTCTCACTATTTTGACTTCTTTTCACATGAATTTATATTTCTAGGCAGACTTTGCATGCAAACTTTAGAACCAATAAAAAAGGGAGGCAGCTGCTGTGAAAATTCAGAAGGCATGTAACGGCAAATATGAAATGCGCAGAAAAGCATTCAAAGAACCTCTCATTGTCTGTGCAACTTGTCTTAGCAAACAGGTTTAAGAGCGAAAGAAATGGCTGCCTCGTAAGAAATTCAGATTTAGGGCAAGGCAAACTAAAGCTGCAATCATCATTCGGTATCATTCTTTGAATGGGGCACTTATGTTGATTATACTTTACTTAATGGGCATGTGCAACTGTGCATGTGGTAATTCCTCTTTCACCTTGATTGGGGCAAATATTAGACTTCAATGGCGTTGTCGTAAAGCTGTTTCTTACTACAAGAGGCTCAAGAAAAGGAGGCAATTGTCTCACAACCAGATGGAGAAGGAAAGATCTGGCGAGTAAAGGAGCTTAAGGAAGCTGAACTGGTCAGTAAATTGGCTGGTCTTTTACCTAAATAAGGTTTTACATAATTTGCAGCTGTTAAGGGGCATTATTTTGTTATATCTATCAACTTTGAAGGGTGCATAAGTCATTGGAGCCAAAGTGAAGGGCAATCATCCAATGAGTGGAATTGTGTGTTACTAAGATAAGACAGCTAATCCGAGCTATACTTGTGTTTAAAGATACATTATATTGATTTGCCTCAAGAGTAACTGGAGGGCTTTATAGAGATGAAAAAGGTTTACAACAGCAAGAAAATCATGTCAAAAATTTAAGAAACATGGGGGGAATCGATGGTTGAACAGTCAATGCTTAAATTAAAAAAGGCCAGTTCTAACCATTAAAAGATTGTGTAGTTGCTAAAGACGACAAAACGAATTTGGAGAAAATTCTCGTATCTTCATGCTCTGTATCATATACATTTATACAAGAGATAGCCTACATCATTCCTAAATTGTAAGGCACATTCACATCCCCATATTTAGCATCGCCCAATAAATCCGCGCAGATTAAGCTATTAACCTACCAGAAATTATAGGCAAATTAGTAAAGATATAATACAATAATTAAAGCTGATCATTGACTCACTATACAGCTGTTATTGACACGCCACCTCTCCTCAAATTGACGCTGGTGAATCAAGCAGCATCATTTGTTTAGCGCAAAATTGATGTCGAGCAACAGTGAGGGGGCTTGGTCAGGATATCGGCGATCGTGGGTTTTTTTTTTTCCTTGTGTGTTGTAGAAATATATGGGAGGGCTGATTACGATTATTTCAAAACATTCTCGGATTGAATGCAGTCTATTTCTAATGTGTTTGGGTGCGCTCATGGTAGACTGAGATTAGCGAGCAAATCTGGATGGCAGCTAGTATTATCCGCCCATGCAGAGGAGTTGACCAGCTTGAGTATCAACCGCACATTCAGATAAAAACCACGCAACCATATTATTTCTGAGCATGTTGGGCAGACATTGCCCTATAACTTCGCGGCTTCAGTGGAAGACCTTGGAGACTCTGTCTTGTTTCTTGCATTTCCAAAGTACATTAGAGCTTCAGCCTAAATATACACAGCACCCGGTTGTAGGAACCGACGAGTTCGCGGGGCAACCGCCCAATCAGAGTCACTATAAGCAGCAAGAGCTAAAGGGAAGAGTTTACGCTGGAAAAACTAGACGCACCGATGTGGAGTTACTTATTTAGTACGGCGAATTATGCGTTTTCACAGCAACCATATGTAAGTGGCGTGGAGATGCCATGCAATTGACTCCCTCAAATTGACAGCAAAAGAGATATCGCGGTCTTGTTATTGTCCCCAGTAGATTAAGACTTCCAACAAGGCGCCGATATAATGTAGGATCCTGTAGGAACGTTCAGCCTCCGCTGCTTTACGAAATTTGACATTAAGCTTCCATAGGAGTAATCCACTGGTTTTTGTGTTTTGTTAACCGCAGCCAAGTGAATTAGTTCTTGATGTACTTGTGTTCGATTTACAAAGATTCCCTTGGTGCTTCTGTTGAAGCTTCTAATCGCCAGGAAATAAGTAAAGAGACCCTAAGATCTTTTGACCCTAGATCTTTCATGTGAAATGAAGCAGTTAAAGATGATTTCAATTGTTGAATGCAAACAGTATCACTACCAGTGATTAAAACATCATCCACATATACAAGTAACATAACTATGCCTTGAGTTGTCTTTTGGAAAAATAAAGAAGGATCATATTGACTCTGTTGGAAGGCGAGATCAAGCAAAGTTTGAAGAAATTTTGCAAACCAGGCACGAGGGGCTTGTTTCAACCCATACAGAGAACGTTGCAGTTGACATACCTCATTTGGACCAGTTTGCAATCCCTGTGGCGGACGCATAAAAACATTTTCTTTAAGATCCCCGTGAAGAAAGGCATTCTTAAACATCCATTTGATGTATAAGCCAGTCTTGAGAAAGGCTGCAAATAGCCAAAAATGTCAACAATTGTACGAACTGTAGTCATTTTCGCGACCGGAGCAAATGTTTCGTCATAGTCAATCCCATATTCCTGGCGATTTCCTAGCGCTACCAGATGAGCTTTACAACGTTCAAAAGAACCATCTGCTTTCAATTTGACAGTAAAAACCCATTTGGAACCAATGGGAGTGATTTCTGGTGGACACGGTTTAAGTTGCCAAGTCTGATTCTCTGCCAGAGCATCCAATTCATCTTGAATAGCTTTCTTCCAACAATCAGATTTAATTGCTTCTGAATATGACTTTGGTATGGCAATAGAAGACAAAGTAGCAACCATGGATGTATGAGATTCATTTTTTCTTTCTGGAGAGAAACCGTACCTGTCTGGGGCTCTGATGGTTTGAGCAGATCTTCTAAGTGGTGGAGGTGCAATGTCGAGCTCAGGTGGCAGAGGGGACCCAGGCGAAGCTTCAAGTGCCATTACTGTTGATGGAGTATCAGATTGTTGTTGAATTTGTCTATGAACAGGTCTTCTAGTATCCTATGAACAGTCTTCTAGTAATCACAATTCCAGGATGAAATCGGGTTAGGAAGAGAAGATTGGAAGGTGAGTCATTGAAGTTGTCTTCAAAAGATGGAAGCAGTGTATAAGAAGAGGTATTGGATGAGCCTTCAAAGGAAGAGTAAAATTTTTTGGTATCGAAAAAAATGACATTACGAGAAATACGAATTCGTTGGGTGGTTGGATCAAAACACTGAAAACCCTTTTGATTTGGTGCGTAGCCAAGAAAGACACATTTTATTGATTGTGGGGAAAGCTTGGTTCGTTCGTGAGATGGTAGAAGGACAAAACATACACATCCAAAAGGATTTAAATGTTTATAATTTGGTATGGTTTTATGAAGCAAAAAATATGGTGTTTGATTATTGAGAGTCTGTGAGGGAAGTCGATTTATGAGATGTATGGCAGTGGATAAGGCTTCAACCCAAAATTTTGGTGGAACAAATGATTCAATGAGCAAAGTTCGAACCACATCAAGTAAATGGCGATTTTTTGCGATTTTTTCGCTCAGCCACACCATTTTGCTGAGGGGTAATAATGGAACAACTTCGTTGAGATAGAAATCCCTTTTGATTGAAGAAAAACTTGGAATTTTTTGTGAACATGTATTCCCACCGAAATCAGAACGCAATATTTTATAGTCTTAGAATACTGATTTCCAATTAAGGCTAAAAATTTTTGGAAAAACATCAAAGACCTCTGATTTTGTCGCAAAAAAAATAGATCCAAGTGAAAGCGACATGTAATCATCAATGAGTTACAAAATTTTGTAAGATTATGAGAAATAACAGGTGAAATTCCCGCAAACATCACTATAGATTAAATCAAAAGATTTCCATTTTTATGAGTAGCATGAGATGGAAAAGGTAAGGTTTGCCCTTTTACCCATTTGCAACTAGAACAATTAAAATCAATATTTTTAAGACAAGGTTTAGTTCCCAATACACCAGACTTAAACAAAAGAGAAATAGTCTGATCATTAGGATGACCCCAACTTTCGTATGCCATAATGATATTCATCTGAAACTGAAGTAGTTAGAAAAAAGAAGACACACTAGCTGCCTTGCTGTTCTAAGGCATGCTGCGTCTTTTGACGTTGTTCCTCCCTAAGCAATTCACTCAAACAATCATCCAAAGATGGAATGTTAGTCCTAGCCAACAAATTGGATCTGACAATCTCAAATTCAGATCTGAGATTCATCAAAAAACGATCTCTTTGACTAGTTTGATGAAGGTTTATGACTGTCTCCAAAGATGCTTCAAGAATAGAAGCATATAAAATCTCAGTATATTCAGTCCACAAAGCAACAAAACCCGAATAATATTCCTGGATTGACAAATTTCCCTGCGTGTAAGTGGACACATCTTGCTCCAGTTGAAAATGCCTAGCTGAATTATCTTGAGCATACACTTTTTTTAGATACTCCCACATCGCTTTCATTGTTTTGAATGGTCTGAGGTTGACAGCAATGGAAGGATCCATTGTTTGCAACAACCAGCTTTTCACACGAGCATCTTTTGTTTCCCATTTAGCTATTTTAGTTGAATCCGTCGGCTTACTAGTCGAACCATCAACATGTCCCCATAAGTCTTTTCCCTGAACATAAATCTTGAATTGAAATTCCCAAGCAAAGTAATTCTTGCCTGTGAATTTGATGCAAGCAACAACGTCAGATTTTTCCATGATTAGAAAACCAAGATGATATAGAATGAAATATGAAAAAAGGAAAAAAAAAAAAAAAAAAAAAACAACACCAAATGAGAACTAGTCTCAGACAAGAAACACAAGAGAGGTTATTCGTAAGGCTCTGATAACCATAACAAAGACAAAAGAATTTGGAGAAAATTCTGTATCTCATGCTTCTGTATCATATACATTTATACAAGAGATAGCCTACAAATATTCCCTAAATTTAAGCACAATCAACATCCCATATTTACATCCCCAATAAATCCCCAGATTACAGCTATTAAATCCCAGATTACAGCTATTAAATACCAGAATTATAGCAAATTAGTAAAGATATATACAATAATTACAGCTGATATTGACTCACTATACAGCTGTTATTGACAGTTGCATAGTTTCAATATTTATATCTAATTACATTTGGAAATAGAAAGACTGGATAATGCAATATGTATTGATATGGAACCTACACCACTGCAGAACCACTGACTGCAGGGTTTGGTAGTCAACAAGAAGCCAAAAAGCTATTATGGAGGCCACAATATACTGTCATGCAGCATATCTTGCATGGTTTATGTTTCTTTCTAAAATGATTTGAACCTGCTTCAGATTAATGCTTCCTATTATAAATTGGAATACTGATGTATACCTCCAATTTTCTGCAGGAGGCAAGGGAAACAGGTGCACTAAAAGAGGCCAAAAATAAGCTCGAAAAACAAGTAGAGGAACTCACTTGGCGTGTACAATTGGAAAAACGTTTGAGGGTAACTTTTATTTTCTGTGGGTGGACATTATTCATTGAACAAGATATTGACATGTGCTTCTTGACTAATGAATTATATATTTAAATTTACAATAATTTAGTAGTATACCAGCGCAATATCAGTTGTCATGTCAATTTAGAAATCTAAAAGAAAATTATCCCCACTCCAACACACCTCAATTAATTTTCTGCTCCTTTTCAATCTGAAAAAAACTTGCTGCTGCTTGTTGATATAGTTAGATTATTACTTATGCCAAGTATTTAAATCATACATGCAGACTGACTTGGAAGAAGCAAAAGCGCAGGAGGCAATAAAGTTTCAGAATTCATTGGAAGAAATGCAAAAGAAGCTAGAAGAATCAAATGCCTTGCTGGTTAAGGAAAGAGAATCTGCAAGGAAGGCTATTGAAGAAGCACCTCCTGTTATTAAAGAAACTCAAGTACTTGTTGAAGATACAAAGCAAATTGAGTCTCTAACAGAAGAAGTGGAAAACCTAAAGGTAAGAAGGTTTGAGCAGTAATCTTCAATGCAGGAAGTCTCATACACTGGGGCACCATTTTTTGTTATCTAATTTTTGGAGATCTTATAGTAAAACCTGAGGCTTTCATGTCCATTAATTATGAAATGGAGCATTGTCGTAGCAGAAAACCTTTGAGACCCAAACTGTCAGACTTGACTCAGAACAATAACCAAAGAAGACTAATATTGAGTTCATAAATGGCCATAAAGATAATTGGATTTTTTATTGCAAATGGTATAAGCATACCTTATTGCTAAAGTTTATATAGCTGCCTGAGATAGAGGTATCCAGATGGCATTATATCCACTTAAGTTAACATGCTCAGAAACTTTATATTTATAATTCATAATCTACCAGAGTATGACTTAAGTTTGTAAACATTGTTTTAGTTCATTTTACATGCACTAGCTGTAGAATATTATCATCAGCACAGTTAAGTTTGATATTGGCCTTTCACATCCACAGGCATCATTGGATTCTGAGAGACAAAGAGCAGATGATAATGAGATAAGATTAAATGAAGCATATGAATCTAGCGAGGAAAAACGAAAAAAATTAGAAGATACAGAGAAAAAAGTTCAACAGCTTCAGGAATCTTTGCAGAGGTACTGTGTAACAAATCATTTCACATTTTCACTCACCTGTTTTATCTATATTATGTCAGCACCTTTTGTGCCAGAAACAATAGCTATTGAACTGTAAACTTTGTAAGTTAAACTAAGTGCATCTTTCTATGAGGAGAAAGTAACCACTATTAACAATTTTTCCTGTTTAAGTGACTAGCTCTTATACTTGTTGTGATTAGGCTAGAAGAGAAGCTTACCAATTTAGAATCAGAGAATCAAGTTCTGCGGCAACAAGCTGTGTCAATGGCACCCAATAAGTTCCTTTCAGGGCGCTCCCGATCAATTATGCAGGTACTTCCATTTGATGAATAATATGCTAGATTTGCAATTTCCACGCCCCCCCCCCCCCCCCCCTAGATTTTCAGCATTTCCACGCCCACTCCCCCGCCCCCCCCGCCCCCGGGCGCATGCCCAATAACCTAAGAGCTTGTATTCTTGTATTCGAGAGGACAGGAGGGCTTGAAAGTCAGACAATTCCAGTTAGAATACAAGAGTCAGTTTGGTCCCCCCCCCCCCCCCCCGGGCCATGCCCAATAACCTAAGAGCTTTTTTGTTTTCATGATGATTGACAGAGGGCTGAAAGTCACATTCCAGTAGATACAAAGTCAGGTTTGGTAAGTTTAGCTTATTTAAATGCACACGTAGCCCCAGATAAAGAACCAGAATTTTCCAAATTTCAGAAGCTGAAATTTTTTTGATGTTGTCACCTGATTAAATGAATCAGGATCTGCATAGTGCTTCACTAAACCACAGGGAACTGGCTGAAGTAGATGACAAACCTCAAAAGTCACTAAATGAGAAACAACAAGAGAACCAGGAATTGCTTATTCGATGTATTGCACAACACCTAGGCTTTTCAGCAAACAGACCTATTGCTGCCTGTATCATATACAAATGCCTTCTACAGTGGCGATCATTTGAAGTTGAACGTACTAGTGTCTTTGATCGGATAATTCAGACCATAGGCCATGCTATTGAGGTTTAAATGCCAAAACTTCCATGCTACAATCAACATCAAAAACTTTTTTCTTTCTCCTTCTCAGAAGTTGCCTCTTTTAACATATTATTGCAACTTGGATATCAGACCCAGGATAACAATGATGTATTGGCTTATTGGTTATCCAATGCATCAACACTTCTCTTGCTACTCCAGCGCACATTGAAGGCAAGTGGTGCTGCAGGAATGGCTCCACAGCGTCGCCGATCATCATCAGCTACTCTTTTTGGAAGAATGACACAGGTAAGTATAAGGGCACCTCATTGAATCATAACACCAAATTGCATTCTTGAACTAATTCAGGTGTCTCCTGTTACCCTCTGTTCAGAGTTTCCGTGGAGCTCCCCAAGGAGTCAATCTTTCCTTAATCAATGGTGGCATCAATGGAGGAGTGGATACTTTGCGGCAAGTTGAAGCCAAGTACCCGGCTTTGCTTTTCAAACAGCAGCTTACAGCATATGTAGAAAAGATTTATGGAATGATTCGAGATAATCTGAAGAAAGAAATTTCTCCTTTGCTAGGGTTGTGCATCCAGGTACATTATAAGCAATACACATCACAGAATTGCTAAATTGTTATGTGAAACTGTTACTGTTTTACTAATAGGTTTTAATTCCTTGTTAAGATAACTTTCTGTTTGAAATATGATTGACAAAGGCACCAAGAACATCCAGAGCAAGCCTAGTTAAGGGAGTGCGTTCAGTTGCTAATACTGCAGCCCAGCAAGCTTTGATTGCTCACTGGCAAGGGATTGTGAAGAGCCTTGGAAACTTCTTGAACACTTTGAAAGCAAATCATGTAAGTGAGATCTCTCCGTTTCGTCCCTTCAACTTAACTTTAGTGTTTTCGGCCTCACTATTATTCTGGGAATACCGGAAGGTTGTGACTTGCATCTCAAGCCAACTAGCTTTTCCTCTGTATGTTTTTATGAAAACAAGAAGAAATGATGGAGGGTTGACTTCATGGGACCTATGGGTCTGATCAGCCACCATTTCATTTTCTTCTCCCAGCTTTTCTGTCACTTGTACAAGGATGGCTACAAGAAACTGAACTTCTCTTTCTAACTTGTTAAACAGGAACTCTTGTTCTTTCATTTTACTTTCACTTCTGCCCTTCCATATAATATTTGATCAACTAAAGTTTCATTTTCTTTAATTGATCATTTTCCTGTATTCATATTATCTTTCTGCACATCAAGTGAAGTCTCTCTTGAAATAAAAATATATTTCCAACTTATTTTCTCCATTTTTATGCGATTCCTTTTCCAGGTACCCCCCTTCTTAGTTCGTAAGGTGTTCACACAAATATTTTCCTTCATCAATGTTCAACTATTTAACAGGTAATCATTCTGCGCTCCTATTTTCAGCTGCTGTTTGAGTTCCAATGATAGATTGATTAACAATTTTCTTATTAATTTTCCTACACTCTTCCCCTATCTCCTCCTTTGCAGTCTTCTATTGAGGCGAGAGTGTTGTTCATTTAGTAATGGTGAATATGTTAAAGCCGGATTGGCTGAATTGGAACATTGGTGTTACAAAGCAACAGATGAGGTTAGTCATCCACCCATTACATTTTCAGCTTGTAACATAAATATTTACTAACCAAAAATTATAAATGCAGTATGCAGGTTCATCATGGGATGAGCTGAAGCATATCAGACAAGCTATTGGGTTTCTGGTATATTTCATTTTCCGCCATCGCATATTGCAACAATGAAAATGGAAAAACAGTGATGCGATGAAATTTTTGTTGCAGGTCATACATCAAAAACCAAAGAAAACACTGGATGAAATAAGTCATGACCTGTGTCCAGTGAGTGATGCATATGAAAGGACATTGGAGTACACATAATATCTAGTTTGCTAAATTACAACTAAGTTAATTGTTCTTTTTACAGGTTCTCAGTATACAGCAGCTATACCGAATTAGTACAATGTACTGGGATGACAAGTACGGGACACACAGTGTGTCCTCAGATGTAAGCTTTTAGTAATTTCATTACACGAACTCTGTTCCATATGCTGAGCTTTACTGTACAATTTTTTTTTCTTCTCTAGGTTATATCCAATATGAGAGTGTTGATGACAGAAGATTCAAATAATGCAGTTAGTAGTTCTTTCCTGTTAGATGATGATTCAAGGTTGAGCTTCTCCTCCATTGGTTTCTTGAATTTAAATAATAATATTATTATTTTAACTCAAAAAGGTTTGTTCTGTTGCAGCATTCCGTTTTCAGTTGATGACTTATCCAAGTCAATGGAACAAATTGACATTTCTGACATTGAACCACCACCTCTAATTCGAGAGAATTCAGGTTTCAGTTTCTTGCTGCCGCGTGCGGATTAGACATGAAAATAGCAGAAATGGATGATGCTGATGCATGGATTATCTCTCTCGTTTCTTTACCTATAAAGAAAGATGTGACTCGCAAGGCAATTCAATTTTGGAGTGTCATTGTGGAGTTTTTCCACTATTGATTTTGCATTACAGTAGACTTTCTTTTCTTCTTTTTGATATCTTTTTTGGGTTAATGGTAGTAGATAGTTTTGCTTCATAGAAAGGGATGACATTTCTCCCTTATCAATATAATGAAACATGAAACAATTCCTTTTTTTTTTTTTTTTTTTTTTTTTTTTTTTTTCTTTCTTTTCTCTTCTTTTTTGATATCTTTTTTGGTTAATGGTAGTAGAGTAGTTTTTGCTTCATAGAAAAGCGGATGACATTTTCTTCGCCAGTTACTGCAATATAGATGAAACCATGAAACAATTTCCTTTTTTTTTTTTTTTTTTTTTTTTGTTTTTTGTTGTTTGTTACAAGTAGCTTCATACTTTCCTTAGAAGGGTAAGAAAAAAGAAATAAAAGCATAGCATAATTGTTGTCGCCGATCGGAATTATTGAACGATTTCTTTTCACTCCCCAAGGACGGAGCGAATGACCCCGAGGAGGAAAAAAAAAAAAAAAAAAAGGAAGGATTAGAATCGGAAGAATTGGGGAAGGAGAAGACACAATCAACCACATACCCGGACACAAAAGATTTGTTAAGATGACGAATGATAAGGTGAGACCCCATGATCCTAACACGAATTATGGTAAAAGAAAAAATGGAATAAAATACAAAAAAGCCCAGTAATCATTGGTTTTCTTTTCTAATCTAAAGATGTAAGGGGGTGTGAGGTTAGTGTCCTTATCCTTAATGCGATACAATGGTAATTGAAAGAACGAAGAATAGCAATGGTTGAATTAGGTATTGATTGCCGAGAAAATATGATAGGTTTTGGAGAACCCAGTTATAGATACTCTCACTCTGTTCCGAGACTGGTGCGGAAAAAAAAAAAAAAAAAAGAAGGATGTAGAATTCGGAAATGGGGAAGGAGAAACACAATCACCACAACCGGACACAAAATTTGTTAAATACGATGATAAGGTGAGACCCATGATCCTAACACAATTATGGTAAGAAAAATGAATAAAATAAAAAAGCATACATTGTTTTCTAATCTAAAAAATGTAAGGGTGTGAGTTCAGTGTCCTTATCCTTAATGCCATACAATGGTAATTAAAGACGAAAATAGCATGTTGAATAGTATTGATCCGAAAAATATGATAGTGGAGACCAGGTATAATACTCTCCTCTGTCCCGAGACTGGTGCGGAAACGAGCACTAGTGAGCTAAAATGCAGACATTATATTCTATCAAGAGGGGCTAATGTCTCCATGAAAAAGAAGCTCTGTAGATACTGCAGGGCCATGCTTATAATGCATATCTCTCCGCAAGTGAAGAACTCGTTAGAATCCGTAAATTAGTAATTAAGTTTTGCGTGAACCTAGTCATTGAATAGCATGAAAATTTCAAAAGAAATACTACTAGCCTCTACCATTATCTGTAACCCACTCACTCGTTTCCGCTGGAGGAGAAAACTTTTCCTTCCTATGTAAGAAAAACTTTCTTTTTAAAAAGTTTCCGTCTGACGTCAACACCTCTTTCGCAAAGTCCACAGGACAGCTACTCCAAAACTCACATGAAAATGTCCATTCTAGTTTCATAACCGCTTCAAGTTAAACGAGGGCAAGCCCATTAGGGGGGTTTTAGTGTTAATATGAGTCGTAGTTTACTTAGACAGTAGACGACAGGTAGTTTATTTGCTCGTTCGACCGGCGGTCTGGTTCGATCCACTCCTAATCATATTTTTCATGAGGGTCAGAAGGGGCTGTGATTCAAAACTAGCTGAAGTTTGAAGCTATGCGTTTACGCAGATCGGATCGCTATGTTGTGAATAAACGACGGAGGAAAATTTTTGACAAATTGCGACTGGAAGAAGTATAATTAAATCGAATATCATGTGGTTCGAGATTTTCAATTCTAAAATGGCAGTTTGGCTGTTGTTGATGCTTCTGGGTTCGAACTTTGTCAGCAATTCAATTGCTTATACTTCGCATTCCTCTTCAACTGACACCACCATGCACACCAACAACTGGGCTGTCTTGGTCTGCACTTCTCGCTTCTGGTAATTAATTCAGTACCCATTTGTTAGATTTTATGAAGTCCCTAACTATGTTGGGATTTTATCTTTTCTTGCTTTTTGGCATTTCTGTGTTTATTTCCTTTCCTGATTTCGTGAAGTTTATTAGTTGAATTGGATTTTGTCACTTTCTTTTTTCAGGTTTAATTACCGGCACATGGCTAATACTTTATCTTTGTATAGGTAAGCATTTGACTTTTCTCTGGAATTTTTTCTTTGACTAGCTTTCCCATTTCTTTTCCTGTGTAAATTTATGTATGCGTGTTTTGTCTATGTATGTATGATACTCTTTGTTTTTGTGGTTTTGCAGGACAGTTAAGAGACTAGGAATACCTGATGAGAGGATAATACTTATGTTGGCTGATGATATGGCTTGCAATGCTAGGAATAAGTACCCTGCCCAAGTCTTTAACAATGAGAATCACAGACTTAACTTATATGGAGATAATGTTGAGGTCAGTTTTCGGGTATCCATTAGGCTTCTGTGCCCTTTTAAGCTGTATATGCAACTCGTGTAAATGGCTTTGGGCAATACATTGAGAAAGAACAAATGGAGAATGGCACCTCATCAAGAAAGGAATTCTTCAATATTCTTGCCAACAAATCATGTGATTTCTAGTTTGCTATCTTTATAACTGAAATCTAAAGATGTTAACAAAATTTAGTGTTCAATTGATTACTCATCTCTACAATGGTGAGAAGCCTTAGATTAATTTATTTATATGATATGCAATGACTAGATGAAAAAACAGCATTTTATCATAACTCCTTATTTCTTCATAACATATTTATTATACCTAATTCTCTTATCCAATATCAGTACATTGGAGAGGAACATTTTATTGTTTTGAATCAAATGGTAGTTGAAAGGCTTTTGAAGTTTGTGTTTTCTCTAGGAGACACTGATTTTGTTGAGCTGCAATCAATCAGGTTGACTATCGAGGTTATGAAGTGACAGTTGAAAATTTTTTGCGGGTTTTGACTGGGCGCCATGCTACTGCTGTTCCAAGATCAAAACGTCTTTTAAGTGATGAAGGAAGTCATATCCTCCTGTATATGACTGGACATGGAGGAGATGAATTCTTAAAATTTCAGGATTCTGAAGAGCTCCAAAGTCATGATTTAGCTGATGCTGTGAAACAAATGAAGGAAAAGCATAGGTGAGATGCTTTTTAACTTTGTGCTTATTAGCTCAGAAGTTGAAAATTCTTTGTAGATCCATTGTAAAAGATAAATGAAATAGTTTGTGGATGTTATAATTAATTCTAGTTCTAACATTTTGCTTGGACTAGCTTTGACTTCTTCTTGAGACAAAAACCAGCACCAGACTAATACAATTTGATTGGATCTTTTCTATGAGGAAAAGAAAAATCTAGAATCATAATTGTAATATTTAGTTGATTACCACAGTTCTTTTATATTAATGTTGATATTCGTGATCACTATAGGAACATGAGCTCACAATCATGCTGAATGTGATATATCTAGGTTCAAGGAATTGTTGATAATGGTGGATACGTGCCAAGCTGCCACTCTATTCAATCAGGTACCACTGTTATTCTAGATAGGGATGGTTTTGTTCTTGACTTTTTTTCCTGAACCTTTTTCAAGTTAATTTTATTGCATATCTTCAGTTATATGTCAACTAGCTGAGTTCATTTTAGACTTGACTAGTCAATGCAGTTTCTGCAATAGAAAAATTAAAATAAACTAGAAAAACATATTTCTCATTAAACAAACTCATTTCTGCCACTCGTCGATGGCGACTAATATATGCCACATGAAATGAGAGGGTAGATTTTCATTCTGATGCAAAGATATGGTTTTTTCAGCTTCATTCACCTGGTGTTTTGGCTATTGGAAGTAGCATGAAAGGAGAGAATTCATACTCGCATCACTTGGACTCTGATGTAAGCATGCAGCGATTGCTTTCTCATTTAGTGCTCCCTTAACTTATGTTGACCTTGGATGCTTTTCATTTTGTATCGTACCATTCAATTTTCCTTCACTTCCAAGTTTTATGTTGCCATTTATATTGTACAGGTTGGTGTTTCTGTTGTGGATCGTTTTACATTCTACACCCTTGCATTCTTTGAGAGGCTAAATATGTATGACAATGCCTCATTGAGCAGGTATATTTAAATGGCATGATACTTCTAAATTAAGTTGCTGATGGCATGTTTAAATGTACTTTCTGGTGCTGCAACAACCTTTTATGTTTATCCTGTACATACTGGTTAGTTAACTGAGTTTTACGCTGGTCTTCTTGTGCTTTAGTTTAAAACTTAACAAAAGTATATGGAAAGATTGTCATTATCAGACCAAGAATGAGAATAGGAAACAGAGGTTCCCAATATCCTTCCAACTAGCAGTCAAGGTTATCACTTGTCAAAATTTTCTGTAATTCTTTTCAGCTGGTACAAGCGTGGCCAGAACTGATGTGAGGTATTACATGCAATCATAAAAGTGAGTTATACAATCCAATTATACAGGAAAACGAGCCTATTCAAATATGCTGTCATGATCTGCTAATTCATCTATGATGTGTATTAGATTAGATCTAATTAACATTTCATTGGGTGGGGGAAAAATAATTCAGTTTGAAGTGTTTTGTTTCGTCATAGTGGAATTTTTCACTTGTGTGCATATTTACATTGATGATGAACTCAATTCTCTGGTAATTTATTTTGCAGCCTTTTTTCGTCATATGATCCAAATACACTGATGTCGACTGCATATTACCGAACCGATATATACCAACGACGTTTGGAGCAGGTATTCAAGTGCTAGGCTAGAACCAGTATACAGAAATTTTTATAAAGCTTGCTTGTATTTACTGTCAGCAGTCATGCAAGTTTAGTCGCCCTAAACTGTCATCTTTCAACCAGTAGCAATTAGCTTTCTGTGGATTTTTCCACTAAACTAAATTTCCTGCAATTTCATTTCATGTTACAGCTCTCTAGAGAATCTATAATTCTTAATATGGTATTCGTTTTCTGTTCCTAGTATACAAACTTCAAGGTTGGTACTCATAATATGTATCTGGTTGCAGTACGCTATAACATTTGAAACACGTACACCTTCTCCTAAGCCAAACTAAGGCACAGCCAATGTTTGTTTTTCATGCGTTTGTTGAAACCAATTGCTTAGCTGAATCAATACTGATGGACTAGAAACAATTGATGACTAATTTTTGCGTTTCTGTCTTATTTAGGTACCTGTGACGAACTTTTTTGGTTCTGTCATGGAAACTATACATACTGACTCTGCTTATCAAGTCCACCAAAGAAAAAACACTGATCTAGCTGAAAATAAGACACCTTTGGAGAAATCAGTTCATCATGGAGAGAGTACTTCGATAAATTATGTTCCGGATCAAATTAGTGATGTCAAGACCAAGGTAAGTATCTCACGTACCACGTATGATAATGTACATAAGTTATTATTTTATGCATGATTATCTCTAAAAGTGTAAGAGACAAATGCTGCAGGGTCAGGTTTGCCCTTTTACACAAATGTGGAGTGATCTCAACCGCGAGATGGAAAAAATTGGACATGTTGATTTGTTGGTGAATTATGGTTTGGTATTGATGCTTCCTTTGTTGATAGTTTCTGCATGGCTGTCATCATGAAGAATTAATTGTAGCTGATACTGTTTCATCATCTCCATCTAGGAACTGTTCTGCCTGCCAAATTTTTTGGTTCGCAGTTCATGACTCCATATCTGCTGATATACAATTAGATTGATACATGTGTCGTTTTTTTTCTTTGATACAATGTTTGATAAGCTGTAATAGAATGTAATGCAATCAAATACATAAAAACATCGAGAAGGATCTGAATTGAAGTTGCAACAATTGAGAGAGATTTTTTGCGAGTTTTGTGCTTATCTTGGATAATCCTTCTACCTCTCTTGTTAAAGGTTGCTCTTTGGCTCAAGTACAATCAACTTTTTTTCTTCTACTGTTTGCTGCAGACATACCAATCTTGATTGAAAATTAATGAATCCGTGTTTTTGTTTTGCATGCCAATCTCATTTCTTTTTGCATGAGGGAACATCATTTTAAATTTTGAAAAATTTTACTAATTTTCTGAATATTTTTATTTCTTTTTTCACATTTTTTATTTTATTTGATAATCTAAGAGATAAGTACCCAATATAAATATAATAAGCTTTGGAGTGAACATTTAACTTGATGCAAAATTTAGCTGCGATGCCTCATCTCGTCTGTCCAAAAACTTTAGGTTATGTTTGATTTGTTTTAGAATTATGAATGAAATAAATACAGTTTTCGGTTTATAATTTCATTTTCTTTGTTTTATTAATAATATATTTAATTACTTTTATTATAACTAACAAGTATATTATTAAACAGGTTGTAAGGTAAGTTTTGCTCGAAATGTTGTTAAACTATTTAGTCATTTTTATTCAAAAAAAATATATATTTAACTGTGAAATGGCTTGTACTATTTGATTATTTACTATTTAGCCATTTACATTTAAAATAATACTGCTTACTATTTAATCCCTCGTATAATTATTAAAATTACACTTTTTAGATACAGAAATTACTTGTCAAAAAAAATTTAAATTACTGTTAAACTTTAAGGATAAATTAGTAACTTTGTCAAATAGTAAGGACGTGATAATAATTGTTGAGCTCAAAAGACTCGATAGTTAATTACCGTTTAAACAAAGCACGCATGCCTAATTTATATTAAAAAACTTACAAACGAAACGCATTTCTAAGTTAATTACTTCAGAAAAACGATGATGGCGATTTCGATTTCTTGGAGGATTTGCAGATTAGTTTCTAATTCTAACATTTCTACTCTCCAGGGGCAAATTAGGAATAGTAAGATAGTAAGTTGGGCTGTGAGCTCAACAATGGAAGCGCATACATAATTATCTGTCAGGTGAGGCCCACCATTCTCTAATCAACCCTTCCTCTATCCTTCTAAATGTTGCAGAATGATTTTTGATTATTGAAACCCCGTGAAGAAGAAGCAGCAGCAGCTAATAGATCATGATGCGATACAAAGAGGTAATCACTAATCAATCTTTCTATCTATCTATTTGCATGCACATGCGTTTAATTCTGATGCAAAGACTGTAATTTGTTATTGTTAAATTCTTATACTATATACCAGATCTTGGATTTTGCAAATCCATGACTGCCCATTTTAATATGGTATATACTGTATAGGAAAAAGAGGTAAAGAAGGAAGCGTTCAGGAAATATCTTGAATCCGGTGGAGTTCTTGATGCTCTCACCAAAGGTATCTCCGATTCAGTTTTTTATTCCATTTGACTTTTTTTTTTTTTTTTTATATATCTTCTCTGTCAGAAATTTTGTTCTACTGATTTTTCTTTTATTTTGTCGCTTTGGTAGTTCTTGTTTCACTCTATGAGCAAAATGAGAAACCTTCTTCTGCCCTAGAGTAAGTTTTCATTTCTTTGTATGCATATCCGCAGTAATGTATTCTCTAGCTATTAAATATAATGTACAAAAGTGGGTACGAATTATTGTTGATTTTCGTAGTGTTTGATTATATCTCTAAATTGAAAATGAAAATACAATTCCTTTTGTTCCAACCTATTCTCTTTGTTCAGGGAAGTCTCCTGATATATATCCTCTGGTTTCTTTATAAGATTTGGGAATATTTTTTTCCTACAATGTTTATGTTTTGTATGACAACAAAAGTAAGGACCTTGCAACTATCTTCCAGACTTCCATACTGGCTTTTTTTTCTTTTTTTATCAGAGAAATTCTTATTGAGACTAAGGTATAGCAAGCTAAATAAAACCAATTGGCTTAACTTCAGCGACATGATTTATCTTCCATGTTAGCTTTGGAGTAGCCATGTTGTATTCTAATAGTCTTATTCAATATTCATTTGCATGCAGTGGATTGGGTGCTTGATCAAACTTCAAACTGAAGAATTGTGATTTAGTTGCATCTAAAATTGGAGAAATTTGAGGAATACTTAATTGAATTATACCAATTAAAACTCAAGTTATTTGATTTGGGTTGCATGGTTTCTTCAACCACGTCAGCTTTCAAGTAGGCTTTTACGTTAATTAGCTAGGCAAATGGTCATGTGATAGACTGGGTTTATCTCAGAAATTAGTGCATTATTCTCCCATTATTTTGGTTCAATGTTGTGAATGCACAGGATGCTTGCTAACTTTGATGTTGCTAAACATGCATTTGTTTTGAGTTTTGACAGATTTATTCAACAAAAATTAGGTGGCCCAAGTTTGTCGGAGTATGAAAAGCTGCAAGCTGAAATTTCAGATTTGCAAATGAAGTATAATGATCTGTTGGCTGCACATCAGGAAACTTGCAAAGAGGTTAGATCATCAGGTTCAACTTCCTTCAAAGAAATAAATTGCTACTCAATTATGCTAGTTGGGTGTTTCAAAATCTGTTCAATTAATTTAAATAAATCCCTTTCTTGAATCATGATTTTGCTCATTCTCAATTCTAACTTTAGCAGTCTATTGATAAACTGCTGGCATAAGCTAGACATCTTTCTAAATTTGACTATATTAATTAATATCATTCACATTTGTTACAATTCATTGTTAAGAATTTTATACTTGTTCTTGCAAAGTTACTTCCCAGTTCCGAGTAAGCTTGCCATTATGATTTTCTCTATACCAAAAACAAAAAAGGCAATACAGTGTCTGATATCATTGAAGCAATCCATTCATTACTTTTCTCTCGAAAATGAATTTACTTCTTTAATTTTTTTCATAATGGATTAATACTGTAACTCGGTGACCATCTTATCAAATACTCAATGCAAAGCTATTTGAATTGTTCATCGTTTCTGTATTTGAATTGCATATCCCCCTTTGGCTATTAATCATACCTGATCTTATGTTTTGTTGCAGTTGGAGGAACTTAAGAACTCACATAATGTAACATCCACTACAGAAACCAGCAATGGGGAAGCACCAAAGGATGAACTCTGAACTCTGGTGTCCTTGTAATGCAAAAAGTCAAAAGTTCAGAATACCTGATCTGAATTGGAATACTCCTGGATGCAAATATCAGAAGGAAAAAAAAAAAAAAAATTTATATCCTGTGAGAGTTTAATTTAATTCTATGACTATTATTTTTTGGGATTCTCTTTTCATTGACAAAGAGTATATATATATATATATATATATTTTTTAGGAGTTTAATTTTAATTCTATGACTATTATTTTTTGGGATTCTCTTTCATTTGGACAAATGAGTATTATATATTATATATATATATTTTTTTTTTTGCATTAGTTTTGTTAATTTATTGCATTATTTTAGTTATTGTTTAGAAAAAAGAAAAAGAAGAACAAAGATTTTTTGCATTAGTTTTGTAATATTGCATATTTTTTAAGTTATTTTTGTAGAAAAAGAAAAAGAAGAACAAAGATAATAAAAGTAAACATTTGAGGACTAAAAGAGAAGATGGAAGTCCCTTTCTTTTTTTTTTTTTTTCTAGAAAAAAGAAGCTTGCCTAACTTTGTTTTCAACACATATTTGGAATTCTATCCTAATCCCATAATTGATTGCACTTTAATTATGGAACTCCAATTGGCGTGATTGAGAAGGTTACTAAAAGTTATCACACTCTACTACAACTACAGTTAAAACAAATTTTATATATAAATTGAAGCATTTAATATAAAAAATTTTTATAAATTATTATTTAGTGTAAAAATTAAATTTTTTATAATTAATTGTACCGATGAATTTATACTTTTGGCTGTATTGCTTGTAGCTAGTGGACTCGGTGAGTCGGATAATCCGATATTCGGTTTGTTCAAACACCCAATCCTAAACACACGTGGAAGCAAAAACAATTGTAAAAAATAAGAAAAAAAATATAAAAAATACGTCATTTATCCAAAAACGTAGAATAAATAAAAGAAAGGGAAACTATAAAAATAAAAAATAAAAGGGAACTATAAATAAAAAAATAGTAACCGATTTATTGATAGAAGGTTGGAAGTCAAAATGAAGTCATCAGAGTAACAGAACAGACCAATCCCAAGCGTCTGTCATCTAACCCATATTTTATAAACCTCCTGGCAGAAAAACAAGTACTCCTGTAAGTCAAACATAATAGTCAAATATCGCACCACAGACGTAATCCAACGGCTGAAAGTCAATCCCCTAATATAAAAACCCTAAAAAATCACAAATAAAAATCAATATCAATTCTTCGAAAAAGAAAATTAAAAAAATATCTCACAATTCTCTTCTCTCTCTCTCTCCCTATACAAAATGGAACCTAATGAAAGCCAACAACACCACCTCAGCTCCTACTTCACCACCACCACCACCACTCCCGCCACCACTACCCCTTCACCCACCAATGGACTTCTTCCGCCGCCTCCCAATTCTGCTTCCGACGGTGGCGGCGGACCTCATATGGTCTTCCCTCACTCTGTCGGACCATCCTCTGCTGCTGTCTCAACTGCACCAGTGGAGCCCACGAGGAGGAAGCGTGGCAGGCCGAGGAAGTATGGAACGCCAGAGCAAGCATTAGCGGCAAAGAAAACGACGTCATCTTCTTCTAATTCTTTTCCCAGGGAGAAGAGGGAAGCGACTTCTTCGACGTCTCCTGCCTACTCGGGTTCCTCAAGAAAGTCTCAACAGTTGCTTGCCCTTGGTGGGTTTTACTCTCACTGTTATTCTATTATTATCATCTCCTTGCTAGTTGAAAATCTCATTCTTCAAAGTTCTTTTGTACTCTTTGGATCTTAATTCTGTATTCAGCGTCAGCATAAAAATTATCGTTTGATTGTGAATTTTGTTTATGTGTGACATTTTTCTTTGCGAATTAAATTTTTTGTTGCGTCCTACTGTTTTGTGTTTTAACGGTTTGCATGGGCTTAGTCAACAATTGTACTTCCAACTGCTTTTGGAAAGTTTATGGTTTTTGTCTTTCTTGTTTCTCCCTTTTTAGTTGGTTGCAACATTATATAGAGGGAGTTTATTTTGCTTCTAGTGAACTTATGTTTTCGTACGTCTCTCTTCTTTTTTCCCTTTCTAAGATATTTCTATTAGTGTTGTAGTACTTGGTCTTTGGTTGATAAGTCCATTACTTTACTATTTCTGGTGCTTTCCCACCCCCCAATCTCCCACCCCTCCCCCCGCTTTCCCACCCACCCAAATCTTCCACCCCTCCCCCCCTCCCTCCCCCCCCCCCCCCCCCCCCCCCCCCCCCCCCCCACCCCCCTCCCCCCCCCCCCCCCCCCCCCACCTCCTTTTCTTTGTTGTTTCCCTGTTCGATTATTGCATTAGTTGTCCGTGGATAGTGTGCTGAAAAATCTTACTTTATGGGTGGCTGCTTAGTGAAAATTTTCTTGGATTCTGGGGGTTTGTAAGCCTTTTTTTTTTTTTTTTTTTTTTTCACCTTGGCGAAAGTTCAACAGTCATTGTGGAATTTCATTTTAGTTATTTGTTTTTTTTTTTTTTTTTTTTTCACCTTGGCGAAAGTTCAACATCATGTGGAATTTCATTTTGTTATTTGTATAGTGACAATTCTTGAGTTTCTGATTGATAAATCCTTTCACTTTTGCTCCTGTTGCATTTGAGTTTAGAGAGCTTTGTGACAAATTGCTCACTAGAATGGTTCTGTTTTTGGTGCATTCCAAGTGATCCTTTTTTTTTCTAATTTCAGTTTGGTCTTATTCACATGTATCTTGGTGTTCGTCTCTTTCTTTGTGCATTTATGTACATGTTTATGCGTGCACATTTTTCACTTTTGAAGAATTCCCAACTAATTGCTTTGGAGGATATTATTAAGATTTCTTTTTTTTAAAAAAAAAGTTCTTCACTTTGGAATTTTATCACTGGCATCTGTTGCAATTTAAGGCGATCATTGAATTTTTCCCTGAATTTGTCATGTACGAGAAAGGCCTTTTTGGTCATGCAGTTACTTTCATTAACGCTTTAAATGTTCGTATGACCTTAGGATAGAATATGATGTCCTCTAATCATTTAGTACTGTACAGGATAAACAAGGTGCAGTAGAATGAAACAGTTCCAGCTAATGAGTACTGTAGATATTTAAGACTAGTTTGTTGAATTAAGATCACAAAAAGGAAAAAAAATTTGAGAGTATGTTCTTTATTTCTATTGATTCCCTAAAGTCTGAGCACCACTAGATTTGATGTATGTCTCTTTGGTTGACTTGTATTAGATTCAGTGTATGTCTCTTTGGTTTAGTTGTATTTGGATAAATGCTCTTATACTAGTGCAAGACTTGTAATGGTAGTGCATATCAATTTCTACCAGTGGCACTTGAATAATCTGCTAGGATATTTTAATGTATATAGCTTAGAGTCATTGGATTTGGTATGGTGATGAGTTTGTTTCCATGAGCTTTTTTCTTTTCATTGGCCAGAAAGCCCTATCTATATAGATTGCTATATAACTGTTCATCCTAATGTTTGTTTCAGTTCAAACTGTACAGAAATTCTTGTAAATAAGAAACAAAGAAAAAGTGATTTAATATAAATTTACCAGGGGTTTTGTTTTGGTGTTGCTTTGTTGGTAACACATAAGTAGCCTTAAATAAGATCATCTCAATGTATCTGAATGAGAATAAATCATGTCCTTTTCTTTGGCTTGCCACTTATTGTGATGAGAAGGATCTGCAGGAAAAGAAAGGCTTGAAAAGAAAATATGGATAGTTTTAGAAGTATTGTTCAATTACACCTGATTGGTTTTGCTGATTAAATGTATGTATTTTTTCATTGGTTGACTAAGGTATTATTATTATTGTTATTGTTTGAAGTTTTAGAATTTGGTTTTTAACTGGTTGATTAAGAATGTTTTCTGGTGCAAGCCCTAATGCTTGTTAACATGTTAAATTCTAATGTGATGACAATGTTCGCTGATGGTGATCATGCTTTCGTTTATTGGATGTGGCTTATAGTTATATCTTTAATGATATGTTGAGTTGCTCTTTTGTTGTCATTTGCAGCTCCTCTGCGTATTATTTATAAATGTAAACATTGGATGTATCATTTTTTTTTGTCCTTTTGTCTCCTATCAATTTTTTTTTAGTTCTCAATTCAGTTGTAGTTTATATTTGAATACTTATGCTTTCATGCTCCTAATTGGTTTTTCCAGGCAATGCCGGACAAGGTTTTACTCCACATGTTATAAATGTTTCTGCTGGTGAGGTATGAAAAAAGTTTTGATCTTTGGCGATACTTCTCGTTGTTAATCAGTTAGGAGCTCTCAGTATATATGTGTTTCTTCGTGCTTTTTCCTTTCAAGAAAACATGCATTTGCTTGTACTTGCTATTCTGAAATCAGGCAGTTAGACAAGTTTTCTGAAAATTAAATTTATCGTAAACTTGCACTCATTGTACTTGATTTTAGTAAGATAGTTTCTATGGATAGCGTTTATAAAAGCAGCTGATGACAATGGTTGGCACCTAAATAAGTTTTGAGAAAGGTGGATGGTGTACTACATGCTGGACAGTGACTAGGGTATATATAGAGGGAAGGTTATGATTGTGTCGTAAAACCAAAGTTTGTGTATATTACTCCCAAATGGGTGAGAGAAGCCAACGATATTCATTATTTCTTCCATAGTATCTTCTAGCTCTTATGAACTTTCAGTTGGAGTTGCATTTTTTTTTTCTTCCATGCTAATTGTGTGGTATCATAGTATCATGTGCTTTCAGATTTAGATTCAGATCTTTTGAACTTAAAAGAATGTATTTGGCAATTTTTACTATTTTAGTTTTGAAGGAAAGGTAGCAGATTTCTTTTGTTAATGAAAACTTGGAGAATTTGTTTCTATGGTCTCTGACTGGAAAGATAAATTTTCCTGATGTAATTTCTTTTCCGGATTGTTCACTTTAGGGTTGCTTTTGCTATTTATGTCTGTCTCTCTGTTTGAAAGTTATTGTGCTCATTGAGGTTGCTAATTGGGTGGTTTGTTTGTCTCTATCTTTCACTTTTCTCCCTTTTCTTTTTCTAATTTCATAACCAATGGTTTTGCTCGTTCGATTTTACATTCATCTTTCATATTTATGTATGCATATATGTGTGTCTGTGTGCATTATTCGTTTGCGTTCACTTGAAATATCTCAGTCATTACTTGTTATATTATCTGAGGTAAGTTTGAATGTTGATACTAGTTTATATATGAACAACTTGCCTCTCTGTACATTCCTGAGTAACATAACATGTGGATCCTTGACAGGATGTAGCTCAGAAAATTATGCTTTTTGTGCAACAAAGTAGGCGTGAAATTTGTATTTTGTCTGCTTCTGGTTCAATCTCAAATGCATCCCTCCGCCAGCCAGCAACTTCAGGAGGCAACATTACATATGAGGTAGTTCACTATACCTTTTGAAGGTGTGGTCTTATGAAATGAGAGAAAAGAAGTATTATAAAAATATAGTTTCATGATTCATCATTTGACTGGAAATATGCTTTTGTATGGAACAAAGAACAAATATTGATATCGACATAATGGAAAGTAAAAGGAAAATGAAATGCAGAGAGAGCCTAGCAAGAAATTAGGATATATTAATGGCGCATGATACGGCAGACTGAGACATTGTACAGAACAGGTTGTTATTCTAGCAGGATCTATATAAATCCTGCTTAATTGTGAGTATCTTACAATTTCATACATTTGTTTTACGCTCCTGAAAGTGAAATTCATTTGGGAATATTCAGTGGAAGTAGGAGGGTAGTTATTGTTTGGACATACAAAGTCAATTTTGTCAAGGGGCTAATGCATCAGTGGTCCACTAGAGAAATTGTGGGGGATGAGAAATAGCTAATCACATCATTAAATCAATAATTTTTTTAATATTCAAAAGTAATTGCGGTTTGTTCTTGTGGTCAGACTCAGACCACTCTGGTGCAGAGTGTGTTTGCAATGCCCAGTGGATGATATTCCAAACAGGAATATGTTAACATAGAACTTTGAGAATATTCAAAAGCAAATACATTTAATTGATTACTTGGTATGCCATGCAATATTTCCCTGTAGTTCTCTAACAATTTGAAAGTTGTACATTTTTTTGTCTCCAAATTAAAAAAAAAAAAAAAAAAAAAAAATCAAGGGGGGGCTAATCTCATCAGTGGTCCACTAGAGAGAAATTGTGGGTGGGGTGATCGATAAGGATAAGCTAAGTCACAAGGTTCATCTAATCAATGTGAATTTGTTTTAGATATTCAAAAGTAATTTGAGGTTTGTTCGGGTTGTGGTCAGTACTTCAGACCACTTCTGGTGCATTGTAGGTGTGGTGTTGGTTGCATTATGCCGTTCAGTTTGGTTGGATGATAGTTTCCAAACAGGTAATTATGATTGTAACGAGAATGTTGAGAAAGACGATTGGAGTAAGATTGTATGTTTCAAGGGAAGGCAAGTGGATTACAGTTTATATTGTTTTACTTTGGGTTGATTTTGTGTTGGGGTGGCCATGAGGCAAGGTGATTTTTGTCTCGACTGTAGTATCTCGTTAACAATGGTTGTGGTAAAGTTGTACAATTTTTTTGTCTCCAATTAAAAAAAAAGACAAAAAAAAAAAAAAATCCTTATGTAGTTCTTATTAATGGTTAATCATTTGCAAAAAAAAAAAAAAAAAAAAAAAAAATCCTTATTAGTTCTTATTAATGGTTAATCATTTGCGCAAGGGATCATAACTTTATATCAAATAGTTTTCTCTGACAGGCAACTTTAAATATCTAATTATGGTTGGGTTACAAACAAAACATAGTTGATCAACTGTGAAAAATAATTGCTTTGTGCATATTCTTACATCAGGGTCGGTTTGAGATCATTTCGCTATCTGGATCTTATGTGCGCACTGATATTGGAGGTAGAACTGGAGGGCTTAGTGTATGTCTATCTAATACGGATGGCCACATCATTGGAGGAGGGGTTGGTGGACCCCTAACAGCTGGTGGCCCTGTTCAGGTATATCTTTTTAAATAATTGCTTGAAACAAAAATCTGGTGCATGATATAGGGAACATCCAATGACCCAGGGAAATCGTTTACGCACGCTCATGTAGAAAGAATCCTGGCTGTGAAAATTCTGTCTATATCTTTTAATAGGTTGAGCAAGTCGTTGATATCTATGATTTATAGTCAGGTATGTACAGGTCATTGTAGGTACATTTGTGCTTGATAACAAGAAGGATGTTAACACTGGTGTAAAAGTTGACGCGTCTCCAGTTGGGGGACCATCAATGTCAAACATGGGCTTCCGTTCTCCGGGTGATTCGACTGGGAGAAATCCAGTCAGGGGAAATGATGATCATCCAACCATGGGAGGCAATCCTTTCATGATTCCTCCTCTAGGTATGCATGTGGCTCCTTCAAGGCCCACAGATTGGAGGGGTGGTCCAGATACTAGAGTCAATACCGGTTATGACTTGACAGGTATATTCTCCATCAGAGAGGGAGAAAGAGTGGAGGGAGGGAGGTAAAGAGTGACTAACATCTTTATTTTCCAGGAAGAACAGGTCATGGAGCACACCAATCTCCTGAAAATGGTGACTACGAACAATTTCCGGACTAGAGATTTATTTTGGGCTTTGAAATAGTGTTTTCCCATATCTATCTCTCTAATGACACAGGTACTTTGACAAGAGAAATACATTGTACAACTTTTTTCACCCATTGTGGAGTGTAACATGGTATATCTGTACAGATTACTTGGACTCATAACTCTTTGTTAACTTATGCTATTCTTAAATTTGACGTGTTGATCTTAATAATTTCTAGGTCTATGATTCTGCATACCATTGAAATATTGTCTTCTATTGATCATTTTGCGTGCTCGTTGGTAAAGAAACTCACCCGTTCTGGAGTCGAAGGTGTGAGTAATGCAACTTGGGATAATTACAATTAGTGATAATCACTATTTAAGACATGTTATACGAAGCATGGTTTTGGTCTTCGTCCCGGATAAAAGGAAGATCCAATGTCGATATTTGACGAGCTGTAATAGCATGAACGTATGTTGTCTTTTTGCTTCTTATTGAAATGGAGTCAAATCTTGTTTGTTAGATTTCTATGCTAAATCCAGTTTTTGACTTGACGCCATCATGTCATGTGAATGGGACTGGCTATGGTTTGGTTGTGGTGGAGGTAGGAATTGTGATGGGTTGGCTTAGTCAGAAAAGCATGAGGATGAGGAAAGAAAAGTTGGAAAGCAATATTTGTTTGTAATATATGACCTTCCAAGAATGTCTTGATTCAATGATTTGAACACTAATTATATGCTTAATCTCCATTAAGCAACGCGATTAGGTAAATAATTAGTATATTATAGCTGAATTAAGCAAATATCTGAAGCGAGATTGAGCTAGTTAATGAACAGAATATGCCTTTAATAAATTTTACAAAATTCGATGCCCAAGTTGCCCTTCTTCCTCGTGTCATTGGCACGTGCATCACGTTCTCAGATTTTTTTTCCTTCTTTTTTTGGCAGATATAGATGATTGGTGTTTGTGGAGTTGGTTCAAAAATTTTGTATAAATTAAATTGGCGACTTATAAAAATCAAAATTGAATTAAATTATAAGAATATTCAAATTAGATTAATAATTTGCTTTTTTTGTAAATTTTACAAATGTGAGTTTTTCAAAATTACGGTTTTAATTTGATTTGATTTGAATGTTTTGGGTGGCTTTTAATGGTTTAGGTAAGACGATTACTTTTGGTTATGGGTTTGGGTTGACACCGTGTCAACTCAGACGAGACAAGATGTAACTGCCGGCCACACTTTCAACGGTCAGGAATTTCCACGTAAGCAACTATAGCGATAGCGTCACAAGACACCGACCTTGAGATCTACGCCAAATAGATTAGACCATCCAACGGCAGCTATTCAATGATGTTTTGCTTCTTCTTCTTCTTCTTTTTTTTTTTTTTTTTTCCAACGGCAAGCTATTCCTAATGATGTTTTGCTTCTCTCTTCTTCTTTTTTTTTTTTTTTTTTTTTTTTAATAATTATTATTATTTGTATGCATCATCAATAATCATTCGCCATGCAATTGTCTATTTTTTTTTAAAAGAAAAATGTCAAATTATTTTATTTGGGCAAAATTTCTTAAACAATAAAAAATATTCTTTATCTTCCTTAACGAAGATGAATTTTTCTCAAATATATTATTATTTCAAAATTTAAAATAAAAATTTAATATTTTTCATAAAAAAATTAAATTGATCATGATTTTTATACAAAATTAATTTTAAATTAAATTTAAAAATTCAGTCAAAGTTTAAGATGATTTGTTTGTTGTTTAATGGGCTGAGGTAAAGGAAGGGCGTCTAGGTTCTCTTCACATACACACCGTGGGTCCCCAATACTTAAACCCCTTACTTCTCTCCCAGGAAAAAGCAAGACACATTTCTTTGTACTTTTTCTTGCAACAGGAACCGGGGAGAGGGGGAGAGAGTGGGGGGTTGAGGTTCCAATAAGATTTCTTCTTCAACATATATATAAAACTCTCTTTCTCTAATTTTTCGTCTTCTCCTTAGTGAAGTGCACAGTATTTGTACTACTTATTTCTCTCTTAAAGAGGGTTTTTTCTCTTTTCTGTGTGTATTGCTTGTTTGATGGTTTTGTATATGTATTAGGACGGAAAAGATTTTTCTTTTTTTGGGGCATAATTCGAGTGGGAAAGTCTACAGAGAATCTAAAAGATTTAATTTTTGGTTTTGGTGGCTGATAAAGCTTTGATTTTGGTAGGTTTGGCACACGGGAGGCAGAAGGTGTGTTATTTTCATCTCCGCTTTCTTTTTTTTTTTTTTTTTTCTTTTTTTTTTTTTTTTTTTCGGGACATTCTTTTTTCTTTCTAATTGTTAGCTGCTTTAATAAATTTTTTTTTTTTTTTTTTTTTTCGGGACATTCTTTTTTCTTTCTAATTTTAGCTGCTTTCAATAAATTGTTCTTATTAAAAAAATTTTGTTGTCATGGTGCAAATATCATGAATACTCTAATAAGCAAAAAGAATTGTAAAGCAGAGGAGAAATGTGGGGAAATAACTTGTCTTTTGGATGGCCATAAAGAGAGAATCATTGTGGAATTGTCAAGTTTCAGGCTGGCTGGTGTTTAAGATCTTGAAATCTACCAAATAAATTTGTCGTTTTTGGCTGATGCTTAGGGTAAGTGTTTTAGATCTTGAACTATCACTAGTAAATAATTGGTGGGTTTATGAGGCCATGACAAAAGGAATATTCTTTTATGTTCTATTAATTTAAATCCTATTATGCAAGGGGTTTGTACGATTATGGAATTTTGATGAGAATGTGTTGAGCAAGTGTTGACTTGGGTGCAATGTTAAGAGCATTAGCTCCTGGGTTGCTTTTATTATCAGTTCTCGTGATCTCGGTCTCTGCCATTGATAATGAGTTTGTGAACTGTAATTGTGATGATGAGAGTTTATGGAGCATACATAGCATTCTAGAGTGTCAGAGGGTTAGTGATTTCTTGATTGCAATTGCCTACTTTTCAATACCCATTGAACTCCTTTACTTTATTAGCTGCTCCAACTTTCCATTTAAATGGGTCCTCGTTCAGTTTATAGCTTTTATAGTCCTTTGTGGATTGACACATTTGCTCAATGGATGGACTTATTATGGGCCGCACTCATTTCAATTGATGCTGTCTCTCACAATTGCCAAATTCCTTACAGCTTTGGTTTCATGTGCAACTGCAATAACCCTTTTGACTTTGATTCCTCTTCTTCTCAAATGGAAAGTGAGGGAGCTTTTCTTGAAACAAAACGTGTTGGAATTAGATCAAGAAGTAGGTATAATGAAGAAGCAGAAGGAGGCAAGCTTGCATGTCCGTATGCTAACCCGTGAAATCAGGAAATCCCTTGATAAGCATACGATATTGTATACAACTTTAGTTGAGCTTTCCAAAACTTTGGATTTGCATAATTGTGCAGTGTGGATGCCAAATGAGAGTAGAACAGAGATGCATCTCACCCATGAGTTGAGACGAAGTTCTAAAGGTTATCACGTTTCTATCCCCATTAATGATCTGGATGTGTTAGAGATAAAAGGTAGCAAGGGGGTAAAGATTTTGAGGCCAAATTCAGCACTTGGGGCTGCAAGTGGTGGTGGATCAGATGAGGCAGGCGCTGTGGCAGGAATCCGGATGCCAATGCTTCAAGTTTCAAATTTCAAAGGGGGGACACCTGAACTTGTGGATACCTGTTATGCTGTATTAATCTTAGTTCTTCCAAATGTGAATTCTAGAGTTTGGAGCTGTGAGGAAATGGAAATAGTGGAAGTAGTTGCTGATCAGGTGGCTGTGGCTTTATCCCATGCTTCAGTTCTTGAAGAATCTCACCTAATGCGAGAGAAGTTGAGTGAGCAAAACCGTGCTTTGCAGCAAGCCAAGAAGAATGCGATGATGGCAAGCCAGGCAAGAAACTCATTTCAGAAGGTGATGAGTCATGGGATGAGGAGGCCAATGCACTCAATCTTGGGCCTGCTTTCAATGTTCCAAGATGAGAACCTGAACTTTGAGCAGAAGATTATTATTGATACATTGGTGAAAACTGGCAATGTTCTTTCAACTTTAATAAATGATGTGATGGAGATTTCAGCAAAAGATAGTGGAAGATTCCCATTAGAAACGAGGCCTTTCCGGCTACACTCTATGATCAAGGAAGCTTCTTGCCTTGCTAAGTGCTTTTGTGTGCATAAAGGCTTTGATTTTGCAATTGACGTTCAGAGTTCTTTGCCTAATTTAGTGATAGGAGATGAGCGAAGGGCTTTTCAAGTTATTCTGCATATGGTTGGATATCTGTTGAACATCTATGGCGGAAGTGGAAATGTCATATTTAGAGTTTTCTCAGAAAATGGTAGTGAGGGTAAGAATGATAGAATGTTGGGGATGTGGAAACCAAATGCTCCAGAGGAGTATGTGTCTATAAAGTTTGAGATTGAAATTAGGGAGGGAAATTCTTTGTCGGATGGATCAATCCCAAAAACACATAATTCTGGGAGGAGGCAAAACGGTGATGAAGTTAAAGAAGGTTTGAGCTTTACAATGTGCAAGAAGCTTGTTCAGGTGAGCACACTATAAAGTTCGCTAATTTTTTTTCTTTTTTTGTTTACTTGTGCTCTCAATGATTATTTCATTATCCCTAAACTTCATAAAGGCAGATAACTCATGGACTAGAATATTGAATTTTGTTCAGTTTCATCTAGAGATAAACATTATTGTACCATATGGAAGATGGTTAGTAAAGATTTAAAATAATCAATCGCATTGAATTAATTTTCCCATCATGGAAGATATATGATCTTCAGACTTTGCATCTTGGGCAGCCTCTTTTTGCTATTTTATTGAATTAGTTTCTGTGCTTACTTGGGGAACTAATTTTTTCTTAGTTAATTGGGCCCCGGCTGGGGTTCAACTTGCAACCTCTCAGGGTTGGAGTTGCATTTTTTCAGCTTTATATTCCATGGGGCATCTAGACAAGAAATTGTAAACCTAAAATGCATGACCTGTTGTTTTATACTGGTTTATTTGTCATGTATTTTTTTTTTTTTTTTTTTTTTTTTTGTTTTATACTGGTTTATTTGTCAATGTATTTTTTTTTTTTTTTTTTTTTTTTCCATATGCTATCTAAATGAAAGGCCCAAGAGATGGATCATAGTTCTTTTTTAGCCAAAATGCCACCATAAACAAATAGTTCTTTTTTTTTTTTTTTTTTTTTTTTTTTTTTTCCATATGCTAATCTAAATGAAAGGCCCAAGAGATAGATCATAGTTCTTTTGTAGCCAAATGCAACCATAAACAAATAGTTCTTTTTTGAGCAAAAGGAAACTAAATTAGTTGTACACAATCCAAGAATTGTTAAAGAAAACATAAGACTTTCACTAAATTATTCCTTATCAAATGAAGCTAACTAGGTATTAACTTCATGCTGGGCAAAGGAAATCAATTTAACTCAACCTTTTCTTGCTTAAACTTATAGGAATGCATCATCTCCTTTTTCCTTGAGTGAGAATTATGAAATTTGATATTTGTTGGACCTATTCAAATTTCAAGACGAAATTTGTATATTGTTAGGATCTGAAAGCCATCATTAATGTAATCTCATGTCTGCAGATGATGCAAGGTAATATCTGGATATCTCAGAATTCTCTGGGTTTTGCACAAAGCATGAGTCTGCTTCTCAGGTTTCAAATCCGACCTTCCTATGGAAGAGCCATATTTGCCTCTGGAACTTCCTCAGAACAACCAAATTCTAATTCTATGTTCAGAGGTCTTCGGGTTATACTTGCTGATGATGATGATATAAACAGGACTGTGACCTCAAAGCTGCTTAGGAAGCTAGGTTGTGAAGTGACTGCTGTTTCATCTGGATTTGAATGCCTTAGTGCCCTCAGCTCGGGTGAAAATTCATTTGGAGTTGTTATTTTGGATCTTCAGATGCCAGAAATGGATGGTTTTGAAGTAGCAATGAGAATCCGCAAGTTCCGAAGTCGCAACTGGCCATTGATTATAGCCGTGACTGCAAGTGCTGAGGATTATATTTGGGAGAGATGCCTACAGGTGGGAATGAATGGAGTGATTCGAAAACCCGTTCTCTTACGAGGGATGGCTGACGAGCTTCGAAGAGTTCTGCAAAGGGCAGGTGAAGGGTTGTAAAGAGCAAGTTATGGAATTTTCACACTGATTTCTCAACAAAAATCTTGAGGATTGGATCATCTCCCCTTTGTGGTCCAGCATGGAGATGCTAAGGCATTTATAATTGATGGTATAGAAAATATAGACCGTCACTTTCTGCTAACTTCTTTGTTTAGCTCTATGACTAGAATATCATAGAATGGATTAAACCTCGATGTGAAACTAGTCAAATTTTTTATCTGATAGTGAAACAAATGCCAATATGATTCACAACATCAAAGTAATACTACATACTAGCTTCTTCGACTGTTCTCTTGATGCCTTCTTCAAAATATCTTTATTTTTTGTATGAGTTGGTGGCTTATACTGCACCTTGTTTGGAAACCTTGTTCTTACAGTTGGAATTTGAACTTTCAGAGATTAGCTTTATGCTTCCCTGTTTGAAAGTAGTTGTCATGTAGAATTATGAACTTAAAACTTGAAATGAATTCGTAAACATAATGCTGTGTGTGTACAGTAAATATTCTTGTTTTGGGAGCAGAAAACTGCTATTGTGCAGGTTAAATTAGTTCTGTCACAATTGTGGTGGTTTTTGCTGGAGGCCAATCTCCATCACGCCTCCCTGAAAAATAGATCCCCATATCCATTTCTATAATTCTCATTTCCAATCCTTATCTTTATTGGAATTTTCAATTCCTTTTCTGTTTAGTTTGAAGTTTTCAATATAATACTTTAGTTTATTTATTTTAATCATTATTAAATTATAAATAGAATACTATTAATTAAAAAAGTTGTCAATATATATATACATATTTTTACATAATGGAAATTATATATATTAATTTTAATAACCATGTAAATACATAAATTAGCACTTATATTTTTATAAAACTTTTTATGGGATGTTGCGGGATGTATTATATTTATAAAGTTAAAAATTTTGATAATATGGTACATTCACCATTTTAAGAATAATAATTTTTAAAAATTTTTATTTTTTATATGTAAAATATTAATTTAATATGTGATAAAAATAACTTGTGAAATAATAATTTTTTACATTTTTTTAACTATTTGATAAGTGTTTAATTCAATTAATTTCACAATTTGAATATTAATAAATTTTTTTGAATGATAGAATGTTAATAGATTAAATATATATATTTTTATAAATTTAATAAATCAAAGTAAAATCGAGGTAATCATAAAATTTCCCTTCAAGAATAGGTCCGTGAATTTATGCATTCGACCTTAAATTTTTTTGTAAGTTATGACGTATATCCATTTCCTAACAAATTGCTGGGCTTAAGCCCAACAAACCAGGCTCCTCCATTCAGTATCTAGCACAGCCTACTCTCCGGCGACGTCGGTTGCAAACAATGAACGAAGAAGAAACAGAAGCAGAGTACTTCTCTAAGGACTTCGAATGGGAAACACTAAAGCATGAGGTAGAAAGTAATCCTTCTTTTCAATACCATTTACTTCCTTTCAATTCCTCTCAACGACAACATGAAATTGAAGATTCAAAGGCATGGCAGAGATTCCACGTCCGCCACTCCTCCGGCAAATTCTTCAAGGTCTCTCTCTGTCTCACTCAACAATTATTTTCGTTATTTTTGTTGTTTTTTCCTAAAATAAGGAGAAATTCGCCTATTGCAGGAGAGAAGGTACTTGTTGAAGGAATTTCCTGAGTTGGTTTCTTGTGGAGACTTCTCCAGGGTTTTAGAGGTTGGTTGCGGTAATGGCAGCTCTGTAATTCCAATTTTACGGTAATTTCACAACGCCTCTTAATTTTGGAGTGTTATGTGCCGGCGCTAATGCTTCTTTCTTCTTTTTGTTCAGTGGCAACAAAAACGTCATCGTTTATGCTTGTGATTGTAGCGCTGAGACTCTTCAGAAAGCTAAAGAGGTTGCGGATGATGCCGCTAATATTGTCTCTGTCCAATACCGCTTTAAGCCTTTCTGTTGTGATTTCGCTCTCTCTGGGTTTCCAAAGTGGTTGTTTTGTAATTCTTGCAAATTAGCAAAAAAACGCTTCTCTTCTGGTTAGTCGATTTCTTTGTCTTCTTTTAAGTAATATTGACAATTTCGGGTACATTTGAATTTTGGTAATTTGCGTTTCTTTTCTCAGATGTCAGAGAGACAAGAACAGTTGATGTAAATGGTTCATACTCGTTGGAAGAAGATGGTTGTTGCATTGGCGGAGTTGATTTTGTTACCTTGGTATGCTTTATTCTTTTGCTATTGTCAATTACTATGCATGCACTAAATTAATTACGCTCTTGTGCGTATACATAACATTTGGTTGATCAAAAGTAGCCAGTCATGTAATCCATAATTAAAAATATAACAATTTTCAAACATGGTGTGGATGCAGCAGCCATGGTTTGGATGTTGCTTTGGTTCAGTGGTAACTTTTTTTTGTAGGGTGATTATGCCTTTAATGAAGAGAAATCACATTTATGGCTGAATCACGAGAAAGAAATGGGAAGTCTTTAGCTTATACCTTTTGGCAATATACGTTTCAACAAAAAAAAATACCTTGTTCTTCACGTACTAACTGATTGAGAAAGCAAAATCCAAACACTCTGCCTAGTTCTGTAGTCATTGGATTCTAATTCTAATTTGTCCCTGATCATTAGCCCTGGGGTTTGTGAAATAAATCTTTATGGGAAGATTCCATAGTGTTATTTTTCCATATGGTTCAATGTCTCTCGATCTCCTTCTCTCTTGATTTTGTAACTTTGCATGACGACGTTGATGTTTATGAGAAGTTACAGGCATGTTTGGAAAAATGAAGCTTTACCATTTTTGAATTCTCTTTCTATCAGAAAGTAATTATCCTAATGTTTTTAGTTCTGAGCTTACCTGTTTAGTTCCATGCTACGATGGACCATATAACCAATTCCAAATAAATAAATAAAATGACATTCTTTTTTTCTCGTGCATGGTGCCAGTGTCTTTCTAAGAATTCAGATGCTGCATAACAATATTGATTTGGAGATTGAATTGCTTGTTTCTTTGAATGTTATGCCAGATATTCACACTATCAGCAGTGCCACTCCAAAGAATGCCAACAGCCCTCTTGGAGTGTTTTTCTGTATTGAAGCCTGGTGGCCTGCTCTTTTTCAGGGATTATGGTAATAAAACAACCACCATGAATTTACTTACTGAAGAGTCCAAAATCTGCTGTCAATAACAGATTTATCTATGTACTTGATCGACCCTTTTATCCACTCATTTCATTTCTACAAGTGTTTCCTGCACTAGCTGACAAGTTTTCGGTTTGACGAAACTCAGGGCTGTACGACATGACCATGCTGCGATTTGAGCCAGACAAAAGAGTGGGATTCCGAGAATATGTACGATCAGATGGCACCCGTTCTTATTTCTTCTGTTTAGATACTGTCAGGGATCTCTTTGTGGGTGCAGGCTTCATTGAGGTACTGACTTTCGGTTTTTTTTTCTTCCCTGATTGAGCAATCATAGACGGTTTTGATTTCAATTCAAATTTTGTATATAACATATGATACGTATTGGTACACTTCAGTGGCAATCTAGCTGCTAGGTTATCTGTAACTGAAAGAATCTTTAATGCTGCACTAATATGTATTTGCAGCTTGAGCTCGAGTATTGTTGTGTCAAGTCTATGAATAGAAGAAAGAGAAAGAGCATGCAGAGGGTATGGGTCCATGGGAAGTTCCAGAAGCCCATATGAAGAAGTAGCAGCAAATGATGTGTTGTTGAGGTACAATTTGAGATGATAGCTGCTTGTTCTACAAACATATAAATTTTATATACCAAAACACTGTTGGGTTCTCCATTTGATTTTTAAAGGGATTTAGGCGAAATTAATCACTGAAAAAAAAAACATTCTTCACTCTTGTTTTATTGGATCTTTTTTCCTTTTGTTGTGAGATTGTTGCAATGAAGATGAATTGATGAGATTAATGCAAGGGTGGTTATCGTTTTGGACAGGTAACTTGATTATCCTTCTGATAAGTAGTGCATAATCAGGTAACTTAAATAAAATGTCCTTTCAAAGTTTTAAGAGAAAAAAGAGAATTACTATTTAGTACCTATGTTATAGCCATGATCTTTATTTTTACAAAATTAATTTGATGGTCGTCCTATCCATAACTGTCCAACTATTTAGAATTTGTATATTTTTTTCTGTAAACCAACTAAAATTAAGCCCAAGAAAAAAATTTCAGTAAATGTATCTATTTAGTATCTTTTCTTGTTCCTCAATAAAATTAGCAAATTAACAAAAAGACTCTGTAATTGGGATATTATAGAATATAAGTATTATTAAAATTAGTATTATTATTAAAATAAATATAAAAAAATTAAAATGTTATAAATCAGTCAAACTTATTTTTAAGTTGAAAGTTATAAGTTAAAATGTTATTTGGTTTAGTTTATAAATTGAAAAAATTAATTAAAACAGATCAGAAGTCAACTTTTTAAATAATTTGACTAGGCACGCTTAACTACAATTAGTTGCTTTGATTTTTTTTTTTTTTTTTTTTTTTGCAGCGCAACTGTTTTAAAATAATTTGACTAAGGCCACGGGCTTAACCTACAATTCGTGTTTATTTTTGTTTTTTTTTTTTTTTTTTGGGGGTAATTTATTCGTAATTTATAAAATTGGACCAAATAGTGGGCTGTATTCTAATGCCCAAAAATTCAAATAGTGGGCTGTTTCTAACTACATTTTTTTTTTTTTTTTTTTTTGGGGGTAATTTATTTAATTTATAAAATTGGAAAATAGTGGGCTTTATTCTAATGGCCCAAAATTCAAATATGGGCTGTTTCTAACTACACAGATACATCGAGTATCTATCTGGTCAGCAGCCGGGTCTCAAGGGGTTCTAAACGCCAAACGCTTGTCACATCACATGTATGTAATGTATGCGTTGCGTGCACTGTGCAGTGCAAGTGCAACGTTTGGGTCAAAAGTCAACAAGATCTATTGCAAAAGTGGGACCCATTTCCCTCGGTGTTCGCACCCAAATTGATCCAATCCATTTGTCTGTTTCTTACACTCACAGTAGTCTCCATTAGAACTTATTTTATCATTATTATTTTGTCCATTTTGCAGCTTTATTATTACCAAGTTAATTGTATTTGGAAAATATCAATTACCTCCCTCAAACTTTCACAAAATATCACCGGTCACCCTGGCTCAAAGGCCCAATCCTCTCCCTATTCCTCTCTTCTTAAATTTCTTTCAAGCTTCTTTACTTTCTTCTCCTCCTAAATATATAGAAATAATAATTATCTACTGTTTATGTTACTTGATTCTAATTAAACCTCAAAACCCATGTGATGTTCTAAACCCTAGCTAGCCCATTACTGCCAGAGTTTTTCAAGTCTGTTTAAATGTTAGGTGCATGGCCTTAATCTCCTACAGAAAATTAAGATTTAGAACCATTGATTAGACTTTGACAATCAATCATAGGATCAAACAAGACTCCCACAAGAGATCTAAATTGTCACAACTTGTTTCTTGTCCTTTTATAAATTTGTGAAGCAAATAATAAATTATATATAGTATATGTGCTTTAAAACCAAGTGGATATAATACAAAATCACTTATTATATAAAAACTTTATCCTTCAACAGCAACCAAATGCTTCTAGCAGATTAGAATATATATAGTGTTCAAACAAAGGCAGCCATTGCTTGACCTCCTTGTGTTTTGTGTTCATGCATAAATTAAACAATATTAATTACCCTAATTTACCACACAATACTTGTGCTATATATAGGGTTTTCTTTTTCCTATTTCTGTCCTCCTATATATGTAGCTAATTCCTTCAATAGATTAGAAGAAACACATCTTCAATAATCGTAATGTGTTTGTCAGTCCTTATTAGTTAGGGCTTATCTGAATAAATTATTCATGCATGTTAGTAGATGATCAAAGAAGACAAATTAGATTTAATTAAATGTAATGAGTTTGTTCTTTGACTAATCTTTGGATAAATTGATCTTAGTTTAACTAACACACACCTATTCACAATAATTCTAGCTAATTATATAATATACCTCGAAGAACGCCAGTTGTCGCGTAGCTGATAACAGTGTTCGTTTATATATTTGGAGTAATGTCAATTGTATATATATTACTAGAAAATTGAACAAGTCAATATAATATGGTTGTTAATGAAATGGTATATATGCCTTGGCTGAACTATATGACATTACTATTGGCTGAACTAGATAAAATTAGACAAGTTCAAGCTGAGGATTAAGCACAAAACTTGTTAAGGTTAGGTCAAAAGGCACCTAATCCGGCCGCGAACAACGTGTACTCCACGGCAGCATATTAATATAAACAAATTTTCAGAATTGAGGGCTTGGAAAGTGAAGTTATGCTCTTAAAGTTCCATTGCTGATGCATGATTCCCCATTATCATTTCCTATTATACTAGTTGTTGTTTTTTAAATTGCTTTTCTTGTTCATATGATTTAGGCTTTATCTAGTGGTCCACATTTTCTTAATGCTTGTTTTCAGGATTCCTTTTCAAATTATTATATATTATACTTAAATTAATTTATTGGTTCATTGTTAGACTTTCAAAAACATATTAAAGGGCTGGGAAATGTTAGTAAAACAAAACTTTAGAAAGAGAACTAGTGCAAAGAAAAAGGAGGAGCCATATTGGAAGATTATTTTAATCAAGAAAGATTTAATTAATTAAGCTTGATTATAAAATTAACCATGGTGGGCTCCAACAGCACTGCTGCTTTTACCATTAGAATGTTGTATGCAAGTTACTAGGTAATAAAATATATATACATGTATCAGCTAGCTAGGGTTCATTAACAATGGCCATGTGAATCCATGTGAAGAGGGTCCTATGTGTTGCTATATACTCTCTTGGATCCTTTGAGTGTCAAGAAAAACATCCTTTATAGGAACATTGTACTTATCTTAATTAGCTACACAGGAATGCTTAATTAATTAACCCTAATCTCCTTTTCTTTGCTTTAATTTTTTTGCAACCATGGTGTATCTAATTTAGATTTGATGTTTATATGAATTCCTAATCATTTTTTTTTATGTTCTGCAAGATTCACTTGTTATAGAAATAACTGTGCACCTTTTCTTCAGCTATTTATCTTAATGATGCAGCATTAATTGTATATATTAGTGAACAAAAACTTGCAAATTAAACTAACTGGATCATCAACTTCTCTTATAATCTCCTCATTTTCAGGTCCGAGGTAACCAAAAGGCTGTCGATTATTTGCAGATCTAGACCTGGTGAGTTTTGAGTTCATATACATATATAACCAAAATGAATGAATTAGGTCTCCTCAATTTTCCAATAATTTGAAAAGGGATTTATGCATATTCAATTCTTTAAATTCCAATCATATTGTATAAATGTGAAAGAGGGAATTAATGAATTAATGTGCAAGTTGAAGCCATAATTAACTCTTTATATCCTTCTTTATTTCCAACTATAGCTAGTTTCCAAGAATTGCAGTGTCAAGAATTAATAATGAACAAGAAAACTGCACACAGACACACACACACATATATATATATTTTAGTCTTTATATATATGTATAGTTTGCCACCTCCACTAAAGCCACCACTCCACCTCAACCGGTCTTCATGGTACATTAAAATATTTAGCACATTTTGTCTTCTCCTTAATTAGATTTCTTCTGTATGCACAACACCTATAATGCACTATTTAGTGATTATTAAGCTTTTACTTCACTTTCCACCTTCAAGCTTTCTGCGAAAAGGGGTCGTTCATCACGTTCTAAATAAGAAAATAATTTGTATCTAAATATTTTTTTATACAGTAATAGTTAAATATTTAAGAAAAAATCCTCATCACGTTTATTTATATACTATAATAAAGAAATCTTGTGGACATTAAAGGCTCATATGGCGAAATATGGACCCATGTTGTAAAACATAAATTGAAACCCCTATTTTTAATTGTATATTCTTGTTATTGCAGTCTTCGGATTAAATAAAATATCTTGGTTCTTAAGTTTTTTATTTATCCAAATGAATAATATAATTTTTATATATATCTTTGATGGATCATCAATTTACTTGAAATGGTTATGTTTGCCATAAAAATGGAAATAAATTGTGAAATTGGAATGATGAAGTAACTGACCCTCTCGATCTGGACATGAGATCAAAATCACGTACTTGATATGATCAAAAGAGAAAGGAGGAAGACTGAGAACAAACTAATTACAGTATACACACAAATCAGTTAATAATTTTAAGCAGTCGAATAAAGAGTGGCATAATCCTCATGTTTAAATTCTTCATAAAACTTTCCTCGCAAATCAAATATAAATCTTTTACTTCTTCTTCTTCTTCTTCTTCTTTGTAGAATCTGCAAACCCGGTGTTATTAAGTATTAATTGTGAGTTAATCAGCCAAGAAAAAGCTCTCCCCTCCATGGTGTGATTCAAAAAAAAAAAAAAAAAAAAAAAAACATAAAAACTTTCCTCGCAAAATCAAATATAATAATCTTTTAATTCTTCTTCTTCTTCTTCTTCATTGTGAATCTGCAAACCGTGTTGATTACAGTACTTGAATTGTGAGTTAATTCAGCAAGAAGAAGCTCTCCCTCCATGGTGTTCGACTCAACCAATAAAAAAAAAAAAAAAAAAAGGTAACTAAAAAGACAGAAGGCAAAAATAAAAAAAGTCGCTACAACCCTTAAATTAAGAAAAAAAAAAAAAAAAAAAAAAAAAAAGTAATAAAAGAAAGAAAGAAAAAATAAAAAATCCTACAATTATTCAAGAAAGAGAAGATTTACTAAAAATGATAGAGCTCAGGTCTCAGTTAGTTACTTTTTCTAAGTTCAAAAGAAGGAGAAGAAGAAGAAGAAATAATACTTGGTAGTACAAATAGTACTCCAAAATGAAGCCAAAGGCCATAAAGCAAGAAATATACAAAATATAGATCCATAAGTCTCCAATTTATTCATTCCTAGCTTACTCCTTTATATCGCACCAGTTACCAATACATCAATCCAGAAGAAGATGAGATATTGAATCCTTCTAGTTAATCTCTCTAATTAATAGGGTGGTCTCCATCCAAATCCCTCCAGGTTCAATTGTCCCCCATTAGGAACCATATTGGGAGGCAAATTATACGCAGGCGTTGATGTTGCCGGATCCCCCATTCCTCCACCACTTCCTTCGCCGCCTCCACCACCACTTCCACCACCAATTTGCCCTTGGGCTCCACTACCCCCTTCCTCCTCCTCCTCCAATGGCAACCTCTCATAAGTAGCATTCGAAAACGTTGCTGCAATCACCATAACTGGCCCCGATGCTACTAGTGATCCCACCACACTACCTCCGACAACTTGCCCTTGCCCTCCAGCTAAATATATAGTCAGTCCAGTCGCTCCAGGCGGAGCTGGTCCGGGCAAGAAGGCTCCGGTTAGCGATAAAATCTCAAACCTACCATGGAGGGCCATGACAGCGCCGGGAGCAGATGGTTGCTTAAGGGTTACATTAGTAACCATACCACTACCACTAAGAACACAAACCCCTCTTTGTCTCTTTCTTGCAAAAGAAGCTAAACTCTCAGCTACATCAGACCCATTAGCAATCTCCATTACATGACTTTTGAGAGCATTAGGGCTATCTCTAGTCACAAAAATGGGTGGTTTAGGTTTGTTCTTGGATCCAGGAGGGCGACCTCTAGGGCGGCGACTGGCCATGTCTATAGCACCTTCTTTAGGTTCATCGCTATGTTCTCTATCTTCTTCTTGATCCTCTTCTCGTCTACCACTCTGATCAGTTGTTTCTCTATTGCTGTTCGACATGGAAATACCTAGATCTGGTTTCTTCATTGGAGATGATGAGCTAGTTGATGTGTCCATTCCAGGTAAACCCACCTGCCCGGCCCACCACCGGTTCGCCATGGCTGCTAAGGAACTCTAACTAATTATCAGAAACCGATTAATATGGAAGATGACCACAAGAAACTGAGCGTATGTATAGAAAGGTTAATTTAATTAACACACATAGGAAAGAAATTAAAGAAGGAAGCGAGAATTAAGGGTTTTGAAGAACAAGATTCAAGAAACTTGCTGGTAGATTCAAGAAAGGTTATTCAAAGAAAAGAAAGAAAGAAAGAAAGAAAGAAGAAAGAAAGAAAGAGAGAACCAAGAAAAGTATATATGTATCTGTATAGATTCTTGCTGGTAGAGTGTAATAAACCTAGTAACTTTTAGAACCTACGAAGTAATTGAAGAGAAGAAGAGAAGAAGAAGAGGACGAAGGAGGGAGATAAATGAATCTGTGTTAGATTATGGAAACGTGTGGGTGTGCCTTGAATTTGGGTGTGTCAAGTTCTTAGGGAGCTGTGGGTTTCTTGTATTTTTCTTTCAATAAAATGTGGGTTTGTAGGTATATATATTATATTGTATTAAGAAATGAGAAGATGATGGTCTCTACTCTCTCCTCAGTCCTCTCCTTGGAAATTAGAAATTAGGGTTTTTGAGTGTGGGGTCGCGTGAGCTTGAGAAGAGAGAGAAAGTGGGGCGCACGTCCTTATCTCGCGTACCGATAAATTTTAATTTATTTATTTTATATATATATAATTGAAATGACTTACATACACCTAATATATGGATTCTCGCGTACTGATAAATTTTAGTTTATTTATTTTATATATATATATAATTGAAATGACTTACATACACTTAATATATGGATTCACTGTAGATTAAATTAATAAAAAAAATAAATTTGAGACTATATTTATATATAAATTAGGAGAGAGAATGCTCCATCATAACATACATTATGCATATAAACTAGTCAATCAATGCAATGTTCAAATGATAATTAATTTATTATTTTTTTTAATTTCTTAAATAAAAAAAACATTTATAAATATTTCTTGAAAAATTAAAATTAAAAAGTCAAAGCAAATGTCTTAACGGTACCTTTTATTTTTAAATTGCACTGTATAATTATCATAAACACTTAATAATTACAATAAAGTAATACTTCAATTTTACTACTATTGTAATTCTATTATAATTAATTTTAATTTTGGCAACCCTACCAATTGACTTTTTTTTCTTTGATTGGTCATACTAATTAACCTTTTACAATCTTTACAGGTTTAATTATCAATAATTTAACCTTTTTCAAGTTAAATTAGATTAGATTTGTTGACATGACAATTAATCTTTTTTTTTTTTTGGTTAATTTTTGTTATCAAACCAAATTGTGTTTTTTATAGGAAATATTAATTTCATTGTATTAAATATGAAATACAGTATTAGAATAAAATATTAATAATTCTTTTAAATCGTGTATATATATGTGATTAGGAAGATAATTAAAAATTCAACTTGTCAATGTTATATCTTCAAATTCAATATATAGAAACAATTGTATTTAAATTTCAAGATTATGGGAGTATTTAATTATTATAAATAATTATTGTAGCATTGCGAAAAGTTAGTCTTTCCAAAACATTTATGGTGATAAAATCATGGGATTCATTTGATTGCATAAACAAATGTCAATAATACATGTATAGTTATTTGGTAGTAATATAATATTTAATTACCATGAGAAAGCAACCTCTACTTCGAACCTATAATATATAATTATGGTGATAAGAAATCATGGGATTCACATTTGATTACATAAACAAATGTCAAATAATACATGTAAATAGTTTATTTGTTAGTAATATAATTATTTAATTACATGAGAAAGCAACCTCTACTTCGAACCTATAATATATATATATATATATAATAAGTACCGTATATATATAGTATTATATAGTATATTATGTATTTTGCTTTTATTTATAATATATATGTATGTATTTGCTTTTATTTATAATTTATAACTCTAATTTTTCAACCTTATCGATAAAATAAAAAATTAAAAAAAAAATTCAATCATCGAGCGAAGCATTGAAAATTAATGGGTACTTGCCAAAAAAGCATTATTACATGGGAAAGAAGATAGTAACTATGAAAGGGTATTTTTTTTTTTATTATTATTAATTAAGTTTCATAAAGATTCGAATTTTTACTATTTAATACTTTTAAAAGCGATTTCATTGTTATTAAATAAATTAATTAAAGAAAGTTCATTGGTTAAAGAAATGCATGTGTTGCCAACCAAGAATATCCACAAAGGAAAAAGAAAAAAAAAAAAACAAATTAAATAGTTATAATATACTCATCCACCATCTTTGCATGTTCATTCACTCTCTTGGAGAGGCTATAGATTTTAGTTATTTTATTATTATTTTCTTTTTAATTAATTAATCAGTGACCAATATAAAAATTTTCAGTCCCTCTTTTAATATCTCATTTGCTTCCTTCAGTGCATAGAAAACTTCTTTTCAATCATTATCTTTCTCCAAAGAATGAGGAATATATATACATAATTAATTTTTTAAAAAATATATATATAATAAGAGTCATTTTCTAGTTATACTTAGAATATATATATATTTAATTCAATATATCTACGATAATTTTATTATTCTAGTCAATATTGCTGGATGGAAGTGGAGAGCTAAACTAATTAATGCATTATCCTAATTAATTAATTACTTTGTGACTTGAAAATTAATTTGTTATTGTTATCTCAAAGTATCTTTTAGAGAGAGTGAGCATTTTTATATAATGGAAACTTAAAAATTAAAATTAATAGAAAAGAAGAAACAAACTGTTTACATCACTTACAGTTACAAAGCAAGTTCTGTAGGTAAAAGGTAGTTGAGCTTTCACTTACAACTTACAAGTTCAACCTCCATCTCTACACATGAGGAATTAAAAATTACAGTGGCTGTTGAAACTTTGTCTGAGGACACTTACATCAACAACTAATAACTAATTTCTATCCTATTTATATATATTTTTCATTTCAGTAAATTCTTATAATATTTTATTTATATCTGATTGTCATGATTTACACCATTCCAATTCCACCCTCTTCAATTTCCTTTATTAACCCCAGTATCATATCTATAATTTATTTTGTTTATTTTTTTTGTTTTTAGAATTCATAAATTGATTTTTTTTCCATTTTTATTTTATTTTGAATTTTTAAAGTATTTATTATTATTTAAAATAAAAAAATGTTATATTTTATTATTTTTACTGAAAGTAAAATAAATCATAAACTTAAATTTATGTCTTTAATTCATTTAAAAGTCAAATTGAGCATTTATTGTTATAGTTTTTATGGTTATCTTTAAAATTCAAAGATGGGGAATCTCATGAGAGTGTTTGTTCATTTGATTAACTCAACTTTGGGAATTTTATATATATTAATACCTTTCTCTATTCAATTGTTATCATTAGAGAGAGCAATAATCAATAGTTTTGAGTGATATGACATTCATTGTTCTAATTAAATAATAAAAAGTTCAAATTATAATTATGTTTTTTTTTTTTTTTTGGGTGGCTCCTTTAAATTTTAAAAATATGAATATGTTATATGGCTGACTTCTTATGAGAATTTCAGTATTTTTATAATTTAGTAGACAAATGTCCATATTATAATTGGTAAACTCAATCTTGCATGTTCTTTTTTTTTTATTTTTTTATGGTAATTCATTTTTTTTAGTGGGCATCTTTCTATGGATCATAGCCTGCCCTATAGGGTATAATGCCGCTGTTTACATTACGATATTCTTTATTTTTTTTATTCATCAAAAAGTTTGATGTGCCGAAATAATACTGAAAGTTATATAATAGGTGTAACTCTTTTTGTATTTATCAAATTTGATGAAAGTAACCAAAAAAAACTCGAACTCGAGATCTCCCACTTCTTGCTACTCTATTATTTATTCATTACGATTACTGATTGATAAATAATAATATGATAATATATAATCTTAATTTTATCATTTTAATTTTATAATAAAGTTCGTTTGGAGATGCAGTCTACTTCTATTAATTTAATTGTCAATTAGTAATTTTATTATTATTTTTATTCATAATGGAATTTAAACAACATTGTTTTATTTTATGTAACAGGCTTTAATCTATGAAGTATGAACTTTATTTCTAACCAAAGAATAAAAATATAAACTTTCATGGATGACTTCACATTTACTAATCCAAACAATTTCTTAATTCTTTTGTTGATTTTGATTTTTTTTTTTTTAATTAGGAGGGAAATATTTCTTTACTTGCGGGATTTTTAATTTAACATGGATATTATATATGTACATATGAAATTTATGCCCTTGAATTATTTAATAACTTTTTATTACAACTTATTCGAGTTGAAGCCCATTGTAAGCCTAAATGAATAGGCTTTAGTAACAAAAAAATGGGCTTCGTTTGGCCCATTATATCATCGTCATCTTCTTCAATGGAAAAAAATTAAAGAAACAAGAAGAAATAATGGGTTTGAACTTTTCCTCGAGGAAAGAGAGTTCTGAGAATCCATAGCTGCGTGCAGGAGGGAGCGGTGGAGAGAGAGATGGGTGATAATCTATTCGAAGGCCTACCACCTCCTTCCAATCAACAGGAACAAAATCAACAAGTAGAAGAGATTACTTCAAATAACAGAGAACCATCTCCACCACCACCACCAGCTCCAACCCCAATTTTGAAAAGTGCCCTCAAACGCCCCAAGCCAATCGAATCTAACCCTGACCCAGAAGGTACCTCAAAAAACCCTACAAACTTCCAGTATTATTTGTATCTGTTTTAATCTTATTTCTCAGTCTTCTTTTTTTTTTTTTTTTTTTTTTTTTTTTTTTTTTTTACTCTCAAAAAAAACGCCTTCGTATTTATTGTATCTGTAATCTTATTTCTCAGTTTTTTTTTTTTTTTTTTTTTTTTTTTCTTTAATCTTGGTGATTATTGACACTTTTGTTTTGAGGCTGAATTGAGATTATAAGTGTTCAGGTGTTTTGTATAGTGCGGTTGTTTTTTCTTTTTTTTTTTTTTTTTTTTTTTTTTTTTTTTTTTTTTTTTTTAAATCTTGGCTGATTACTTGCATTTTGTATGAGCTGAATTGAGATTATAAAGTGTTCAGGTGTTTGTATAAGTGTGTTTTTCTGCATTTACTTGTTTTGGTATGCTTAGAGGAGAACGGGTTTAGTTGATTTCCCTTTTTTTTGGTTTACAATAAAGGGTAGAGCATATTCGCCACTGAGATTATTGGGGATGAAAAGAAAACATAAAAAGTTTGGAGCTTTGTAAAGGAATTCTAATTATATAGGACTACAGAAGCAAGAATCCATCTTGCATAGTTCAGTTTTCCAAGAGCAAGGATGCTCCTGAAAAGTTGTTAACATTTTTACTATAAAGAGAATCCCTTTTCTTGTTTTGTTTTAAACTTTGAGTTGTTATTTTCAGATATTGCACCTGTAAAGGTCATTCCATCGGAAAAACGATTGAGGTTTAAAACCACAACAGATGCCTCAGAAACACAACTAGTAGAGGCTATGCAGAAGATAACATCACATATTAAGAATCCTACGAAGTTTGCAAAGGCTTCTAAGCTTGCCATACAACTAATTCAGGCTGGAAGTGTAAAGCCAGGGACTAGTGACTGCTTCTTTGCCATACTTGAGGCTGCAATGTCTTCGACCACCACTTGTAATGATCCTTCTGTGCGGGCAGATTATCATGCCTTGTTTTCAGTGGCACAAGATGCTGCTGAAGTGAGTATGTAGTTTGCTTTCAATATGCAGATGAATTTGTCTTCTTAAGGAAAATTTCACCTTTGAGGTCTGTCTTACTATATTTTCTCTTCGCAGTGCCTCAATATGAAGCAGAAGCATCAATTAGCTACATGGACAATTAAGGCAGTGGTGGCAAACGACTTGTTCACTGATGACAGCTTTGTGGTAGGCATTTTACTTGTATTCAGTTTTGCATTTTAACTTATTTACTGATGACAGCAATAAGTATTTACCTTCAACTTCAAGCATGCTTAACTAATTTATAGAATTTTGGTTGTGTAGTACCTTTGTGCCTTTAATCATGTTTGCTCTTTTTCTGCATTCATGCACTGGAATAGTAAGAAGATATTTTGTTGCCACATTAAGGACATAACGTTTGAAGTCTTATAGAATTCTGGGGCTGCCTCAACCTGGGAAGCCAAAGTTGAAAATAAGATGGGCCCTTTTTCACTTTTGTACCTTCTGCTGTCTGAAAATTGACATTCATGCTAAGAATGATATTGGTGTGTTATCATAAGGATGTCTCATGTCCAACAGCACAGACCATTCTAGCTCTTTCCATTCTCAAATATTATATGAAAATATATCATAACACACTCGTTTTCATTTGCTAAATATGCTGTTAAACATCAACAATGGGAATATGGGCATATGCATATAAACATCTGCGATGGACACTGCTGCATGATCATGTAACAATTGATAATCACTTAAAGGCATCAGTCGGTTGAGCAGTATTAGGGTGTGTATTTAATAAATGTATGGAACCAAATCTATTTTGTAACAGGAAAATACAGATTTTGCTTAAGATTGTTGTGCTGTAATTGAAACATCTGGGACTACAATTATTGAAAGCTAACTTGTGATTACGATAACATTTTGTTTCTGTCCTTTTCTTTTTTGTATTTTGGACAAAACCATGTTAACATGGAAATAACTAATAAGAATTTCCGTAAGAGCTTCAATCTTGCCTGAAAGTCCTTTTGTGTTAATATGTTTATGGACTTTCATGCAGTTCTCAAAAGCAGCTGGACGGATAAAAGAAGCCATAACTAATCTTCCAATTGCAACTGAGGATGAGGACATCAAAGAAGCTGCAGCCCTGAAAGACGAGACAGGAACAACTGATGGAGACAGTAAAAACAAGCAGGAGTTATCTTCAGGTGCTTCAGCTGAGGCAACTAAGAAGGATGAATCTGATCCATTTGGGCTTGATGCTTTGATAAGTACAGCAAAGAAAGATGAAAGGGCAAAGGGAAAGAAAGATGCAGTTACCAAGATGAGGAAGGAGGAGGAGGAGGAGGAGGAGGAGGAGGAGGAAGAGAATAGGAGATTCCTCAAATCACAGAGAGAATCTTTGATTATTTGTTTAGAGATTGCTGCTCGTCGTTATAAAACTCCATGGTAGCTTTCTTCCCTAATTGCTACTTATCAATCACAGTTTTGTTATTATTTGGCATCATTGTTCTGTCTCTCTATCTTTCTTGCAGCTGATCACATACTTGTATTGGTTTTTTATTGAAGAGATCACTTGTTTTCTTTTCAGGTGCCAAACAGTGATAGACATTTTGGTAAAGCATGCCTTTGATAATGTTGCAAGGTTCACATCTCGACAAAGGGACGCTATAGACAAATTATGGGCTTCTATTCGGGAACAGCAAAACCGCAGAAAACAAGGGAAATCAATTAATGGTAAACTTGATGTGACTGCCTTTGAATGGCTTCAACAAAAATATTCAACGGAGAAAATTAGCATTCGGCATTCTGTTGGGGGCAGTGGGGATCGTCGTGCTCAACAGTGGCTTGGTTAAATGCCTTGTTTGATATTGTAATACAGCAATTCTGATGACAACTAACACCCAGAAAACAAATTGAAATTTCCAGTGAACTTTCTGCTTATTCCAATATATGCACAACACTCTCTCCCACTATTATCTTAGTATATGCATTACCTGTTATGTTTGTTTGCCTTTGTTTCCAAAAAATAAAAACTAAAATTTCTCACTGTGGTAGTAGCTGACCATAGCAAGGCATCTTTTATGGTGTTAAAAGTAGGGATTACATGGGTGTAGATGAGCTGCACAGACCCGCAAGTTATTTGAGCTCAGCTCGGAAAAAGTTAGAGCTCGGGCCAGTTTGTTTAGCATACGGTTAATGATATTTTGCTCGAAAAGAAAAAGCTTGAGCTCGGGCCAGTTTGTTTAACAAATTGAGTGAAGCTCGAGCCTAAGAATATTTTGCTCAAAGAAAGCTTATTAGCTTGAAATAAATAAGTTTGGGATGAATTGAACTCTAGTCTTGAATTAAGTTTGAGCTGACCTCAAGCATCTATCGAGTCAAGCGCACGTTCAAAATTTCTAAGTTCAAGCTTCAAGCCTAGCAACTCTATTGACTCTATTGAGCCAAACTCCAAGCTTGGGCAAGCCTATTGGGCTAAAGTTAAAGCTTGGCTCGATTTATTATACCCTAGGATTAAAGATGTCCCCCCCCCCAAATTGTCCCCTTCCCCCCCAATAAAAAAAAGTGAGTGCAATCCAATAAAGAAACAAACGTAAGCAAAAGGCAAAAGGGAATAATCAAGGCCTTGACCTACTCTCCAGTATGTGGAAAAAGCGGGTTTCGCGTTTTTCACAATGCCCCCCCCCAAAAAAAAAGTGAAGTGCAATCAATAAAGACAAACGTAGCAAAAGGCAAAGGGAAATAACAAGGCCTTGACTACTCTCCAGTATGTGAAAAAGCGGGTTTCGTTTTTCACAATGCTGCAAAGTTTCAATTTCATTTGTTTTCGGCGTCTAATGTAATCAAAGAATTTCATAAACATGGTAAGATGATATTATCATCATGTAAATTTGATATATATTGGAGATTTGCAGAATAGAAGACATGCGAGCTGCTGGTTCAGCTAAACAGTTAGAAGAACTACATATAATAGATTTAACACGAGCAATATCTTCACTGTAATTACAATCTATATACATAAAAAATCAATTAATGATACATTTTGCTGTATACTTCTTATATGGCTACCAATAATCGCCGCAAGAACACAATCCTCCACTAAAATGGTGAAATCTATTACGGTCCCTCACTACAATTATCCTCCCATAAACCTTTGACAGTAGCTTAGTTGCTGTATGGCAATCATCACAAATTCGAAGATTCTTCACAACTCGAATTGGAATGCCTGGAGCTGTACTAATGAGTCCAAAAGCCATGGCCAACTTCTCACTGTGGTAGTTAACTGCAGTTTCTTTCTCTTCCTCATCAATATTCTGTAGCACCACAGATGTGTCTGGCAGGTATCCTGCCTCTTTTATTTTCTTGCACATTTCAACTAGCATTTCACTAATTTTCTCAATTTGAGGGTGTGACATGTCTCCCATTGTGAAATCATGAACTGATCCATTAATTTCAATTGAGCTGACACCAGGTTCTTTCTTAATTCCAGTGTCCTTCATTGCTTTTCTCACTCCTGCAACATCATTCCATCTGTTTGCTGCAGCATATATATTTGACATGAGAACTTTATAGCCACAATTTTGGGGTTCCAACGCAAGAAGCTCTCTTACTGCTAATTCCCCCAAGTTAGGATTTTTATGAAGCTTGCAGGCGGCAAGCAGAGCACCCCATATGGTAATATTAGGCGTCATTGGCATCCTTTGAATCATTTCATACGCTTCATCAAGTTGTCCTGCACGACCAAGAAGATCCACCATACATCCATAATGCTCAACCTTTGGATTCAAACCAAAGTCATCGACCATTCTCTCGAACAGTCTTTTTCCTTCTGCTACTAATCCGGCATGACTGCAAGCATGCAAGGCTCCAATAAATGTAATATCATTTGGTTCTACATCTAGTCTCTCCATTTGTGCAAAGAGTTTCAAGGCTTCATTACCACAGCCATGCATTCCATATCCGGCCATCATAGCATTCCACATGCAGATGTCTCGAAACTTTGCTTCACTGAACAGCCTCTGAGCTCCATTTATATCTCCACACTTAGCATACATGTCTACCAGAGCAGTTTTCAGTATTACATCTATTTCAACACCTTGTTTGTCAATGTAACCATGAATCCACTTGCCCATGTCAAGGGCTCCAGCTTCTGCACATAGAGAAAGAAGGCTGACCATTGTCACTTCGTTTGGCATCACCTTGTGATCCCTCATCTGTACAAAGAGATCAAAAGCATCATCAATAAACCCAGTTTGTCCATATGCCGTAATCATAGCAGTCCAAGTCATAACATCTTTATGCTCCAAGCTATCAAACAAATCCCTTGCACTTCTTAAATCACCACATTTTCCATACATGTCAACCAAAGCAGTAGCTAGAGCAAATTTCATTTTATACCCATTTCTCAAAATGTAGGCATGTAGTTTCTTGCCCAATTTTAAAGCCGCTACGAACCCACAAGCAATAATCATACTTAACATTGTGATCTCATTGGGAACAATATTTTCTTTAGTCATTTCAATAAAAAGCCTTTCACCCTCTTCCAAATTATTGGACCTAATATAGCCTGAAACCAAAGCAGTCCATGAAACAATGCTTTTTTTACGGAACCCATCAAAAAGGATTCTTGCAGATGTTAAATTTCCGGACTTGGCATACATGTCAATCAAAGAAGTAACTAAGGACAAACTCACTTTCTCATCAGTGCTATTCCTTATAACATAAGCATGCATTTCTTTCCCCAGCTTAATATTCTCAAGGTCCGCAAACAGATTAACCATGCTAACCATAGCAACTGCACTAGGCTTAACATTCCAAAAAAGCATATCTTTTATAGTTTTTAACCCCTCATGAAACAATCTATTCCGACTATAGCTTCTAATCATTGTACTCCAGGAAACAGCGTCTCTCTCAGGCATTGTATCAAACAGTAACCGTGCAGAAGCTAAACACCCACATTCAGTGTACATTTGCATTAAAGCATTACACACAAAGACATCACCAAAGATTCCATTTTTAATAGCAAAACCATGAATTTCTTTCCCCAAATGGGTCATTGAGGTTTGGCAGCAAGCTTTAAGAATTGATGGAACAGTAAAATTGTCCACTTCATAGTCTACATTCCGTAAATAAGCATATATGTATATTGCCTTCCTGGGTTCGTTGTTTTTAATATAGGAAGTTATAAGTAGATTGCAGAGAGCTTGAGGGCTTAATTGGGCTTTAAAAGGATGGAGGGAAAATTTGTAAGTGGGATTGAAGTCGGTTTTAATCAGGTGGGCATGGATTTGCTTTGTCTGGTCAAGGGATAGGGAATTATTTGGAGGTGGAGACGAGTTCTGCAGGTGTTTGTTTTCATGTGGACGTGAAATTAATCTGTATGTGGAAGCAGGAGGTGGAGGATAAAGAGGAAGAAAGGTGGGTGCTTGGAGTTTTTGGATTGTGGAAGGGAGGAGGGAAGAAGATTTGGCAGTGACCAAAGGCACTTCCATGATGTTTACACCTTGGCTGGACGAATGGGCATGGACAATGCCCAAACTGTTTAAGATATTTCTTAATTCTCATATAATCCTGTTAAATCCAGTCAAGCACAATATTTTTTTTCGGTCATTCTCTCTCTTTTCTCTTTAGTGATTTAGCCCTAATTTTATGTTGGGGGCCGCCGTTTAACCTTTTCGCTTCGCTTCTTTTTACTTTTAATCTTTTATTCATTTTAACAAAATTTCTTTAATAAATTCATATCTATTTTTCTCTACGATAGATTTTTCTTTTTTTGGTTTTGTTATTATTATTTTGTCTATATTTTTAAAGTTTATCTCCCTTTTTTATGAGGATAGTCCTTTTATTGTGAGGGTTTATTACTAATTAAAATAATATGATATTTGATTTTATTTAATTAGAGACCTTAAATCTTAATTTACAAGCGTGAATCTTTAATTAATAGAGCTTGGTAATGCGGTATATTTCTCCATTAATGCTATGGAGATATAATAGTGACATAAACTTATCTGGTAGTGGAGCATGTTCCTCCATTGATGCTATTGAGACATAATGGGGTAAATTCATTTGTGTTCGTTATATGTTGTAAATTGTTAGAAAAACAATACAAATATAGAAGATTCAGAAAAGTTATTATTTTGTCGTCCAAATCACTTAACGGAATAGGTGCTGTTATGAAAATTTATATCTTTTGTTAAGAACAAATCTAAGCTGGAAGATCGAATATTGTATTTTTTTTTTTAATTTTAGTTTTATTGTTCAAAAGAATATGAATTTTTTTGGTCATTTAAAATATCAACGAACTTTGTTAGCTATTAACAATAAATTTATATATTTATTTTTCTCAATATTATTATTAATGAATATTTTCAAAAAAATATATATGTAATCCTATTAAATTAATCCAAATTTAGTTGATGAAATTCATTTAAAATTTTACTGTATTTTTTAAATATATTAAAATAAAATATATGCATATAATGGCAAGTTTGAAATTATATAAAAAATCAGGGGCAGCATATCAACAAAGAATAAAACCCTAAATCTCCATCTTCTCAGCCTATATAATTCTCATCTAAAACCCTACTCCTCATCTCTTCAACCAGCAGCTTCCCCAGTAGCAGTCTCACCCAAAGGTGAACTCTTTCTCTGCGTTATTTTCCGTTTCTGTTTTTGCTATTTACATTTCGTGCTTATATACATGTATAAGTGGTTCTTTTAGCAGTTTAGCACATATCGAAGGCTTGTAGGTGATTATACCGAAAACTCTGCGAGCTCAAAACCTGTGCAATATCATTAATTCATCCACCAAATAACACCCTCATGATATTTCTTTCTATTTTGCTTGAGGATTTTACGCTGGATGATGTACATTTTATGATGCAATAGCATTCATCAAAATCGTCCATGGACTTTACGATGTGTGTTTTGTATGGAATGTTTTCTTTTTCCAAAAATTTTTTTGTTTTAGAAAGCCAATTTGCAGAGCAAGAGCGTCGATAATGGCGAAATTTGCATTGAAGGTTGGCGATAACATAGCAATTCTCCGTGCCTATCAAATCTTTCAATTTCGTTTTGATTATGGCCTCGAACAAGTTGCTACATTTTTTTAACTTATTACAGTTACTTTTTCAAAATGAATTGGTAAAAGAAACTATGCATTTTTAATATTTATTTTTTATTCAATTTGTTGTGAATTTTACAGTGTCCTTTCAAGTTTAATTGGGATTATTAGCTGATGAATCAACCTAGTTCTGTTCAAAATTCATGTTGGAAATTAAGTTCTAGAGCTTCAAATATTGATGGTTTTTTGTATAAGTTCCGGTGATTGTTGGATGTTAATAGAAAGTGTTAGGCGGCTTTTTTAGGGTAGATACTGAGTGCAGTTATTAAAATTGCTTGTCTTGGAGTTGGATAATTTAAAATGTTGAACCCAAAAGCATTTCAAGGATTTGCTTCTTTTCTGTATCATTTTATTTTTATAAAGCCAATTTGCAGAGCAAGGGCGTCAAAAAAATGGCGTGTTTTTGCTTGAAGGTTGGCAATAGCAATAGCAATTCTCCGTGCCTGTCAAGTTTCAATTTCATTTTGATCATGGCCTCGAACAAGTTGCTACATTATTTCATTTTCAAACTTGAAACTCTTAGTTAAAATTGTAACAATCGAGAGAATGTAACTATATGCTTTATGGATTTTGAGTTTTCTGTTTTAGGGAGACTCCATGTATAAGCACGTGTGTGATATGTGTATATTGGGATCAAATTACTGTATGCTTGTGATTCTGGTCTCTGACATGCCTCACCTTTTGATGGATAACAGGATTTGAATTGAAAATGTCAAACCCAAAGGTTTTCTTTGACATTCTTATTGGCAAGGCGAAAGCAGGTCGTGTTGTTATGGAGCTCTTTTCTGATGTTACTCCAAAAACTGCAGAAAATTTCCGTGCTCTCTGCACTGGCGAGAAAGGTCTTGGAATATCTGGCAAGCCCTTGCATTACAAGGGTTCAGTATTCCACAGAATAATCCCCAAATTCATGTGCCAAGGTGGAGATTTCACAAGAGGGAATGGAACTGGAGGAGAATCAATCTATGGCACAAAGTTTGCGGATGAGAACTTCAAGATAAAGCATACAGCGCCTGGTCTTCTTTCAATGGCAAATGCTGGGCCTAACACAAATGGTTCTCAGTTTTTTATTACTACGGAGAAAACCGAGTGGTTGGATGGTAAGCATGTTGTGTTTGGGAAAGTCGTGGAAGGCTACAGTGTGGTCAAGGAAATGGAGAAGGTTGGTTCAGCTAGTGGAAGCACTTCAAAACCTGTTGTCATCGAAGATTGTGGTCAAATAGCAGAGAATTGATGAGACAGTATATGACTTCAAAATATAATTCAATAAAGGAGGTTCTTGGATTACAATTTGCTGTATTGTAGGTTTATGTTAAGACTTGAGAAGAACCATGTATATTATGATAGGCTCGGAGATTCATTTGATGCCTGCCTGCCTGCAAATTTGTTTTAATAGCAGCACCCTGGTTAACATGTACAGGATTTAGTCTTTTCTGTGAAAATAATCATTTCTCATTGAAGATCATTACAGTACATTATTTGTAAGGAGCACTGTTGCTATATTTCCATAATAATATTAGCCAAGAAAATGAGAATTGATTATCTATAATTTTTATATAATCAACTAAAACTGGAAAGAAGTGGTACGCTATCAATAATTTATACTTGTCCTGCTTCTTGAATCTCATGGCAGCTGTGATCCAACAATTAAAATACCATGGCACATCAAGAAAGGTGCGAAAGGGAAATTTTCAAATGAAACTCTTCTAATGCTCTTATAGTTTTATGCATTACAAAGTTCCATAAGGAACAAAAAAAAAAATTGAGTTACATTTGTAGACTATTACAACAGCATCAATATTTTTCGCAACAAAATGGAAGAAAAAATACGTACCTTCTACTGGGTAAGTTCCAGTTTCCTCCTTCATTACAATTGTATGATCAAAGACCAATATAAACCTCCATTTAATAAAAAAAATTGCAACTTTTCACTCCCAATCTTCATCGCGCAATTGATCATCAGTCTCCTCTTTCGGTGGCCTGACCACCGTCACCACAGTCCCTAAAAAAAAAATTGAGTTACATTTGTAGACTATTACAACAGCATCAATATTTTTCGCAACAAAATGGAAGAAAAAATACGTACCTTCTACTGGGTAAGTTCCAGTTTCCTCCTTCATTACAATTGTATGATCAAAGACCAATATAAACCTCCATTTAATAAAAAAAATTGCAACTTTTCACTCCCAATCTTCATCGCGCAATTGATCATCAGTCTCCTCTTTCGGTGGCCTGACCACCGTCACCACAGTCCCTAAACTGACCTCCACACCCTTTGCCTTCAACGCAGAACCCCTCTCCACCTTTAATCCACCATCACCACTGCCATCAACAGCTACCAAGTAAAACCCATCATCTATAGTCACCTCCTTCCTTCCCCTATCAGCCACCACCAAAACAGCCTCTTCTTTATACCATCTATTCACTTTCCAAGGTAAGACTCTTGCATCCGGAAAAGCCACCACCACTCCTCCTTTCCCTAACCCCACGACCGGCTCCCATGCTGGTAACACCACCCACCTCTCCCAGCCTTTCTCCGCTACCACAACGCCGAACTCACCCTCTGTCCTGCATTCCCACGGAGCTTCCAAAATCTCTTTTTCTATCTGTTCTGCTCTACAAACAGGTAAAACCACTACATTACTTGCCTCTGCAACCTCACCAAGTTTCAATCTCACAACTGGAACCCTAACGCTATCCGCCATTTCCCCTTCTTCACCATCCTTATCCTCACTATCCCCCTGTAATTCCTTCAAAATTGAATTTTTCGCCTTTTCAGACTCAGCAACATCCAATGCCATTTCCAAAGCATTTGTTCTTTGCTCTGATAGGTCCTTATGCTCTCTAGATTGTCTATAATACATGAAAGATAGACAATCTCCAGGAAGAGTATAGTCAAAGTCTTCCCACGCCTTATCCCCACGTCTACGAGGAAAATCCTTCATAGCACGGGCTAGATCCTGAGCGCCTTTAGCGTCCAACTTATGCTGTATGAGAAAGCGAGCGGCTGCAGCCCGCTGCGAAACGCTCAGGAGCCGAATTTCATACAGTAACTCTGCCCCACCTGTATCAAATTCAGCAACAATTTCTGGGTCTGTTTTAGATTGAATTAAAGATTCACGAACCTGAGCTGCAACAACTAAACGATTCTGTTCAACACCAGAAATGCCGGTAGATTCCTCAATTGATGTTGGAGAGAAACCTTCTCTAATGAGAGAAGTGATTAAAGGGGCGTACTCATACCAGAGACCAAGCCGATTGGCTAGGATTTCGAGTCGGCCGGCAGCGTCAAGAGATTGGTATTGTGGGGGGAGAGTATTTGGAGGAGGTCTAAAGGGCTGGTATAGTTGTTGACTAGCCGGAGGTGGTGGAGAGGAAGGTATTAGAGTGGCTGATATGGGTTTTAGATGGATTTTTGGGGAGGGTAAGTGGAAAATAAAGAGAGGAGGATTGGGACTAAGAAAAGAAGAAGAAAATGATTTATTTTTGGAATTGTAGAGAGATAGAGGCACATGGGTGTTTACATTTGCAGAGAACATGGTGCGAAGAGGATGTGAGGTTCAAAGGAAGGAAGAAGAAGAAGGAGCACCTTATCTGATAAAATGCAAATTTTGATATTTTCGAAGTTGTGGTTATGAACGGTACATTGGGCCTGCGTAAGTATAAAATTATGAAGAAATTCAATTTCATGAATGAGCCCATTTAACGCAAATGAAAAAATTCTATAAAGCCCATTTATGATCTGTTGGAATTGCGGTTTTGATTGGAATGTACAGTGCTTAGCTGTGGTGAAACAGAAATCTGCATCAATTGGACATTGGATTTCTGTGAACAAAAATAAAAATAAAATTCACAATTAATGAGGTTTTCTGTTTGTTTTGTTTTGTTTTGTTTTCTGACAATAAAAAGGTCACCAAATTGAACTGGGTAAAAATATTCTTGGAAAGCAATGACTCAATTTCAATGTGGATTAACTAACCTGAAGATACCATTTACATAAGTCCAAATATATTTTCTAAAAGATAAATTATTTTTCAAAAATAAATGCAGCCTTCATCATCTTTCAAAACACTAAACAACAGATAAGAATAGAGAAAAGAGTATTTAATATTTTCGGAAACATTAATTTTCTAAATGTCAAATATAAATTGACCCATCATAACAACTTTTACGTAACATAATTTAGAGTGGAAAAAGACCTACAAAATCCCATTTCGCTGAAAAAAAAAACAAGACCACAATGAAATTAAATGTGCAGCCGTTTGAAATTAAATGGTCATAATATGAGAGAATAGAAATTAAAATTTGTTTGGATTGGAGATTTGGTCAAACCAAGTTGGATGGTTGCCATAAACACTGACATCTTTTTGAGATATTAAACAAAGAAATACCAAAATAATAAGAAAAAATGAAAAATTAGTCAGTCCATATGGGTAAGGTCGCTCGTCAATTTTGATGCATGCATATTTCATCACGTTAATAATATGTATAATGCAAAAGCCAGAATTTTTTCAGTCCGCCAATAGCTGCAATTATTGATCAAGTTCTGAATATTTTGTAGATGGGTAGCTTTCGTTTTTCTCATAATTCATAATTGAAGCTCGTAACTGTTATTATTTTGATTAATATTAATCTTTAAGAACCTCTTCATTTTGTTTTTTCTTCCCCATTTTGGTACAAAGAACCTATATATTGATTTAGTAAAAGACAGCTAGGGGGGAAAAGATGCATGCACCTTGCTATTTTTGTATTATATTTGCTTTTGTTTAGCTCACATGATAACATAATATCGTAATTAAGTAATTATTCTATTTATGAAATTATTATTTTTCACTTATTTGTGAATTTATGTACTTCACAAACATTTATATGGTCAAGCATTGTTCGTCTAAATATAATGTTTACTTTCACAAACATCTCTAATATGTCCAAGCATGTTCGACTAATATATATATATCTATTATATATATATATCATCTTTTTATACTATATATCTATAAATACTACACACGCGCGTCTGAGATTTAATTCGGAATACAGTATTCGTTAACAATCTTAAGATAAACAAAAATACGAACATAAAGTTATTCAATGCAATGTGATTCTTACGTTTCATATTCTTTTATGAATACAAACTTCATCCCTTTAATTGATACTTTCTTGGTGGCTAATAAATATTTTTGTTAATTTAACTATATATATATACACACGCGTTGAGATTTATGGAATAAGTATTTTACATTTTAGATAAAAAAAATAGAATAGTTATTCAATGCATGTGATTTTAGTTTCATATTCTTTTATGAAACAAATTAATCCTTTAATTATACTTTTGTGTGGCTAATATAATATTTTTGTTATTTACTTTAAAATTCTATAATATTTAAGTTGAAGGGTAGACGCGAATGTTTGGGTTGGATATTAGAATCCATAATTATCGAACTAAACAAAGCTTTGAACTTACACAACTTAGTATATGATTTTTTTAATGTGAGATTTTAAAAGAAGTTAGTGTTTAGTTTAGTTTGTTCATTTCATTCGGTTATTTTATATAGTTCTGTTAATTGAATTCAGTTTTCAATATAATTGATTTAATTCGGTTTGATTCATAACGTAGAATCTACTTGTTAATGTTCAATTTATTTCCCAGAACTTCTTTTACATTAGACATTAACAAAAAAAAAAAAGAATGGCTAGCATTTGACTGCAAAATGGTGAAAGTTTTTAGCTTGGAAAACAAGTTAGGTAAACAAGACCTATATAGCATTCTCAATATGCTTGGATAGGATTTTTCTTTTTTCTTTTTTTAAAAAAAAAAATTATATTCACGAGGCTACAAAATAGGCCTCTCAATGCTCAAGATAGTTTGATCCAGTGGTTGAAGATTTGAAGCATACCAGATCCCTCTCTGATTATCTCAGAATCAAGTTATTTGATTCGAATGCTAACTGATACTAACTATCCCTCTTAAGAGACTTGGAGTTATGTTAAAAGTCATAAAGAGGTCTATACTTCCTTTGAATTTCTCTTTCCATTCACTTAAAAAGGTAATTGAGGATTAAGGATGTTGATTTCATCCTTAAAATAAATTATGTTTCCTCTATTTTCATAAGCCATATTGAAGTTTTTGACCAAAGCTGTGTGTGTGTGTGTGTGTGTGTGTGTGAACGTCCATTATAAATCCAAAGACTTTCAAAACATTCTGGAAATTCCAAAATATGTTTGTTTGACCAAAAGAGACAGCAAAGTCACAATCATCACTACATCCCTTATAATATTTGCATAATAATGTTGACCACCTTTCCAAACACTTGTCGTTGTTTCATACATTACTACCAAAATTCACAATTTAAAGTTTACTGTCCATTCGATTGTAAGTCATTTAATTATTTTATTATGAATTAAAATAAGTTATGAAAGTTTTTTCTAACAGTTTTGAATGAGCTCAAGATCCATCTCTGTATTTTATGCAAAAAGTCAAGTGGTACTTTTAACTTTTATTTTGATCTATTGAATATTTCAATTTATAAAATTACATTTATTTAACTGTTTAAATTTGTAAATTTTTTCTATTAAACACTCTAACTTTTAAATTTAAATCAATTAAATACTTATTTAATAGTTGAAATTGAAAAAATTATTCTTTAAAAAGTTGTGCAACCATACATCAAAATCAATTATTTATATGTAAATGCCAAAAATATTAAAAAGAGACTACTATAATTAATACAAAGAGGTATGCAATATTACCAAAATTGATTAATAAGTCTCTTGTAAAATTAAGTGTCCCACAATTTTTTATATGAATATAAGGATGATTTATAGATTTGACCAGAAAAATTACATTTGAAATTCTTTTTTGAGCTTTTATAAAAATTTGTTTAAAATTCATAAATTTGAGACATATGATGGAACATAGTCCTCAAGGTACTCAAATAAAGTTCCACTAAGTTAGATTCCTTGAGTGGATAAGAATAATGCTAGCTCGTGCAAATTTTATTTCAGCTTGGCTGTGTCCAAAAAGTTAAACACATGAATGAATTGGTGGATAGGTCAAAAAATTAATATGAACTCAATCATATCTATCTAGTAAATTTAGTAAACATTAAACATTTAAAAATTTAGTATCATAATTCATACATACGGTACGCTTGAATTTGGTAAATAATTTTTATAAAATTATAAATTTAATTTGTAAAAAATATTTATAGAAATCAGCAGCTTAGTTTATTACTTTTGACAGTTTCGAAATCAGTTGTTTTGAAATAATAAATTAACGTGGTCTGTAGTGGTTGCTCATGTTCTTCGGGAACTGAGCGATTGGCGAGAGTTCCAGATCTTTGTCCAACTTCATACTGGGTCTAGATGGACAGTTGGATCGGGTGGTGGCCATAGCTGGATCTGGCCTGGTCTAGAAGGGTATCTTGCACGGTGGATGGGGCTATTATGGCATCGGAAGGGAAGGTTGCTTGGGGAGCTGTTGTTCGCAATTCATCAGGTCACTTTGTTTGTGGCTACTCTTCTTGGACTCTTGGATATCACTCTCCTAAAGTTGTTGAGGCTATTGCTGTCCGGGATAGAGCTATTTTGATTCTATATTCGAGTGTATGGGATAGAGCTATTGGTCTGAGTTAAAATTGATTTTTTATGCTAAGTTTTTCCTGATTTTTATTAATAAAATATGAGCTATAATTTCAAAAAAAAAAAAAAAATGCTAATTTTCCTGATTTTTTTATTAATAAAAACTATGAAGCTAATAAATTCAAAAAAAAAAAAAAAAAAAATATTGATAGAAAGGAATATTTACAAATTTCCAAAATGAGATTTGTCTTTTAAAAAAATATGAAATACACCATGAAAAGTGTATGAACATTAAATTTCTACATGTTAATCGTATATTGTTAGACAAATTAATTAATTAATTAATTAATTAATATTCTTAGTTATACTAGCAAAAGCATTCTATGGCTGGGTTAGTCTGGTTTACGTGTATCATTTGATTTGAATTTTCAACAAATCATATTTCTGTATTTAAATAATTATATTATATATAATAAAGTTATTTTAAAAGACAAGCACGAGGGCTAATCTTGTTAATATTAGTAATGTAATTGTTTGGCAGGCCTATATAAGACCTAGTTACTAGGGCAACTGCAATGGATTTTTTTTTTTTTTTTATTATTTTTTAATCTAAGGACAGCCTAAAACTTGGTTATTTCTAAATTGTCTTGAGTTTTACATTTACATTTTTCTATTCTTCGAAGGTTTTGGATATTTTTTTTTTTTTTTTTAATCTAAGGACAGCCTAAGAACTTGGTATTTCATAAATTGTCTTAGTTTTTCATTTACATTTTTTTATTCTTCAAGGTTTGATATTAAGACTTCTCATTTTTCATATCTTTTACACCTTATTAATAATTTTTAATTTACATTTATTTAATAAAATAATACTAGAAAAAATAACATTTTAAACTCAAACAATCAAAATTTAAATTTATATAATTAAAATTTTAACTGTTGTATTAAATTCTCAACCGATTCAATAATTAGTCATTAAATTTCAATTGCTCAAAATTCTTAAACCAATTAAATACTTTCCGTCTCATTTTATTTGCATGTTATTTATTTTTTAAATATTTTAAAATATTTATAATGTTTCTAAATTTATATATGTAAACAATTATTTTTCTAATGATTAAAGAACTCATTTAATAATAATCATATTTATTACAATCATTTAAAATTTAATGATTAAAGAACTCATTTTTATGGAGCTTGTACCTTCAATAATTATTTTAACATTAGAATACCAGATACTCATTGAGTTAAAATAATACATTTAGTATGTAGCCTTACTATATCGCACAGACAAAGAGAAAGATAGCTTTAGACTAAACTTTTTTGACCCCTTCCTTTTCTATATTTCTAGTATAATATAAGAAAGATAGCTTAAAAAAAAATTAACATATCTAAAAAGAAATATATAATACTACCACCAGACATCTTTTGATTTAGAAAATTAAATAAAATGTAAATAAATGAGCAAGCGTACGTGTGCATTTTCTGTGTGCTTACGCTTAAGGGGAATGAACCAAACTTTGAGCTCGTAATTTTATTTTACTAATAAAAACAAATAACCTTTGACTATGCCAAACATCTTTGTCCAGATCAAGAAATTAAAACAAAAAAGATAATAAATAATGCTCTGATGTCTAAAGCAGTAATTTTTTTTTATTTATATATAAATCCACTTGCAAAATTTTAAGTAGCTACGAAATTGTAGATGGCAAAAAGAAGAATTGTATAGGTTCATGCACTTATCCAGAAGAAATGAAAATATATATATAGGGATGGGCCGATGGCCAATCTTTCTTTATGATTTATATATAGATTCTTGTTTTTGTTTTATTTAATTAAAATTTTGTAATTATTAGTGGGATACAGTAAATGATTAACAATATCTTTAATTAGAGTTTAGTCTAATTATCTGTTGATTTTCATGACATCATCCTGTGGATTAAGAAGCAAAGGAAGAAGTGTGTCCCACTTGATGTTTCTCGTCAAAGCAGTTAGATTAATCATTGATCCTGTTCGTAATCTTTCTTTTTCTTCTTCTTCTGAGTTTGAATGGTTAAAGAAAAGAAGAAGAAGATTTTGGGTTGTTGAATATGTAAGAAAATTTTTCCATTGATGGTTACTGAAACTGGAAATCTCTAATCTCTGTGGATATCAGTAAAACATTCTTTGAAATATAATTGCACCAACTAATAATATTAAAATGAAGCACTCGTGCAAGATTCAACTTTTCGAATACGAGAAAATATTTAAAAAATGCCACTTCTCAAGTATGAATCAACAATCAACAATTTGGTCAAGACATTATCAAAGACCAAATAATAACAACACAGTCTAAGAGAAGAAATTGGAAGAGATGGATCCAATTAATATACTATGAAGCCATGGTCTTTGAATAAAAGAAATTCAACCCATTTCCCAGTCAAGGATTTGGATTTCCCTTCCAAATGGATAATAATAATTAAGCTTTGCACCATTTAATGAATTTACAGGTTATAAATCATTCAAAGCATCTCTTCTTTGTTTATATTTTTCATGATTTTAGGAATCTGTCTAATGTAATTTCATAAGATAATTGGTTTGACGGATTTAAAATGGATTTAATTTGCAATTTATATTTAATCGAATCTCACTCTGATTTAATTTAGTAAAATATAACATTGATCAAACTCAAATAATAAATTTTAATCGATTTGTTAACGAGAAAAAACTTAAAGCCTTCTTCAAAAACTAATTGCATCTATTTATGAAATGCCAAAAATGTATAATAAGGCAAAACAACGATTCTGTGATTACTTTATCAAACCGCACAAGTAATAAATATTAAACTTTATATATGAAAGTTTATCTCGTAGCTAGCTAGAGTCTTTATTCGTTTTAATAGATTTTATGTTTGGTAGTCTATCCCAAACCTATTATTGGATTATTATTCTCGAAGGTAATACTAATTTTTCTTTTAAATAAAACTACACACGTTGTTCTATATGTTTTTACACCTAATATGAAATGTCCACAGCAACAAGGACTACGAGATAACCCTGAATTAGAACAAGTTGCAGGACAAAGCATATTTATGACGATTAAAGAACCAATAATGTGCCAAGTGGATGAGGCTGAGGCCCCTTCGAGGAGGAGTAGCCACCATCAAGCCCCCAAACCCAAATGAAATCACCAAGCTGACGTCACTAATGATATCCTCATTTGACCTAGCCGCCATACCCCACATGGACCATTTTGACTCACGTGCATTAACTCCTTAATGAGTCCCATTAACGACCATACACATATTTGTGTTTGATGAAAGTGCCCGCCACTTTCTGTATTCATGTAATCGAATATCCTGTCCCTTTTATTGCCGGTATCTTCATTTCCTTTCCTCCTGAATTGTCATCTTCCCTTTCTCCTTTTATTATGCCTATATATACCATTTGCCTTCAAACCCAATTCTCCTCACTGACAATATTACACATAATTAGTAACATTACATTCGAAAAATTTCAAGAAATGGATTCCTCTTTCTTCTCATACCAAACCTACTCTCAATTTTCCCCTGAATCATCTTCTTCTTTTAGTTCTCTCGAATCTTTCTGCAGCCAACCTCTTCCGTACAATGAAAATGACTCCGAAGAAATGTTTCTGTTCGGCGTCCTTAATGAGGCACCCACCTTCTCTGCTAATATGAACTACAGCGAGGTTAACTCAGCAGACTCTAATAATTATCAAGACGAACCTATTCAAGAAATTGCTTATCGAGGAGTAAGAAAGCGGCCTTGGGGGAAATATGCGGCGGAAATCAGAGATTCGACGAGAAATGGAGTTAGAGTTTGGTTAGGAACATTTGATAAAGCTGAGGATGCAGCCTTAGCTTATGATCAAGCTGCATTAGCAATGAGAGGTTCAACGGCTATATTGAATTTTCCCATTGAGAAAGTTTATGAATCACTTCAAGAAATGAAGTATGAATTCCAGGAAGGATATTCTCCGGTTCTTGAATTGAAAAAAAGACATTCGATGAAAAGAAAAGCAGAAAGCAAGAAAAAGAAAGGTAAAGAAGATATGAGAATGGAAAATGTAGTGGTGTTGGAAGATTTAGGTGCTGAGTACTTGGAAGAGCTTCTAACCATCTCTGAGAATGCTACTTCTTGGTGACTTTCACATTTTTTTTTTTTTTTCCTTTTCCATTTTTATTTTCAAAATAGAAAAGGTAAATCAAATTAAAAAATTTACCCATTTATCCACTAATACTCAGACTTCTGAATCTGAACTATTAGCTTATTCGATTCGTTGACTGCTTCAGATGCAAAAGCATTGTTTAAAACCAGTCCAAAGATTTTTTTTTCTTTTTTTTTTTTTTTTTAGCTATTCGATCGTTGACTGCTTCAGAGCAAAAGCATTGGTTTAAGAACAGTTCCAAAGATTATTTTTCTTTACTTTTTTTTTTTTTTAGTTGGTAATCGAAATTTTGTACTATGTTATTTTTTATTTGGATATGTCATTGTAATGCGTCTTTTTGAAATTTTTTTTTTTTTTTTTTTTTTTTTTAGTTGGTATAAATTTTGTACTTGTTATTTTTTATTTTGGATATGTCATTGTAATGCGTCTTTTTGAAATTCTTGAATGATGAACGAGCAAAGGCTGTTTAATCATGATGTGGTCTTTGACGTTTTGATTAATTAAAGAGGGAACAACTTTTCTTTCACTAATATTTATTATTTATATAATATGTAGTGATTATTAGTTTAAGTGTAGTACAGTTGCTGGATTGTGACCGTTGGTGATAGTTATTGATTTACCCATCCAATAATGCATAATATCGCATCAAACTTAATTTCATTCTTTTGTATTCTAAAAAAATAATTTGCATTTTATAAACTTAATGGATCCCACATGCAACTACTATAGGCCACGTACCGGTATCCTATTTTGTTATTTTACAGACATGTCACCATGGAGTTTATATATATATATATATATATATAATTTCTTTCTTTTTATTACTTAGTTCCAAACAAGAAATTCTCAATTTCTGATGGCCATTCTATATGAACATGTGAATTATGTTTCCTTTAGCCCATTCGAAGTCCATAGGAAAGTTTTGATCAATTCTTATGGGTTAGTGTTACCTAAGATGGGCCTTGGGCCGTTGACCTTCTTCTTACTTTAAGAACAAGCTAGTACACAAAGAATAAAATTAATCTGTGTAAGAATATTCATAAAACCACCAAAAAATAAAAAATAGAAGAAGGATAAGCATCTGCAGATTTGGAACTAAATCCGTTTAAAATCATATTATTATTATTGGTATCAATCTCCAGTTCAGTTAAATTCATATATATCATCCTCATATTGATGTACATGTATGAATATATAGATTTATAATAACCATGAAATTTTTCAAAGATTTGGCGGTGCTGCAACTAGAACACCGGCGGCCGGAGCAAAAGAGGATTGAACAAAAGGAATTATTCTTCTAAATTGCAGACGTTTATTAACCTGCAGGGTCATTCTTGCAAGCTCCATTACGTAGAAATTACGCAAAGCAAACATCGGGTTGTGAGGGCAAGTTATGGGGAACAGCTCCAGAACTCCAACAAACAATATCATTGCAAGCACAAAATGCGAGCCATTATTGCTAGATTTCTTTTGTGCCCCTTGAGTTGTCTTCCAAGGCTTACTTGTAATGATAGATGGTGTCGTTTTATATTCTATATATTAACAATGTCGTTTAATATTTGGTGAGGTCAGCTATGATATACTCAACTTCTTCTTTAGTAGGTGAACCTAAACCTACTCTGCTCTGGTGGTGCCCTTGTGCGCACGTTCCTCTTTGGGTCGGTCTGGTCTAATCGAAGTCAACTGACTTTACGAATTAATAAATTTAGTTCGATTTCAAACAAGATATATTTTTTATGTTTAATTTTTCCAATTCAATTCGATTTAGAATCGAACCGCTCGTTTTCACACCTCAGCCTAGACTGAGCCACTCAAAGTGAGATAGAAAAATAATTTGGCCAAATTCCTGAATTAAAAAAAAAAAAAAAAATGTAACCCCCTAAACTTTGACTATGACCTTATGACCCCTCTCCGGGGTTACACAAAATTCAATTGTTGACTTCAGGTGGTAAATTTGATGATGAATCTTGATGACGGCCAGAGCAAAAAAAGATTGAACAATGGGAATTATTCTTCTAAATTGCTCCATTTTGTAGAAATTATACAAAGCAAAATTCCTGCTGCCATGACAAGTTATAGAGAGTCCCTCGAAAACTCCAGTTGTAAGCACAGCTTGGCCAGCCTCCATTATTGCTAGATTTCTTTTAAGTAGTTTGGAAAATGTAGATTTGTGTCATTTGCGTTGTTTTGAAAGTCTTATTCATAAAACCCTCAATGGTTAAGATGAAATTGAAATGATACCTTTTCCTTTACTTAGAGGTCTTGAGTTCGAATTTTGAATATAAAATCCATTTAAACACTAGAAAGAGAGTGTTTTACCTTTTTTGTGGGTTTGCTTGGCACGGATCCAAAATAATCGGCTCAGTGAACTGGTTAAAAATATATATAAACAAAAAGTCTCATTCAGGTATAAATATTTTTTAGAATAAATATAAAGGTATTTGAGATTAATAATAAATACTAAAATTTCAAATGGATTTTAGTGTAAATAGTTTAAAATTAGCGCCTTTTTCCATCCCAAGGATTAACTCAGACTCTATTATAAATAACAAAGTACATTAATAAAAATTTTCACGATTATGTAAATAGATTTATAATAAGCATGAAATTATTCATGAATTAATAATATACACACACACACACACTTCAACTTTTGACTCGAGACGGTGGTGCATTTGGTGGTGAATCTTGACGACGGAGTGTACTGGCTGCCGGAGGAGTAAAGGATTGAAGATCGGGAATCGTTCTTTTAAACTGTAGACGTTTATTAACCTGCAGGGCGATTCTTGCATGCTTCATTTTGTAGAAATTATGCAAAGCAAGATTTCTGCTGCCATGGCAAGTTATAGGGAGCAGCTGCAAAACTCCGACCAGCAATATCATTGCAAGCACAAATTGGCGAGCCTCCATTATTGCTAGATTTGTTTAGATGTGCCATATTTGAGTTGCCTTTCAAGTCTTATTTATAAGGGGGCATGATGTCGTTTTACATAATATTAACATGCCGTTCTTTACGTTCAACAAATAAAATCCTAGGATTTCAAAGCCTTTCCCTAATTACCGCAAAGTAATTAATTTATTTATTCATGCCGTAGCTAGCTTCTTCCATATTCCACTCCTCCTATTTAATTATTTGCAACTCCAAATTAGGGTTTGAAGTCAAGTTTGCCAACTAGCTAGGGATTGGCTGGATTTGGAGTCAACTACACCAATTTGCAACTTTATGTCTTTGTTTAATTAGCAGTAGCTATATACTTTTCAATAATTAAGCAAGTCAAATTAAATGGATCCATCTTTCATGTTTTGAACAGAAAAAAAAAAAAGGAAAAAATAAGCACGCACCATGATAAATAATGTTCGTTACTAGTTAAAACATATATTTATTTATGTAACTAATAAATTGATCTTATGATAATAATTGGTCTCATTGCATCATGCTCGCCGGAGATGAAGGGTGGTGGTGGATGTATATTCGAAGGTGCACCTTGATGGCGCAAGACGTTAGGCAGCGGAGCAGAATGAGAGACCGGAGTAATTTTCTGATAATGACCACCCGGACGTTTGACATAATGCAACTGAAAGGGCATTATTGTTTCAACTTCCATTCTATAAAAATGCAAAGTAGAAACATCTGATCTGCTTCCATGGCAACTTCTTGGAGCCACCATCAAAATTACTCCAACAACCAGTACTGCTATTATAGCAAACACATTTGAACGATGAACTTCCATTTCTTAATTACCTTACTCTATGTAGGATTTCTGTGTCTCTTAATGTATATATGTTGGTTCCATTCTTGTATATAAATATATATATATAAATTTATATACCTAACCTAATTCAGGTCAATATTGCCATGCAGAATCGCTATCATCTTGTTGGATTAATTAATGAGGCCATAACTCGAGTTGACTGCAATTAGGTTTGATTATTTCACGTTGGAACTTTTTTTTTTTTTTTTTTCATCTTGGTTGGATTAATTAATGAGTGCCATAACTATCGATTGACTGCAATTATGTTTGATTATTTCCACGTTGGAACTGTTTTTTTTTTTTTTTTAACTTTGCGACTTTTGTACATTTCTTCGCTTTGATTATTTCACATTATTATATAATTCTCAAAATTAAGAGATTTTTTTTTTTTTTTTTTTAACTTTCGACTTTTGTACATTTTCTTCGACTTTTGATTATTTCACATTATTTATATATTCTCAAAATAAGAGATCTGAGTGTTTGATAATTTTCTTCGCTAGAACTGGAGCATTTGTCCCATATTGGAGGAGTATTAAGCTAGGAGGTGGTGGTGATGATATTGAAGTTCGTTCCCTGATGGTGGCGGTGGTGGGGATCGATCTTCTTCTACGAACCTTTCTAGTCACCACATCCAAATCACGAGAGGTTCTGCCTGAATAACAAGTATGAGATTGTAAAAGCGACCAATAAATCAAGAAAATATAACAAAGAAATATGAAATAGCATTCATCTTTTGGTGCCCAAGTTTTATTTTTATCTCAAACTACACTGTATAAGAGAGTAAGACTACATTATATAGTTGTAAGTTAGAATATGTCCACGAACGAGTAGTTGGGTGCCTCTATAAATTTAATTCAACGTTGAGATTGGAAGCTTCATAGGGGATATCAACTTTTTTTTTATAATTATTTGGAAAACAATTTGTTTACATAAACATCAATCTAGTTGAATTAATTAATGATGCCATGGCTCGAGTTGACTGCAATTAGGTTTTGCTATAGTTTCACATCCATGTTTATTGCCTACCCTTTTGGAAGTTTCATCACTCCTGAATTACTAAAGTTATTGCTTCAAGCTTTTCAGTTTTCAACTATGAATTTGCTGGATATACAAGCTTTTGTTCTTATAAATATTTTCTCTTGCAATTTATTTATTTCAGGATAATTGCTTATAAAGGAGAAATTATGCAACTATAAATAAGCCTTGATGATAAAACAAAGCAAATTGAAGATATACGACTTGCCATTTCAATCCTACAGAGTTTCTGAAAGACTGGTAGCGGTGGTTCACCTCAGCCATCTTCTTCTCCCACCCATATGCTACCCGGCGTCCCCCCACCGGCAAAGAAAGAATCCTGTTTCTACTGGAAACTAAAGGTTTCTTTTTCTTTCCTATTGATGGGTCATTTTACATGTCTATCAGCCAGCCAACCGTTTGTTGGATATGTACTCAGAAATTATAAAGTCACTTTCTTTCTGATCTAATTAGCATAAATACTCGTTATTTTTCTTTAAACTGCAAAGAGCTTTTCCTTTTACGCTGATAATATGTAAAGGTAGACATGTACATAAAAAAAAAAAAAAATGCCTTGAAAATAAAAACATCTTTAATTTCCACAAGCTTTTGAACCCATGATATCCAGCATCAACATGGCGGCGGCGGCGGCGGAGGAGACAATGTCGGCGGTGGTGGTGGCCGAGGAGGAGGACTTTTGAAATGGAAAGGAGGATTAAGCCTAGGAGGTGGTGGTGGGGATATTCTGTCAACCTTTCTAGTTACCACATTAAAATCAGGAGAGGTTCTGCCTGCACAACAGGTATGAAATTGTAAGAGCAACCCATAAATCAAGAAGAAAACCAACAAATATGAAATAACCTTCATGTTTTGGCACCTAATTTTATATCATTATCTCAAACTACATTATATAGTTGTGAGTTGGAACTTGTCAAAAGAGTAGTTGGGCTTCATTCAATTTAATTCAACTACGCGTTTCTTAGGAGATATGAACTCTGTTTTTTATTATATTTTGGATGACAATTTGCTCATATGAAAATGATTGATGTTCCAGTTGAAACTTTCTTTACCTAATTTTATTCTTGTTTAGGTTTTAATACATACTTCTAAAGAAAAATAACATTATCAGGATTTGAACATCTTGCTTACGCGGAAATAACAAACTCCACAGTTCACACTCAGCAAATGGTATTTGTATTACTGAAAGCTTTTTCTTTCTCAGAATTCAGCTTAGCTTTCATAAAATAAAAGGTTATTTTATGAACAATTGAAACACCAGAACAGATGGACTAAAGAGAAGAAGAGAGAATTACACAGCAATTTCAAAACCCGGCAGCCGATGGGTTCCTGTAATTTGATTCGATCTGAATCGACATACATCATTCCAGGCCATTTCAACAATGTAAAAGTTGACACCTTTGCAAACTTTTTGTTAAAATCTGTCCTTTGAGTACACCTTGCCACAATTCTAAAAATACAATGTAACCCAGTTTTCTTTAAACTACACTGTTCTATTGAAACAATAAATTGATTAGAAACCCTGGTTATGGAACACACATCAAACACCTAAACTACTAGTGTACATGTGCTAAAGAATAAAATAAAACGAAGTAGAAGTAACCAGCTAATGTTTCATCTTCAACTGATAGAAGTTTAACCACTCTGGATACCACTTCATTTGTGTAGGAGATTTAATATACAAAACTCATTCCCAACAGAAGCCAACATATAATCAGGATGGCTTCAACCCTTTAACTGCTGCAGCAAAAATCTAGAAATCCAAAGATGAATCTTGTCAAAGCATGGAAATAGAAATAGCAGTCACATATAAAAAAACAACAAAAACAGTTTTTCAGTCCTATGTTCCTTTCTAACCAAGTTTCGATTTTTCATCTTATGCATGAGAATGGTATCAGTACTTACAATTTATACCATTACTTAATTTTAATTTCTTAAAATTTAAAAAATTTCAAGTCTCAACTTAGCATTTTATATAAATATATATACTTTTATTAATTATGTAATATTTTCGCATTGGCTTGAGCCTAGTTAGATTTTGAAAAATAAATCAAAGCTTGTTCCCTGAAATCCAGGCTCATTATGGATTGAGTTGAGCTAAGGGAAAAATGACCAAACCCCATAAATTAGTCAGGCAAGTAGCCGACCCTGCGCACAGGTCTATGCTACAAACATAGACCAATGGGAATTAAATGCTGACCTAAATTTAAGCAATCAAGCATCAAAATCCTTCCAAATTATTGAAACTGTCTGGGTTTGCAAGTAAAAGATTTAAATGCATACCAAACTGCAAAGATGAAACTGTTACATTATATGCATGCTCCTATTCATATTGAACTTGAATTTCTATTTACTGAATGAGAATAAATTCTTTCAACCAATGAAACAAAAAGAAAAAGTACAAAATTGAAAAAATAAATAATACCCGTGAGGTTAAATTAAAAGAATAAGTAAATAAATAACTTAACACCTTAGCAGGAGCTCTGAGCTGTTTTGCATCTGCACGAGTTCGACTATGGCTGCTGCTTTCCACATCCTTGATACCATTGCTTTGCTCCATCTCATTTGACACTGAAGATTCATCATTAGAACCTTCATAAAAGTTGTTCTGTGGCACATTATGCTGTTCCAAAAGTTTGTCTTTCGCTTGATCACTTCTTGTAGAATTAGAATTGCTATTATGGACTGTATTTGTTAAGAAATATTGATCCTTCTTGCTGAACTGAGTAGCAGCTGCACGAGCACCAGCAATGACTGCAGTGAGAGTTGATGATTTCTCCACTTCAGATGCTTTCTCAGGAAGCATGGCAACAGACCCTGGTCTTAAGGAAAAAGGATCACGAGGATTTGGAAGTGGGAATTTTACAGGCATTGGACCTTTAACTGGGATAAGACCTCTAACTGCAGCTTCATAGATCTGTCAACAGTATAAAGTTAGATCTGTAATCCCATGTCAATATTTGCATGCATATATAGAATGAAGCAAATGCATTTTAATTTCTGTAATCCGTACCTTCTTTTCCAAGTTATAAACGCGTTGATAGCCACGCATCTCAAATGGAACTAGCAATTTCTAGATCAAGTGAAAAATAAGTAATTAGCATTTAACATACTAAGTACGGGTTCAAATGTATGGCAAGTGCAAGGGGCATACCTGTGGATGCTCACAAAGCCAGCAAAAATCTGTTTGACCTTCTAACCTTGCCTGTAGGAGAAGAATCCTGATTAATCCGCACAGTTCACAGGATCATCAATTGAAATCAAGTACATGGATGATAAAAAGGTCAGAAAATTGTTTGCCTACCCCTACAGGTATCGCCTCCCAGCTTGCTAGCTCTTCACATTTAACACAGCCAACCACTTCAACACACCCTATATGATACATGAAACCACTATGAGATCAAAATTTTGCCTCGAAAAAGGGTAAAATTAAAAAGGGGAATTTAAGGATGCTCCCTAAAAGGGCCTGTTCACGGGCTGGGCTTGGGCTTTGAAAATGTTAAATTTTCCAAAGTCCCAGCCTGCAACCGAACTGCACAAAAGCTAACAGTCTTTTGACAATGCAGGTTTTTCCCCTTAAGTCCAAAATAAGATTTAAAGAATAGCATAAAAGCAAAGATAATGGGGACAAATAAAGGGTGTGCAGTGAAGACAAAAAACTAGTCAATAATATTAAACCTAGATGTTGCATAACATTTAGACCATATGGTCAAGACACAAACCACTAGTGGAGTAACCATGACTGCTTCAAATTTTTCAACCACTGCTGCTGTATATTAATTTTCATATTGGTGTAACAAGCACACAGTTAACTTACAACTTCCTTTCTCAGTAAACATAAATTATGAGGTAATTGGCCCCAAAATTTACTTAGTTCCAAACTTTGGCGTATGCAAATAGGGTAAAAAGGACACAGCGGTTATGATATAGATGGGGGGAAATAATTTATATGACAGAAGCAGATTGTAACACCCATAATTCAAAACACACAGTGACACAGGATAGCATCAGCAAGCAAACAAATCATTTCGTGAATTTGCAGAAGTCTATAAGAGGGAGGAAAAAAACACAATTAAGTCTTGAAAAATACCAAAATTCAAATACCTAAAAGTCTTGACACTGGATAATGTTCTGGAAACTTAATATCAGTAATGCCATTCAATGCATAGATCTCCCGATAGAAATCCTCCATTGCTTTGATTGTCTCTTCCTCTGGAACTTTACTTGCAGCATGAATCCAAAGGCGGCCTTTAAAAGATAAGACATGATTCATAACAATTAATAGCATATTCGACGGAGGGAACATAGAATATAAGAGAATGATACATTGTACAGCTAATTATGAATTACCCTTGTGAAATTAATTAAGCATATTAGAGCCTCCATGCTCAACCAGGCACTAAACCAGTGTGCTTGAAGAACTCTTCTATTAAGCCCTACGCCAGTTTTAGCTTCCAATTTAAATTAGCATATAGACCAATATTTGGGACATTGGAGACATAAAATGTAGCTTACTACCATGGCGATACTGTTTTGATGAAATTCATAACAGTCTAGACTTGTATTATCAGTTCATGTGCGAAAGAATGAAATTAATGTTTTTCATAAATACCTATTTCACCATTAACATTAAGACATTGCTCAAGTAATATCTTAATCTCACCAGTATAATATATCCTTTTGTTTCCCATTTTTTTTTCTAGCTTATAGTTATTACTAGAGTTAAAATCCACATATCAAAATGGCACGTGATAAGAATGAGTGGTCGTCATGTAAGTGTTTATATGCATTAGTCATATAAACAAACAGAACTTCGGCATTTCACTGAATAAATATTCTCTAAGAACTTTTCAATTTACTGTTATTATGCAGCATTGCATGGACTTTGACACTTGGACTGGCACCACACCATCACCACACCACCTCAAACTCTTCGTATGCTGAAGTCATGGCTTAGTACCTAGTAAACTAACAAAACTTCGTTTTCTACTTATCTTTCTAAATTGGTTTGACAGCATAGAATTTTTTCTTTCATGAAGTGAAATGAAAAGAATGGACCTTTTTGCTCCATGAACAGGGCAGAACCAACCTCCAAAACCGGAGGAGGAGGAGGGGGGTGGGGCAACGAAAAATTTTCCAAAGTTAGGGGGACCAAATTAAAAAAAAAAAAAAAATGTAGCTGCAGAGCCCCACCCCCCACCCCCCTGGCGAGAAGCTCCATCCTTTCCTGTGAAATACAATACTGAACCTAGCACAGGCAGCATGCAAAGGAAAAACTGGCATAAAGTGAAACTTGTTTTCCAAATTAAGCAACAGTCCAAAATTGATCAGCATTAACTAAATCGATTACCCACATCCAACTACATAATGAAACATAAATATAGATTGACCAACCTAGCTTTCTTGACCACAATTCGTATCTTTTAAATCAAGAATAAACAAGGAAATCAGAAGAGCATTTATTATCTCATGGAACACGAAGAAAAGTCGGCTGCATCTGCTACTACTATAGTCAGTAAGCAAATAAGACATTCATTTGTCCAGCAAAACAAATAAAAGTTAAAGATAATTGTCATCCAGAATCCCAAGAATTGATTTAGGGTGAACGGGAGTTAAGCAGGCTCAGCAAAATCTCCTGAAATTTAAAAAAGATAATACAATAACCAAACGTAAATAAAGTACACTCGATTACTCAAGCTCGTACTCACCAAAATTTCCAACCTTTTTTCTCTCTCTCATTAACCAGAAAGACATTGAATGCCTAGAAAGAAACCTCCATGCTCAAATATAATATCCTACAATAACTGGGAACTGCGAATTCGTATTTGCCACAAAATAAGGAGTTTAAGGGGTGAATTACCTCGAATAGGAGCAGGCCAGGACCTGCCTTCAATGCGCTTGATCCCATAAACTAAAAGGGAAGCCCACGGCTGGTGCATGGTCAAACACGGGTTCGTGTAATTACCATGGCTCCTTCCCCCTCCTCCTCCTCCTCCTCCTCCACCAATGGCTCCTTCCCCCTCCTCCCTCCTCCCTCTCCTCCTCCTCACTCCTCCTCACCTGTTCATCTCTAGTTCTTTGGCCAACTGGGTACCGTGATATCTTCTCCTCCTCCTCCTCCTCCCCTGTTCATCTCTAGTTCTTTGGCCAACTGGGTACCTGATATCTTCGATCTTCTCTTAGTATTCGTGATCGAGAGTTGGAAGCTGGAGCTGTTTCAAGTCCGAGTACTGTGAGAAAAGTAGTTATTTATTTATTTGGTTTTTTTAACATTCTCGTCGATTTTGTTATTTATTTATTTGGTTTTTCTTTTCCAGATTACTTTTTAACTTGTTTTGTTCAGGTCCGCAATACTTGTCTATCCTTTTATTATTTGGAGAAGGAATTTGACTCAAACAAATTAGTGAAATAAAAAGATGAATTTTGAATTACTGATTTATTTTATAAAGGATTAATATATATAAACTATTATTTTTGAAAATTAATTTAAAGGTCCATGAATTTTGTAATTTTTCAATTATATTATCTAATTGTTTGAGTTTATGTAATTTGTTCACTAATTAATTAAAAGTAAGTAAAAAAAAAAATCCCATAATATAATCTTTTATGTTTAAAAATCACTCACTATTTCCTTTTATTAATCATTCTTCATCTTCTTTTTCACTTTCTAATTTGAAATTTAATAAATTAGCTAATACATAATTAAAAAGTCAAAAATTACAAAAATTATTAAAATTAATTTTGTAAAATAGAGATTCTAACTATATTTTATTTCATAATATAGAGGTTAAATAGTAATTCACTTTAAACTTAAAAATAAAGTTAACATTTCAAGTCATTTAATATACGGTAATAATTATTAATCGAGTTTAAAACAAGAGAACTATTCATTTTATAAACTACTTATATTATAATATCCAGTAATTAAGTAACATAAATTATTAAATTGCTCAATAATGAAAAGCTCGTGTCTTAATAAATAAACAAAAATCAATTCTTAGTGCTTTATGTGATTTTTTTTTATTTTTAAGAAATTAAATAGTGTATATATATTTAAGTATTATATTTTTTACCATTGAATTAAGAAATTAAAAAATATTTTTTAATGGAATTGTTAAGAAAAATTTCTTAAAACTATCAAACCATTAAGTTATTTGAATAATAACTTGGGCCTATAGAATCAGTAAATCACTTTCATTTACTATTCAAAAGTGATATGGGATTTTTTTATTTTATTTTATTTTTTGGTTTGTAATTATTTGTGATAATGTTAGATTAAGTTGCTAATAAGTCATTTTCAGTGGTTTGCTGGGCCGAAAGATCAAAAGCATGTAGAGTGTTGTAGGACATAAGTTTATGGGCCCAGTTGGCCCACTACTCAAAGGGCTAGCTCTCTTTCTAGACGCGGAAGCCACTCAATGGCTTATATACTTATTTTCAAGAAGAAGATCGATTTCGAATAATTATTTTTATATAAAAAATAATGTAAAATTCATGAATTTATTTAAAATTTTAGAATATTTCTTTGATTTTATAAATTGGGAATTTATGTATGATTTTTCAATATAACAAAATTTCTTATTTAGTTTTGAATTAAGTTACTTCTCGGAAGCTATTAAGAATTATGATTGTATTCAGCAACAACTTTTTTTAAAAAGCCAATTAAAACACTCAATGTTATTTTTTATAGTGTTTTATAACATAATATTTGAACTAATTTTTATGTTTAAACTAATTTTTACAAGCTTTTAAATATAGTTATTTTTTATAGTATTCGACAATATAAGTTTGAACTAACTTTTACAGGTTTTTAGAGGTGATTAAACACGTGTTAAGTTTTTAGTTTTTTCTGAAAACCTACTCAAATAGTTATTAACTACTGAAAGAGCTCTAAAACACCTAACAATTAAATTTGTGGAACAGACTTCTCCAATCTATTAAATGAAAGTGCCAATAATTATAAATAAATTTAAAATGTGCACAGATATTTGTAATAAATATAGATAGAGTACGAATTATAAATTTCTAATACCCACTATTAATTGCATATTATATTTTATAAATAAATTTGAAATGTGCACATATATTTGTAATAAATATAGATAGAGTATAAATTATAAATTTCTAATACCCGCTATTAATTGCATATTATATTAAATAAATTTCATCACGAAAATTCACAGATACTCACCCTGCTTGTATCGATTACAATGTACAATTTTTCATACTCTCACCGTAGAGCTGTGATTTCTATTCCTGGAAATTGACCAAACACACGGTCTTAATTTTCATTCTTTCTCCATATAGTCTTTAGGTCAGCCCAGTAAGTTGCAACCCCTCCACTCTTCTCATTCTATCTCTCAGCAAGCAAAAAATCCATATTCTCCCTTTCAAAACGGCACTTCTTCCTTGAGAAAACGACACTCGACCATTGCTCATTTCTCATCACCTCCATGTTATGCCCTCACTCTTTCTCTTTTTATTCTTCTTCTCCGTCTCCTGTTCCAGCTTTTCTTTCTCACAATCACATCCAGTAGATAAGCCGTTGACTTTTGGTTTCAGCTTTCATTTTTAGTCACTTAGATAGCGTTTTTTTTTTTTTTTTTTTTTTTTAGAATAATCCGTTGACTTTTTTTTTGGGTTTTTCAGCTTTCATTTTTAGTCACTTTTTTTTTTTTTTTTTTTTTTTTTTTAAATAAAAAAACGAAAGAAGAATAGAGAAATGGACCAAGGGGTTCTCGATGATATAATCAGGCGGCTTCTAGAGGTTCGGGGCAAACCCGGGAAGCAGGTCCAGCTATCAGAGTCCGAGATCCGTCAGCTCTGCGTCGTGTCGAGAGAGATTTTCTTGCAACAGCCTAAATTGTTAGAGCTTGAAGCGCCCATCAAGATTTGTGGTATTCATTATTTGTTATCTCTTCTTTCTTTTGGACTACCGATGTTATTTCCATTTATTTTGTTTGGTGGGGTTTCTAAATTGGTTTTAATGTATTTACTTTGTGTTTTTAGGCCTTTTTTGGGGTAACTATTAATCGGTTTTTGTGTTTAACTATGGCTTTAGTTGCTTCACTCTTTTGCAAGCTAATTCTATGAAATCCAGTTTGTTCTTATGATAACCCTATGAAGATTGGTCTGTTTTCTTCGAGCCAATTGATTGTCTTTTGGTGATTTTTGGAGCCTTTCCTTCTCTATTTTGACTGTTTTAGACGCATCTATTTCGGTTTAGAAGAAACCTTCAGTATGTATACGGCTTATCCCAAACCCATTTTTATTAAAGGTTATCTACTTTAAATTGGTCTTAGCGTGCGTTTCCTGACACGGTGGTTCTATTCTGATGAAATGCGGAGTTTGCTTGGTTTATTTGAATTGCTCGCACTTAGGCACAACAATGTCATCCAACTCACCTCACCTTCATCCTTCTTATGGGGGCTAAATGTATACTTTTGCTTAACTTAAAATCCTTACTGCTCTCCGTAGTTCCAACTTCTGGTTTACTATCTCATTATTTTCATTGATTAAGACTATCATTTGGGAATAACATGTACCATAAAACATCATCTTGTATACCACTAGTTAACTCATTACTAATCGGGGTAAATAAGATAGATCCCTAATATAATCCTACAGTTATGGGTAACTCATCTGCATCCCCTCTCCGTTGTTCCCACACTTGTGACTGTACCTTCATACATATCCTTATTAGCATTTATATGTATGATGTAAATACTTTTTTTGCCAACGCCCATCAAAAGAACTTTTCTCAACACTCTATTGTATACTTTTTCTTTTTCTTCTTCTTCTTCTTCTTCCTTTTTTTTTTTCTTGAGAATCTGTAAGGATTTTATGGTGTTTTATGGTGCTTGTTATTATGGAATGGTCCCATTCAACTTATGACGTGGGACAATGAGTCATTAATCCTATTTGTTGATATTTAGTTTTGTGAATTTAAGGTTGTGTTTACTGATAGAAAAACCAACCTTTGATGTAAATTTTAGTCACTTCATCCTTTGGCTTTGGCTTGAATTCCTAGCTGATTAGCAGGTGCTTTGGGTGTGCTTAAATGCGTACTTTGAATATTATCTGTTAATAATGTGAACTCAATTTGTATTTTTATGACCTGTAAAAAGTTGTATTTACTATACTATTTTAAGTTTTCTTCCATGTTTGAGAGGTTCAAGTGTTTATTTTAATTAGTGGTCTGAAACTCTCTTAGTATCAACTTGTGACGTGGGATTATGATTCATTAATCCTATTTGTTGATATTTAGTTTTGCAAATTCAAGTTTGTTTTTAGTGATAAAAAAAATGAGTCTTTGATTTCAATTCATTGGGTCACTTCATCCTTTGGCTTTGGTTTGAATTGCTACAAAACCTTGCTGATTACTACGTGCTTTGGGTGTTTTTAAATGCTTACTTTGAATATTATCTGTTTGTAGTGTGACTCATTTTGCGTTTTTATGACTTGTAAAAAGTTGTATTTACTATACTATTTTCATTTTTCTTCCATGTTCCTATTTACTTTTGTGATCTATATTAAGTTTGTTGGTTAATCGGGAATTGCCTATGAAACTATTTTCTGCTTATTTTTCACAAATGGATTAAATGACATAGTTAGGTAAAGGCCTTGTTTATTTATGAATTTTGGTTTGTTTATGGATAATTTGGTTCAAGTCTTTTCAGAATTCAAACTTTTTTGACTTTTGAGGAGAAAGCTGAAATTCTTTGCACTGTACTTAATTGTTTTGACAAGCTTTTACTTTGACCAGAGTAAATTCTTAAATTTGGAATAATGTCAATTCTCTTTTTGTCTTCTTTGTTTGAAGTTGAAATTATGGCCTTTGGTTCAATTGATCTGAGTTAATAGACAAACATGTATGGACTATTACATTGTATTCAATTTCCTTTATTTGAATGCCTGTTATGGGTAGGCCTGCAGTTCAATTTGCAGTACCGTGTTGCATTTCATGCTACATATTTTCTTGTCAGTTTGTGAATCATGGCAGCTATCCTGGTAACTGAATTTTTAGGTCTGAATTGGTTGGTGGACTGCATGTTTTCTCTTGGACACGTCAACTCCCTTTAGAGAACGTCCTTCGTTAACAAAGAAGTTCATCTTATTCGGTGTACATTGATGGCATAGTTGTTATAAAAGGGGCAATGGCTTGCTCCTCAAAATTTCTACATGTGGGCAACCTCACCTTTTTCCTTCAACGGTCACCTAGGGTTTTCTTTCAGTATAAAGCTATCCAGCAATTATTGGTTTATATAAAATAAATAAAAGAAATAGAATGTAACATAAAACCGGTGGTGTGCTCTGCATTGAACCTAGCCATTCAAATGCTCAATTTCTTATCCTATATTTGCTTTCTATTCTCTCTCTCTCTCTCTTCCCGTGTTCTTGATTCTACGCCATTCTCTCATAACTCCAATATCTTTATATATAACTGTTATGCTGTCAATTTTTGTCCCTATTTTTTTTCTCATGTTTTTCTTATTTGTTTCTTTTTTTTTTTTTTTTTTTTTTTTTCTCATGTTTTTCTTATTTGTTTCTTTTTTTTTTTTTTTTTTTTTCGAACTTTTCTGCCGCTTCACTTACTTTGGCGTGCGCTCCCTTAACCCAGAGGGCTAGCACCTAAGCTCTAGCCAGCTTCTTTGCCGCCTTGGGCCTTTAAATCTACTATGATTGATTGATCATAACTGTTTACACAGCTGCCCCTTTAATGATATCGTTTTGATTGCTGCGATCTTTCACTGACTACCTGATCCTATCTCTGTTTTCTACATGTTTGACTTTATACCCAGATTGCTTCTGCTGACTCGGATATTTTTTGCTGCACAAATCAATATAGCTGCTTATTTTTGAGAGCTGCTGCCATCCACTAGTTATACTTGGTCATTTTTAACAATTCTATTGCTAGGGATCTTCTTTTTTTTTTTTTTTTTTTTTTGAACTTTCTGCGCTTCACTTACTTGGCGTGGGCCTTAACCCAGAGGCTAGCACCTAAGCTCTAGCAGCTCTTTGCGCCTTGGGCCTTTAATTACTATGATTGATGATCATATGTTACACAGCTGCTTAATGAATGTTTTATTGTGGATTTCACTGACTACCTGTCTATCTCTGTTTCTACATGTTGACTTTTATACAGATTGTTCTGTGATGGATATTTTTGCTGCAAATAATTAGCTGCTTATTTTGAGCTGCTGCATCCACTAGTTATATTGGTCATAAAATTCTATGTAGGGATTTTTGTATATTTGTCAAATAGGATTTCTTGGGGTGCCTTAGGTTCTTGGTATATTTAATTGGTTCTACACAGTTTTCTCTTTTCGTTTGTAAGAAATAATTTTCTAGTGGCATGCAATGTAATCATATTTTCCAAGAGGTCATTGGTTTATTTAATCGTCAGGAACTTCCCAGCACACAAATTCTCTATAAATTTAAGTAGATAATATGAGGGGTTTGTTATTCAACAGCTTTTGGATGGTTAATTGCATTTTTTTATGTGATAGGACAAGACTGTTATGCTTGAACCTATGATCTCTGTACAGTGGCATGAGGTGTTCAGTTGCTTACTTGACATGTGTCGTGGATGTTTTCTTAACATTATGTGTCTTCACTTAAGATTATGGCGGTTATTGGCATGGGGTAAAAAGTCCTCTAGGTGGAGTTTAATTATTTTATGATGTTGCCACAGGATATTTTTGGCTGAACTGATAATTGATATTTTTATGGTATATTGGATATATATTTGAATGTTTTATGCCATGATGTGGTTCTGAAGCAATTATTTGAAGTTGTTGTATGTGTGGGCGCACGCCCATTGAGTTCATGCTTTAGGCTGATTAGTTTGAAGGGTCACAAGCTTAATATGTGAAAGCATTAAGTTAACATCTCAACATGTTTCTGGATTTATGTTAAAGAAGCGTTTGCAAATGTCTGCTGATGGAGTCTGTTTATAACATGCAGGTGACATCCATGGTCAATATTCTGATCTTCTAAGGCTGTTTGAATATGGTGGATTACCTCCACATGCAAACTACTTATTTTTGGGGGATTACGTTGATAGAGGCAAGCAAAGTCTGGAGACAATATGCCTTCTCCTTGCATACAAGATAAAATATCCCGAAAACTTCTTCCTTTTGAGGGGAAATCATGAATGTGCTTCTATAAACCGCATATATGGTTTCTATGATGAGTGTAAGAGAAGATTTAATGTTAGGCTATGGAAGATATTCACAGATTGTTTTAATTGCCTGCCGGTGGCAGCTCTAATTGATGAGAAGATTCTCTGCATGCATGGGGGTCTTTCTCCTGACCTGAATAATTTGGATCAGATTAGAAACTTACAACGACCAACTGATGTGCCAGACACAGGTTTGCTTTGTGATCTTCTATGGTCAGATCCTAGTAAAGACGTTCAAGGTTGGGGAATGAATGACAGGGGAGTTTCATATACTTTTGGTCCAGACAAAGTGACAGAGTTTCTTGAGAAGCATGATTTGGATCTCATTTGCCGTGCTCACCAGGTTTTACCTACCATAGCAATTCAATTTCTCTTAATTACTGTGCTATTAAACTTCATATCCCCTACTTCAAGGCTGTAGAGAGTACAAAATCTAGAGCCATACATTTTTCTTCATGAATTGTGGGAACTGTTCTTAATATTGGAGCAGTTCTTAAGCTCATTGCCCCATTTATGAATCCCTAATAGAGCCTTTAGTACTACTCCCTCGCAATTAATTCCATATCTCCAGTTCTTCACAGTGGTAATGGCTCTGGTTGCCCATTCTGTGTTGTCCTTTGAGTTACTGTAGGGGATATGTTTTCTCATTGCTGCTAGCGCTTTATCATTCATTTGCTCTCCCTAATATGTTGTTTCAGGTGGTGGAGGATGGATATGAGTTCTTTGCTAACCGGCAACTTGTAACTATATTTTCAGCACCCAATTATTGTGGGGAATTCGATAATGCTGGTGCTATGATGAGTGTGGATGAGACACTAATGTGCTCTTTTCAAATATTAAAGCCTGCTGATAAAAAGTCAAAATTTAACTTTGGGAGCACAACTACGGCAAAACCTGGAAACACCTCAGGGTTTCTTGGTAGTACAACTACAGCAAAGCCTGGAAACTCTCCAGCAGGAGTTAAGGTAAACAAATAACTTCCAAACATAAGTGGAATATTTTGCTGTTTAAGTTCAATTTTTGAATGCATGACATTGTATGGCACAATGCCCTGTAAGTTTATAGTTTCTCTATTTGATTGGCCATGATTGTCGAGGACCTCAAATTTTCAAGAATATATGTGCTTTGTGCATGGAATGTGTAGTTTATATTTATAACATTATCCATTGCCATTTTCATTGGCTAATATGGTAGGCAATCTTCCTCTTCAATGTTTTGGTCTTATAGTTTTCTGATCAATCTCCTATTCACCTGTATCCCAGGATGAGCATAATATGTAATGAATTGAATGTTTTACAATTTGAACATTGCATAAGGTTTTTTTCCATTAATTGTTTTCCTCACCTAAATTATTGCTTATCATTTCTCCATTCCATGGGATTCGTATTAAACTTACAAATGTGTTTTTCTCCTTTGAATCTGTTAGAATGAATCTGAGAATTAGTCAAAATTAAGTCTGAATCACATCCTAGTTGATGAAAATGATGATCAGTGCAGTATAACTTCTTTGTAGGGTTTAACCCAGATCCATGGATCCAATCTGATCTGACTGAGACAAAAACTCAAAAGTCGACCCTCTTTTACTCAATTTTCTTGTGAAAGAAACCCTTGGCAAGGCTTTTTATAGGGTATCCGAATGTGATTTTTCGCCAAGTCTAACAGAAATCTTCTGTTTCTCTACTGTCTTGCTTATCTGTTGATTCTGCAATTTGATATTATCTGGCAAAGTGAGTGGTGTATGAACCAAAGACTGAATTGACATCGGAGGACTTGTGATATGCTATTGTTTGTAGGAAACAAAGGGGATGGCATTTAGTAGTAAAGTTTAATAACTTATGTTCTTCTACAATGGAGAAGATAGCTGTCAAAGGATTCAATGATGCATAACTAGAAGAACAAGGACCTTCTACTAGTAACTTTTCCTTTTAATCACACACAAAGGACATCACTCCTTTTTGCAAAAATAAGCTTAACAGATGGAAGTTTTAATTTTTCAAAATCCTACTTTTGTCAATACCATTCAACTCTGAATCGGGTCGTGATTGATATGTTGGATATGCTGAAATATTGTGGACAAATAAAATAACATTATTGCTGCCTAACTTCTTTGTATGTCATGTTGTCCACATTCAACATGTTTGATTCGCATGTACCTTCAATTTTGGCATTGCAGTCCTTCCTGGGTGCAAAAGTGTGAAGGTTGGACGTCCCATTAGAGTCGAAGCTGAACACGCTGAGATTGTTATGACAGGAAACTCGAGTTCCATTTAGTTTCATTGTAATATGCTAAAATTGTATAAAATGGAAGAGAGAAATAGAAACTGATGCAAAAGATTGTTTTTCCCTTTTTATAAAGTTGGATTTTAAGGTAAGAAGGCTGTATTTTCCTTCTCATCCTGATTGTACACTAATAGCGCCAGAATTGCTGCTATGAATTATTTCTTTTTTCGATTTATCCCTAATGCTTTATCTGAAATGTTGAAGAATGTCACCATTTTGGTGATTGAAGGCCAGTAGCAGCTGGGAGGAAGTTGGTCTAGCTTTTTCTGGTTTTGTTTCTGAGAGTAAACTCTTATGCTGTGTTCTGTTTTTGGATTGTTTAACTCGCCAAGGTTCCGGTCGAATATGGAGAATCTGTGCAAACATAACTAGATGAACTAATTTGGTTTTCTGAGAATGGGTTTCATTCCTTTTGAAGTTTAGTGAAGGGGGTTAGGAGTGGAGATTGAAAATGCCAATTCATGATTTTGAAGTTTGTGATGCCTCCTTTTGCAATATTTTCCTTAAACATGTGAAGCCTAAAATTTGGTTTTCTATAAATATATGTATATATATTTAAAAGTTGTCAAACTTATTATTATTATTATTATTATTATTTGCAAATAAAAGTTGAGAACTAAAACAATAGAAATCTTTTTTTTTTTTTTTTTTTTTAGTGGAGATTGAAAAAAATGCCAATTCATGTGATTTGATTTTGTGAAGTTTGTCGATGCCTCCCTTTTGCAATATTTTCCTTTAAAACAATTGTGAAGCCTAAAATTTGGTTTTCTATAAATATATGTATTATATATCTTAAAAAGTTGTTCAAACTTAATTATATTAATTATTTATTATTATTGATTTTGCACAATAACAAGCTGAGGAGAACTAAAACAATACGGAAAATCTTTTTTTTTTTTTTTTCTTTTTTTTTTTTTTTGGCCTTTTCTTTGATCATTGTCTCTAAAAAAAAAGAATTTTATGAATTCTTAAAAAAGTTGGGTTTCTTCTTCCGTGGACTCACTTTGCAATATTTGGTAAGAGAACTGGCTTTGTTTGGGTGCTGAGCTTTGGGGGCTTCTCTTAATCACTTAGCAGGTATACACATTTTAGCTATAAAAGATTCAACTAGGTCTGTTTGTTGAGAGCCGAAAACCCCACCAAAAAACCTTTTCAGCGGCTTCAATTCATTCAATCCAACGGGTGATTTAGCCTTCTAAATTTTTTTTTTTTTTTTTTTTTTGGCCTTTTCTTTGATATTGTTCTCTGAAAAAGAATTTTATGAATCTTAAAAAAAGTTGGGTTTCTTCTTCCGTGGACTCACTTTGAATATTGGTAGAACTGCTGTTTTGGGTGCTGAGCTTTGGGCTCTCTTATCACTTAGCAGGTATGAAATTAGCTATAAAGATTCAACTAGTCTGTTTGTTGAGAGCGAAAAACCTTTCAGCGGTTCAATTGATTCAATCCAACGGGTGATTTAGCCTTCTAAAACTCTGCCATTTTTGGTTCTGTAAAATCTATAATAATAATAATAATAACAACAATATATAAAGTGGAGAGGCAGGGAAACTTGAGGTTTGCTAAAAATGCCCCTAATAAATTGACAAAAATATTTTTAAAGATTTTAATTTTATTGGTTGAATATGAAAAAATAAAAATAATTTAATTTCAATTGGTTGTATTTATTTTCTATTTAGATTTAATTTTTATTGGATACAAAAAGAAATTATATTATATATTAAATAAGGTATAATATCAAATATGGTAAAGATATAAAATTCAATTTAAGAAATTAAGAAATTACATAATATATTAAATATAGTACATTTTAAATACGATAAGAATATAATTCAATTTAATTTGTTGTTAATAATTAATTGAAATCTAAAAATTAGAAATATTTTATATTAATTAAAAATAATTTTTTGCAATTAATGAATAAGAACTAATTATTAAAAAAAGTGGGAACAAGATCTTTTATTATATTATAAATTATTAGTCAATTAAAGATCTCTTATTCTATCCATTTCAAAAAAAGATCTCTCATTCTTTAATAATTTTGATTCGTTATATTAATTTTCTATTTAAATTTAAATTTTATTGAACAAAATAAGAAATGATATTATATATTATATAAAATATATATTAAATATGATAAGAATATCATATTTGTAAAGATCTTAATTTTATTGGTTGAAAAATGAATTTAGGTAATTTAATTTTAATTGATTATATTAATTTTCCATTTAAATTGAAATTTCATTGAATAAAATAAGAAAGTACATTCTATATTAGAAAATATATATATATCAAATATGGTAAAAATATAAGAATTAAATTTGATAAAATAAGAAACTGTATCATATATTGAATATGGTCAATATGGTTATGAAAAATTATATTGTACACTAAAAATGGTATACTTTAAATATGATAAGCATATAAGAATTTAATTTAATTTATTCTTAATATTTTTTATTATTAGTTTGGTTATTTCAAAAAATCTAAAAAAAAATAATGAAATTTTATTAATTAATATATGATTTCATTTTATCCAATAGAATGAAAAGAATGAAAATTTATAATTATATTATCAGATATTTCAATTCAGTTTATTTTAATTTTATAATTACTATAAATAAAATATATATTTCAACGTCAATCAAGCGGTGGATTACTTCTGACTACAGTTTTTTTCACCAGTTTAGTAAGTCAAAGGGAGGGCACTCTTGTTGTATAACCCGCAGTGTTATTTTAGATCATAAAAGCCTATAATTAATTAAAAAAACATATTTTCAATTATTATTATTATTACAATATTGAGTTTTTGTTTCGCTCATTCACTCTCCATGATCAATACTGTTAGATTTTATATTTTGAGTGAGCTTTTATTTCGTTGAGGATGGTATTTTGGTCTTATGGCATAACTTATCGTTTAAGAATACAATTATGAAGGAAAGGTACTTTTGCCATAATTAGTGACTCTATAACAGAATAATAATAATAATATTTAATAAAATAATGATTATTACCAAAGAAGATGATGTATGGGATGACCAAAAGACCTACAAAACAGTGTCTTTTTCCGTTGTGAACACGAAATTACTCCTGAAAGAGACATATATTTATATTGATTTCCCTCTTTGCCCTTCCATTCTTTTCTCTTCTGAAAATGATGGCTTTAAATACAAATTCTAATTCTTAGCTGCTTTTTTATTATGAGAAAAACAAAAACTGTTGGCACAAAACAAATTTCTCACATGGGTAGGTCCTAAATTCACATGCACTAATTATATTTTTATATATGGATCATGGCTTCAATTCATTAATACCACTGTGATAGTTATTATATTATCTGTTTTCTAAAATAATGTATTAATTTACTATCACGAGCTGAAAGAGGGCGACAGAAATTCATTTTCCTTTAATCAAAGGTTTTGATTTGGAGCTTTAATTATAAAACAGTTTTAAAGACTTAACATGAAGTGTTTTACTCTCCTTTACGGGCTCTTTCCTACCCGAGATTAATCGGATAGATGGATTTTTATATAGATTTTACCAAAATAATAATGTATTAATTCACAAATGATATTTAAAGATAATTAACTTTAATTGAAAAAATTAGAATATAATTGTTGGAGATATATCATTAATAATAAAATATTAATTGAATAATGCACTTATTTATTTATAATAATCCAAAGAAACATAAAAATATAAATTAGATTGAAGAGTGAATTTTGGGTTATAATGTAAATACTATGATTTAGATTCCTTGAAGAAGCCGAAAGATAAGTTATCAATTAGATGGAACGTGCTTTATCATCAGATTCAGACCAGTCAAGCTTTCCAACTCTTTTGTTTTCCGAAATTTCAACTACAATGTTAAAAAGTCAAACAACATTTCCTCTCTTTCTTTCCTTCGGTCGATCTACCGTACTTACTGCTGGTCCTACGCCACCTGGCAGCTGTATAGATTCCCAAACAAATATGTATGATAAGCTATCAAACTGCTTTCATACCTGATTTTTTTTTTTAAAAGATTATTATTAGATTAGAGTAGCGAGTAATTTTCACATAATATTTTAAATTAAAAAACTGCCAGCAGGGGCACAATAATTCATAGGCCACCTCATGACGAAGAGGGACAATTTTGTCATATTAGATGTCCTTCTAGATTAAATGGACACAACCTTTTGCATCTCCTTCAAATTATGGATAATAATTTATAGATAATAATTTGATTTAATAATATTTTAAGCCCATCTTGGTAATATAACCATTAACCAAACAGCAGCCAACTAATAAGAGTATGTAACCACCGCCAGTTGCTTATCATATCTAAGTTTTTATCCTTATTTAAAATAATAATATATTGAGCTTTTCTTTAATGAACAATTAAATAATATTTTCTTTAACAATATAATTACTCTTCCTTTTCAATTCATAGATATTACTAGAAGCTTTGACAATTTATGACTGACAAATTGTAGATAGTCTAAATTCCAACCCGCCCTTTAAGCCAAGAAATTGGGAAAAAGACATAAATTGAAAAGCATATACTGTATACTAACTTCTTCATTACGTTAGAAGTCTCCATGTTCATTTTTCAGCCTGACTTTATTATATTCTGGAAATACTTTTCTACATATTTTCAACATTGAAGAGTATAAACCTGAGCATATACTTTTTATACCTCCTCCATTGAAGCTGATAGGAAAATTCTAAAATCAAACATCTTTTAAACATGTCCAATTGGAGCACCACAAAAAAAGAAAATTAAAAAAAGAGAGAAAATGCAAATTCAATTCACATTCTAAATTTGCATTTACAAGACATACATTAAGATTCGTACGAGGAAAAATAAAGAGGCAAAATACCAGTAGTAGTAATAACAGTACAAACTACAAAGTACAAACGTCTTCAGCTTTCCCTCTTCCTTAGCCCAAAAAAAGGGGGCAACAAAGGCGGGGAAAGACTTGATTTTTTAATATTTTTTATTTTTCTTTTTCCACATTTATCTACAAATCCTATTCTTTCTCTCCTTCCATTCTCATATCAAACAAAGCCAAAACAGAAACCGGGCAAAAAGAAAAAAATAATAATAATAAAAAAAAAAGTCTCATTTCTCGATAGTGGAGCCCCCCATGTGACTTCGCTTGTCTTTTTCTTCTTCTCTCTCTAAGGCAGTAGCGTGGAAAAACTGGAATTCTGGAAGTACCCTCCATCGGACTTCGCGCTACCCACTGATATGTAGATGTACACAGTGATAAGTTATTAGTGCTTTCACCTGTAATTTCTTCTTTCATTGAGGGCATTTTAGTCCATTGAACTTGTCTCTCCTTCGTTCAGAATCCATGGGTGCCCTGTAATTCAAACAGAACAAAACAGAGTAAGCATTACAATTCCATACGTAAATTAAAAATCAAAAAGTGATTTAAAAAATTAAGGAAAAAACTTACTTAGAGCTTGCTCAGCTGAGAATCGCCGGGAAACGTCTCTGCATATCATTTTCTTCAAGAGATCCTTCGCCTCCGGCGAAACATTCCTAAATATCCGCGGCGGAAATCTCAGATTTCCTCTAATAACCGCTTCGAATATCTCCTCTACCGTCTCGCCGTAAAACGGTGGTATCCCAGCCAACATTACATACAAAACTACACCAGCACTCCATATATCAGCCTTCTCGTTATAATCTCTCCCTAACACAACCTCCGGCGCCACATAATACGGTGTTCCTACTACACCGGTCATCGTCCCCTCATCGCTTAGCCAATCTGCCGATCCAAAATCGGCCAATTTCACTCTATTCCGCGAGTCAAACAGGATATTATCCGGCTTGATGTCTCTGTGCACAATATTGAATCTATGGCAATGAGAAATGGCATTTAACAATTGTTTCATAATCGTAGCAGATTTTGCTTCAGAAAGACCTCCATTACTCTTGATAATCTTATCATAAAGAGTATACTGCTCACAGAGCTCCATAACCATGGTGAGTGAGTCATCGGTGTCGTATACATCGTGGATCTGAACAATGTTTGGATGCGGAGATAAGACAGTCATGATTTTAGCTTCGTTTTGAAGGCACTCGCGGTCGGTGGAATCCGTAAGGAGGTTTTTGTCTACGATTTTGCAAGCGAAGAAGTCGTTACTGATCGGAGAGAAGCAGCGAGAAATGATGCCAAATCGGCCACGGCCAACCTCCTCGCAAAGCTGGTAGTTGTTCTTCACAGTGTCGCACATTTCCGGTGATCGTTTTTGGATTATTTTGTAAGGCGTTTTGATTTGGTTTGAGTTTAGTTTGGCAATCTGTTTGTTTAGATTTATAGAGGAAGAGAGAGAAGTAAAGGAATAGATGGAGAATATTCGGTTGTTGGTGGGCTTAACCAGTTAAGATTCGTCACTTTTTTTTTTCGTAGGGTAACACTGACGCCGCTTTTGTTTTAAAATTGAACCGTTTAGAAGTTGAAAAAAATAATTCTATATTTATTTTTTAAGCTCTTATATAATAAATAACTTATAGAAAAATGTTCATCATTTATTAATTATTCTTTTATTTATTCTGTATCCTAAGTCTATTAAAACAATTAATCTAAATTTACACTAAATAGATATATGAAGAGGCAAAGTACTTTCTCTTTAGTTTTAAAAATATTTCATACTCCATATTTAAATTCTAAACCTCTAGTTAAAGGAAAAAAAATTTTTTATTTATTTTATCTTAGTTCCGGAGAATATAAATCGTGTTTTTTAATAAAATAATTAATGAATTATTTATTTTAATCAATTTTTTTATTATTGTGAGATAGATAATTACCCATTATATGTATAATTTATTAATTTAATAAATGATTCAAATCCGTATCAAGAAAATAAGTAACATATGGAATCAATAGGCGTGTCTATGAGATTTGATGCTCTAGTCTTTGCGATTAATGAGTTAATAAGAAAATTATTTCATAATATACTCTATAATATTATTCCAATTTATTAAATATTTTTTATAAAAAATTTATTATGATATATGGTACAATTTTTATTTTTTAAGATTTAAAGCAAGAAGTGTACGATTTGGTTTTGTGGTTAAACATGAAAGGAAATGATGAAAGCGCGAAACAAGAAGCACTTTTAGTTATGCGCATGTATATGACGTGTTCTTATGTAGTTCTTTATTAATTTCATTTTTCTTGTATTTTATGTATATTAATATTTTTATTTTTCTTTAACATATTTAGAAAAATTACTGGTTAATATAGTTAAAATATAATTTTTATTTAATTTTTTCTTAATATATTCTTGCATTTTTTTGATTAAGTATATCCATCGAAGATACATATTAAACATGGGTAAAATATAAAATTATAAACCAATGAGTACTGAGATAAGTGATTTGGTAATTTTTTTCTTTTAAGTGAGGTCAAGGATTTCCATCTTCATGGATATCCTAAATACTCACTGAAAATACTTTACTCTTTAATAGGCATTTTACATCTTAATGAATTGACCTGGTGTGAGCAGAATTTAGTTATAATTCTTAAATAATTATCTTATTTTAAAAAGAAAAATAAGATTAAAATTTGGATAAGTGAAATGAGCCTCTTTTTACGACTCAAAAAGGAAAAAATTGTAACGTTATCTTATTATTTTAACTATCTTTTAAATTTAAAATAATATAATTCTTTTTTCTCTGTTTCTTGGTAGTAATAGAAAAAAAAAAAAACGTAATAAAAAGACACGTTATCTCCATTTTAATATGAAGGTCAATCCCACTATCTAATACTATTAGAGACTGTTGTGAATGCCAGCCTGCCTAACTAGCAATTGTCTTATAGATGCATTATTAGAGTTCATAAATTAATTTATTTTCCTCCTAAAATCAGAAAACAATATAATATAATATAATAAATTAAATAATAATTAAAATCCATTAATTTTTCTATGGCTTATCCATATAGAAAGGGCAGTAGTACATGATTGTAAAATTACAAAACCCACTTTATCCTATCCAATAGATTGTCTCGACAAACTACCAATCACTTCACCATACTTATTGCTTCAAAACATGAAATTGCAGATTAGGTTTGTTTTGGGCAACTGTTTCCATTCTCTTGTCTTTTCATTTATCTGATTACATTATTTTCATTTCCAGTTAGTCCTGCTCTTAACTAACCACATGTAGTTAGTTGGCCATTTGACTCAACAATTTAAGTCTTTTCAATTAACTATAGTTAGCAAACTCAATTGTTTGGTTAAATTTTACAGTGACATAAATATGGTGGCAGAAGCTAGGCCTAGCAAATGCAAAAATGATTATGTGAGTGGGGCACTTACTAAACATTTGCCAGTTGCCACTCGACGTTTTGCACATCTGTCTCCACTAAAATTATCACTTTTTTAATTTCTGGTTTTATTTTCCTTAAAGCGTGGATGAGATGAGACGTTGTTACTGTATTTCATCTTATCAATTTTTTGAAAAGCGAGCAGTCTCGAATATTAATAAATAAATAAATAAAAATCATTTGCATTTATATTTTGTAGATACACACGTGGGGAGAGAAGTCCTCTCACAGTGTTTGGGATCCTTAAAAAAAAAAAATATTAATAATTTTAATATTGTCCATGCCATGTCAAGGATAAAATTGTAAATATATACAAGATGAAGGCTCTGGTTATTTTCAAAAAATAATTTGTATTTTTTTTAAAAATATTTTTCAAATGATTTATTTTTTATTCAGAAAAATATTTTCCTTGATTCAATTTTATAAATTCCTCAAATAATAATAATAAAAAATTAGGGAAAATATTTTTCTTCAAAATACCACAGGGAAACAAGTGGAGCCTAAAAAGTCACTTTGGCTTTAGGAGGAGGGGCCTACGCATACTCACCCAAGTGCTTTGATATGCCGGACAACTGAAGGTACATACATGGAGCAAAGGACACTTTAACGTATCAACTACGAAGTAGGGCTTAGAGGGACCCGTAGGCAACAAAAGAAACTTTTCCTGCTCTCGTGGCAAACTATTTACCACACAAGACGTCCTATTTTGTGCCTAAAAAAAATTATACTACATACGTATATATATAATTCAACCTTGAAAAATTAATTTTGATTTAGTGATATTAATTTTTTAAGTACTCCCACTCTAATCAACGTCTAATTAAATAATTTACAAATTTAATATTGCACCAAATTGGCTAGCAAGAAATATGCGGGCATGATGGAACCCTAATGAAACCCAATATCTTCCAAAAAGCATGATTCTTGAGAACTAATAATAAATAAATAAATAAAATGATATACATTTGATTAATTTCACCTAGGATAAGTTTAATTTAATATTATTATATATTTTCAATTGGAATGGATGTTTAATAGTATATTATTCTTGATAACCCTTTCGTTTTCAAGAAAAGATAGAATAATTGCTCGCCTTGCTATCACGCGTATTTATTAATTTAATTTAATGATTAATAAAAAAATTATGTTTGCTTTAATTAAGGATTTGCATATATGCCATGCGTGATGCCTTTCTAAAATATTATATAAAAATTCATAACTTATGAAAATAAATATGAAGTGTAAATATACGTGGGTGAGTACACTGACATTTGTGACATCTTACGTGTGCCATGTTCCTTGGAGTTCATAAGAAAAATTAGAAAAAAATAAAAATGAAAGTGCTGATGGTTGCTTACATAATTAACAGGCAACAGACTACGCTGCATTATAACATAATCACTGAAGATTTTTAATATTTTAATTATAAAAGCTGAAAACAAAAATCCAAAACAGTGACAGCATTAGATTCTGGTTTTGTATAATTTAATATATGATGGCATGATCCTCTTTCATTAATTTATTTTCTTCCAACTTCTACAGGACACAGATTTCACAAACAGGTGGTGGTTTGCAAACCCATCCATGTGTGTTCTATAGAAGTTGGAACAAAATAAATCATTATTCTTATTGTAATAATTTATTTTTCGTTGCTAATCATATACGATCTGATTGGTTCATTAATGTGAAGAGTTTGAGGTCTAGAGTGAGAATTTTTTTCTTTTTATCAATTTAGATAGTCAAGAAAAAGAACAGACTACACATATTGCGTAATCTATCATATTATTTCATTCATTTATTGTATCATTTTCGACTTTTGTGTTACTTTGGTTTGATATTAATTTGATTTGAACATGTATTAAAAATAAATGATTCATATAGTCGACCAATTAATTTCATGCATCTTTTTTGAGCTCTTTAGCTTCCATCACCTTTGGAACACCATATTCATGAAATAAAAGGTTATGAGAAAAGGCAAATTGAGGCTCAAAGTGGCCCATTGGGCCTTAGAAGCTACACAATCCAAAATCTAAATGGATGTATTGCTTAGCACAGTGCCATGTATCCCGAGTGGGTAAATTAATTTATGTTATATTTTTTTGAAACCAGGAGGTGTAATCCCGCTCTTGCGTTAGAATGTAAATATTTTTTGCCTTTTCGGTAAAATATGCATGTCAAAGACCAAATTTATATTATTATCCTTACAGAAGTTAAGGTCACTTACTGTCTCAACTAATTCCTTATTAGTTAATTTATATTATCTTTAATTCATATCAATGTAATTTACAAGTTTTAAATCAGAATTTTAGTAAAATTGTATTATCGAGAATTATTTAATTTTGATTCTTTACACTAAAATAAACTTTCATTATAATTATTGGTTGTATTTCATTTAATTAATGATGATCAATTTTTGCAAAATAATTATACTTTTGTTTTATTGAAAATTATTTAATATATATATTTTTATTGAAAATTATTTAATAATATTATATAATATATATAATAATTTTAATGTATACATGAAATTGTACTTATAAATATATACCCGTGCCAAAAAAAAAAAAATTCATAAAAAAAAAAAAAAATTCATATAAATCTTTAGATTTGATGGTCAAATAAATCATGAACTTTGTACATTTTAACACAAAAAACTAATATTTATCGTTAATATTTTAACTAAATTAGGAATCTTAATATTTTATTATTCAAATTAATATTTTAATTTTCTTAATATTAATCAGTGAGCTATCTTGTTGCATAAAAAGTTAATTATTTATATTAATTTAATTTACTAAAAATCTAAGTAAAAGACCATTCAAATAAAATATTAACAAAATAATAAAATGTAAATTGATAACTTCAAATTGATACTGATTATTTAAATTTATTGTTATACTTAGCAATAATAAAACATAAGATGTATGAATTATTTAGGAATTATAATTATAAATTAATAGAAATCTTACTAATTTATCACTTTATTATAGATTATCAATACATATTTAATTTTTATAGAAAAAATCACTATAAAAAAATTTATTTTGCTTTGGCTATAGGATTCATTATCATTTTATATCAAGTACTTTTCTCTTTATTGATTTAATTCTTAATTTTAAAGGTATTATTTTTTTGAGTTTTTATTATTTTATTTTTTAACCTTGGTCCAATAATAAAATTTTATTTTTGTATTCCATTTCAATAATTTTTTATAATACTTATTCATTTTGTTTACATATATATATTATAATATTTAATATTTATCACTTTTATTATTAATCACTTAATATTTATCACTTTTATTATATTATAAAAAAATCAATAACCATATCTATATAAATATATAAAAACAAAACTTTCAAAGTTGACATGACACAAAATTAAAGTTTTGAAATGCTGATTTATTTTTTATATATATTTTTAATTTTTTTATTATATAACTATTAATTATTATCATTTATCCATACAAAGTGGAGAATTTTATATTTGTAACGACCCTCTGATTATATTCTTGGTAATCAATTCACTATAATCTTTGTCTTAAATGTAAATGAATAGAAAAGACAAAAATAATGTAACATAAAAATTGGCCATAAAAATAAATAATTCCTCTATTTTCTCTCTCTCTTTCCCCTCTTAGAGAGGAAGTCAGATTTCAGGTCAGATTACAAAAGTCAAAGACAAGGAATTATATTATCATTTCCAGGTCAGATTTCATTCAGGAATTGATTGGAGGAGCACTAAATTGTAATATTTCAGACTTGATGAATAGGTATATGCGTCGCGAAAGTACCGATAATAAACAACTTCCATTACACGACCACCGTTTATGTTAGTCATAAGAAGAGGCATTGGCACTGGACTTGGTTTCATCAATTCCTCATTCGTATCTTTTCATGCATTGTCACATATTTTTCGAAGCTCTTTCATTGCCTTCTCTCTCTCACCTCTTATTTTTTTAAGAGGATGATGAAGAAGATGAGAGATGGCATCACAAAAATGGACTCTCTTTGTTTAAAAACAGAAATATATGGTATAACTCCATCGATCTCTGTTACGAGGTTTGGAGGCCGATCGAATCGCACTGTAGGTGTGAGTGCGATCGGGATGGGGAGAAAACAATTATGGCTACAGCACCACCTCAAAAAGCGACTTAGTCATAGTGGTCGAGCTGCATATGAAGTCTTTATGGAGGAGGAGAAACAGAGAAGCAGTGGTGTGGAGATCCAATAAAGAAGGTGGTATTGAGATGGTGAACGGTGCAGTAAAAACTTGACAATATCACTTTTTTTTACTAGAAATAGACTTGTTTATACTTTTTTCTTCATTTTTTTATTTTATCATTCATTTTTCAGATTACATTTTTTTATTTTCTTATCATGTTTTTTCGCTTTTTCTTATTTCTTTTAAATGAAATTGATAGAGATTTTCAGATTACATTTTTTATTTTCTTGATTCATGTTTTTTCAGCTTTTCTTTTTCTTTTAAATGAATATTTGGATAGAGAGAGATAGAGAGTGTATGCGGAGAGGAGAGAAATGGGTAGATGATTACCTTTAAGAAGTAATATTTGCGATGTATCATTCATTTTTCAGATTACATTTTTTTATTTTCTTATCATGTTTTTTCGCTTTTTCTTATTTCTTTTAAATGAAATTGATAGAGAGAGATAGAGAGTGTATGGGAGAGGAGAGAAATGGGTAGATGATTACCTTTAAGAGTAATATTTGCGATGGATGGATGGAGAGATGCCTTGAACGGCAAAATGAGATACGACTCTAATAATTTTTTCAATGTATTTATTTATTAGGTTTATACAGTTGCAGGAATGGAGATTTGGAGAAATGAAGAGATTTGGGTAGTGATCGTAATTTTTGTGTTATCAAAAGGACATTTAGTCTGGTATTAGGCATTTAATGGCAAAAAGCAATAAAATTCGACGAAATGACGGTTTAAGAAGAGGAATCCAATCTTAAGGGCTAAATACCTAGTATACTAAAATACGAGAACGATTTAGTTAATTTTGTAAAATCTCAGGGATGAAATAATTATTTTCCCTTCTTAGGATAGAAACCCACACAGTTAATGACAAAGCAAACTGAGGAGAATTTTCACTTTCAATTGTTTAGACACATAAAACATTTCACTTCATTTGGCTTCCATCAAAATCTTTGTTTTTGCCTTCTCTTTTGTTTCTTAAACTTATTTAGAGTAGTTAAAAAAGAAAACAGAAATTTTAATCCTTTAACAATTTTTCAATTGAAATCAACAAAATTAGAATGATAGAATTATATGTTGGATTTTCACTTCAAATCTTCAGACACAAAGAAACAATTTATTCGATTTCAAACACTTTTGTTTCTTATTTTTGTTTAGAGTCACATCCTTAACACTGACACTTATCACATAATTAGCAAACTTTGCAATACACTTATCACAAAGAAATCCATCTCCTTGCAGGCTCTAATTGAACTTCCATTCTTCCAGATTGAATTAACTTAACTTAATTTAATGACAACCCGATCGGCCAATACATTATTAGAAATGAAAAAGAAGTTTTTTTTTAGGAACAAAGAAACAAAAATCAAACACGGGGATCAGATTTTCATTCAGGAATTGGTTGGAGGAGCACTAATTTGATGTAATCTTTCAGACCTGAAGAGTAGGTAAATGCGTCTCCACACTGATAAACAACTTCCATTACACGAGCAAGGTTTATATTAGTCATAAGAAGAGGCATTGGCACTTCATTTGGTTTCATCAATTCTTCATTCATAACTTTCCAGGCATTGTCACATATTTTTCGAAGCTCTTCCATTGCCTTCTCTTTCGAAACACCATATTGTCTCATGTAGCAATCTCCAGCTAAACAATGTCCTTCCTTTTGTTCGTCCTTTAAAATTTAAATAAACATTAATTACTTGAAAATATAGTACATATAATATTATAACTAAGAGAAAATTGTTTGATCTTTATACTCCAAACCCAAACCTAGGCGTCAAAGTTACAGGAGATATTAGGTTGTAAGAAGATCTTGACGTCATAGATCAATTTATTAGAGAAAGAAATAAATATACCTGGCGGGCTACCATGTCATTTATCAAACGGCCAAAGAATTTGGAAGAATCAACAATTCTGGGATTACTTTGTAGCCACTGAAATTCTTTAACACCTGCAAGTTTTCCCATTCCAACAGCGGTCACTGCTGATAATAAAGCAAATGTGCTTGAGATTAATGCGTTACGCATATACTCGTCGAATGATGGCAAATGTCGATCGTAAAACCACTTCGTCTCTGTAAGATAGGATCTTGCCAATTCTTTGAACTAAAATTAGAAAAAAAAAAAAAAAAAAGAAAGAAAAATGGGTGTAAGTTAATACTTTCTGTAGCATATTAGGCATTAAATCATGGCAGGGATAAATCATATACTTTCTCTTTGGTATAGTTGAGACAAAAGGTTCCTCCTTCCTTTCTTTCGTCAGTCACCCACTCGTCAAAGAAAATCAAGACTGCTTTATAAAGAATCTTCAAATAATCTGTAGGTAGCTCATCAATGGCATTAATATTGCTCCTGGAAGTTACAAGTAAAAAAAAAAATATCTCGTTCAAAAACCTAGTGTAGAGTGGAGAGATGAAACAAGGAACAAAGAAGTTAATTAGGATGTCAAATTAACCTCTTTAATGCATCAGTAAAGCATTTTAGTTCTTCAAATGTACCATAAGAATCATATGTATCATCCACCAGTGCCAGCAACTCTACACACTTTCCAACAAGAATACGTGAAAGACCAAACTGTGGCTCAAAGTGGACTCCAATTCCTATAAAATATCCTTCTACAATTCTCTCTCTTGCATATGGAAGTTTCTCCGTAATATTTATTTCTTTCCACCACCTGATTAAATTACACAAGATAACAAAATTAATATCAAATTTAACGATCATAATTACTACTAATCAATGAATCTTAGTGTGTGTGCGCATGTGTGTGTATATATATATATATACATATATACCTGGAGACAATGCCTAACTCTTGTTTGTATAGTAATTGGAGTCGATTATAATCTAACTTTGCAAACTTAAGTAAAGTTTCATCATGGGATTCCTCCTGTTCGCAGAAAGAGATGTACTTTCTAGCCTCTACTCTTGGAAGGCCTCTATGGAAGGGCAAACTCAAAGCATCCTTTATGTGTTTCGCAAGATTAGAGCTTGACTGCGTAGCAAAACACTCCAAATGTGGCCTTACAAAAACAAGTGCTTCATCTAGAATATCTTCTCCTCGCATGCTCACAAATGTAGCTTCATAAAGGCTAAGAATGCTTTTCACATCTTTTGTTATGTCCTCTTTGAATTTTCCTTCGCTGTCCTTGAATTTTTGAAACACATCTGATTCACCATAATATTGACTTCATTAGTAACCACACATGCAACTATCTTTACTATATATATATGCAACAGATCAGGTAGCCAGATACTCACTACAAGGCACTTGGAACCCATGTTGTCTTAAAACTCGAAATAGAAGCGCCACTGTGTAGATATCGTAGTCAATATTACCAATATCATCATGGATGACATTAAAAATATGATGTGACTGTTCATCAATTTCTTTCTCAAAATGATAAGATACACCAAGTCGGCATAATAAATCAATGAATCCTATGTTCTTCGCTAAATTCTCTTTAGACGCAGCCAGCTTTTCCTTCACCTTTTCTTTTAGATCTTCTACCTTTTTGGTACAGGATTCAATTTCCTGCATCAAATAAACAAACATATAGTAAATATTATAAAAGAACGAGAAAAAAAAGTTAACAAGTGTGGTTAAATGGTTGATGCTGAACTTATTTTTGAGTTAGTAATTAAATTTCAATATGTGTAATAATGGTTGATTAGTGATTAACAATTATACCTGGTTGAATAAGGACAGTGAAGCAAAGTTAGAACCCCACACAGTAGGGGGGAAGTTTGCCAATGGACGATCATGGTTTTGGTCTAAGTTAGCAGCTGTGGGATGAGCTTGTGTTCCCATTTCTCTGATAGCAGGAGAAGAGAAAGGCTTCTTATTGCTCATTTCAAGGTAAACCCAAGGCTATACTTATAGAAAAGGATTCACATCACAGTTAATTATATTATTATCTTTAGTAGCCAACTACTAGCATGGGAAAGCTTATCCAGATAGGAAATTCTTATTAATAGATATCTTATTTTTCTTTCTCGAACAGAATGCTGATAAATATTTTTCTTTCTCGAACGTATCAAACATGCTAGCATATGAATGAATCAAATTAAAATTTTCATCTGCAGGAAGTCCTTCTTAATATTATCTTACCGAAGTTTATATGAAAAAATTCTATAAAATAATTTTGTAACAGTTCAATTATGATTCTATATTTTTATACTTTATTTTAGTAAATGATATAGTTATTACTTAAATATAAAAATATATTATCGTTAATAAATTTCCGCGAACTTAAAGAGTGCCGCCAAATAAATGATGCAGGCTTTAGAGACAAATCTGAGCCTTTTACTGGATAATAATATATTACAGAGATGATGAACAACAATCAACAAACATTAACCAAAGGCCCCTTGTAAAATCCTCTCATGGATAGCCCATATCACTTCTTTTCAGCCCAGGAAGCCCATCAAGACCGCAGAGCATGAAATTACACTATAAAATATTGAAAAGTCAAAACTATGCCGTTTTTTTTTTTTTTTTTTTTGGATGGCCGCATATCAAACTTCTTTTCCAGCCCAGGAAGCCCTATTCAAAGACCGCAGAGCATGAAATTACACTATAAAATATTGAAAAGTCAAACCTATGCCGTTTTTTTTTTTTTTTTTTTTTGCTTATATCTCTGCTTCCTTTTCTCAAATCTCCGTTTTTTTTTTTTTTTTTTGCTTAATATCTCTCTTCCTTTTCTCAAATCTCTCTATAAAAATTCTTAATTTAAAATTTTATATGTTTAGAGGTTCAAGGATATTTAAATGCTCTTTACTTGATTTCCTTTGACATTATGAAAATTAAGAAACTCAAATTTAATTTAATACTTCTGCGTAAAATTATATCCTTAAATCAAATTTATGCATACATTAACTTTAAATTTAAAATGAAGCACATTTTTCAAAATTTAAACTTATATATAACGGTAAAAAAAATCCTATATAGTCAACCAAACGATGGTGTGAGAAATGCCTTTTTGAACAAAACAAAATTTGCCCATTGCTTGCTTAAGCTCACTTTCTCTTACCAAATCTAATGTCGGCAAAGGTCCTGGATTTTCCTCCCCCACTAAATCCTGCAGCTTTAGGACCACTTTCCCGGAAATTTCTACAATGTGCCAAGAAATTTTTGAAGATTTAATTAAAATATCTTGACACCAAGTCAAGATTTTTGTTATAATGCCATCAACCAGTCTCGTTACGATGATTTCTTATATTTTAAGTCAATAAATTGATTCAAATGCATTCAAATGATTTCTTATATATGATTCAAATATCTTGAATTGGTTTTATTGAATACTTTAACTTGCAAAATTAGATCAATTAAACACTAATTAAAAAGTCAAAATTTATGAAAATTATTATTTTAAAAGTCATGTTAAGTACATATCAATTTGATATTTTGCAAATAAAAACTAAAAATTCTAAAAACTATTGATATTAGTGTCGAAAAGTGTGTAATATTACCAAAATTTACAAATTCAAATACACGATAGATCATCCGTAAAGTTTAAGGTACCATAAAATTAAAATTTCAAAGTTCAAAATTGAATTTATATATTCAGCCTATTTGGTTTGGAATTCATTGCATTTTCACTAAAAGATGATAAAATTAAAATTTTAAAGTATGAATATTAAATATCGAATATTTCACATTCAGGGTAATTAAGGTTTTAATTATGAAATGTGATCACATTAAAGACAACAATAAAAGTTCGAAAATGTGGTCTTCTTGGTGAGCCCAACAACCAACAAATCACCACACACGTCTTGACTTTGATTCTCGACATTCTCAATAAAGGAACATGTGACTGAAATTTTGTTGATTGCAAAAAAGGAGAAAAGAAAAAGAAAAGGTTTATTAAAACATCAAATCAATTAATTTATGTTTTCATATACATAAATATATTTCACCAAAATTCTATATATTTAAATTAACTAATTAATAATATATTAAATTAATATTTTTGAATCTTTATATAGGCAAAATAATAAGCTCTCTGACCCGTATTTTACATATATGTGCCATGATTTACTATATATATATATATATATTAATTGTGTGCAAGGTTGAAAATTGAAAATGCACCTACCACTAAATTATATTTTTATGCGTGAGAACTGTTAATACTAAGGAAGAAGTAATGTATTTTCGAAAAAATCAAGCATATAGTGATTAATTTTAGCTAATTCTCAAAAAAAAAAAAAAAAAAAGCTATTCTCAAAAAAAAAAAAAAAAAAAAGCACGTGTACATTTATCAAAAATGAAAAAAAAAAAAAAAAAAAGCACGTGTACATTTATCAAAAAGTTCAACAGGCCCAATCGATTTTGCGTGGTGGGCCAAATGGGCTTGCTTTGTCCACTCTCGTTCATCGCGCATACTAATTTTGACTATAAGACACACACACAAAGATACACATCAATCTCTTAAAAAAGCAACCAATATGTACAGTGGTGGCCTTTTTTTTTTTTTTTGAAATTTCAAATCAAAGTATATCCATGTTATAATTACATTCAGAAGTGTATTGTGTGAATAATTACAAGTTGACCTCTACCTAATGCTAAATTGAAAATTTGAACTCTGATGTTTTCTTTTTTCTTTTTTAATTTTCAATGCATAAAAAAAAGTTATTATTTTCACAATTTTTTTAGACTCTAAACATTTTTAATTTCTAAAAGTATTTCATATAAAAAATTCATGTTTTTCTATAATTTAAAAGTATTTTCAATATTTCTTACATTACATTACATATACACGTGTGACAACGGAATATCGTCACATACTTCAAAATCAAACAAAAAAAAAAAAAGTGAGCTGAAGAGTTCTTCGATGAATCATGGCTTAGTCATCAACGATCGCTGTATATGTGAGAAATATTTAAATGAAACAAAAAGGAATATTTAACTTTTGAAAACCATGCAATTCTTTTCCCATTTCGAGAACGTGAGAGAAGAAACAAAAAGACATTGTCGATCATCATCTTGAAAGTTTTCAGTTCCAAAAATACCAAAAACAGAGATCAGAAAAAAAATATATCCATAATATCAAAAGCTCAAAAAGAGATAGAAAAAAAATGGTGAGAATTCCTTGCTGTGAAAATATGGGGTTGAAGAAGGGACCATGGACACCTGAAGAAGATCAAATCTTGATCTCTTACATCCAGCGTTATGGCCATGGCAACTGGCGAGCTCTACCTAGGCAAGCAGGTCAGTTTTTATATATGTTTATTAATTAATTTCCTTATTATGTGTACAATAACTTAATTATTTTCTCTTCTTTTAATTAGGTTTATTAAGGTGTGGAAAGAGTTGCAGGCTTAGATGGATAAATTACTTGAGGCCAGATATCAAAAGAGGAAACTTCACAGATGAAGAAGAAGAAACTATCATTAAGCTACGTCAGATTCTTGGAAACAGGTAGGTAATTAAATATATACTACAAATTAATAGTTATTAGATACATAATTAATTTCAGAAATTGGTTCAGTTAGCGAGTCGATCTACTCTCCTTCTTATTTACATTCGATTCTTATAGCCAGAAGATTAATGATTTTACGTATTTTTTTTCTTATTAAGATGCTTTAACTCTTAAGTGGGTATGTTTAAGATTATGAAATTAAAATTTTATGTAATATATATAAAAATGATTCTCAGATGGTCGACAATAGCAGCAAAATTACCAGGAAGAACAGACAACGAGATAAAGAATTATTGGCATAGCCATCTAAAGAAGAGATTTGATGAGGAGAAATATGGTAGTTCAAGCACAGGCAGTTCTGGTAACTGCAGTAAAAAGTCAAAAAGGACAGTGAAAAACAACGCAATTAGATCATCAGAGAATGTAAATATTTCTGCTGGTCATGATCACGCATCAGCTTTCTCACAACAGTCATCCCATGATGAGTTATCCAGTGCTTTTGCAAATGTAGAAGCTGTCGTTGATGGTTTGAATACTATAAGCGACACGGCGTTTTGGTATGACATTTTCATGAAAACAAGAAATTACTCTAGAGAAGTTGATGGAAATTGATTTATGGCAGTAGAACTGTAGTATAGTATATATGGGTTATTTTTGTTTTTGTAATTACTTGTCTTCCTTCATTTTCAATGGTACGTAAGAATTGATTAACATTAATGTTTCTGTAATTTTTTCCCTTCAAATTAATGCAATAAATCCCCACAGATTTCATGCTTAAGAATGTGTTAATTACGCGTAAATAATAGAAAAATAGCATATTAATTTATACCAGTTTGGGATAGAAGGAGAGGAGAAGGGTAATCAATTTATTTACCCAAAACTACACTTGAGTTTGATAAATGAAAAAATCTGATTAGATAGAACTTTTTACAACGGTATAAAATAAAAATAGATATTTTCTCTCGAGATAATAAAAGATAAGCTAAAAAAAAAAAAAAAAAACTCGAGATAATAAAAGATAAGCTAAAAAAAAAAAAAAAAAACCTGGTAAATATCGAAAACAATATAAGTCTTAGTTTGTATAAATCCAAGTCAAAAAAAGTACTTTGGACTCAACACTTGTTTTTTGCTAAGGTAATATGTGAAATGATTGATTATTTTCTTTATCGACATGCATCACATCAATATGATTTAACTGAAGTAAAGTCGAATACAAAACTTATTAAAACTTTTTAATTTGTAAATATGATTCCAAAGAAAATATAAAATGCATTAAAAATGAAAAAAAAAAAAAAAACCTGTAAATATCGAAACAATATAAGTCTTAGTTGTTATATGCAAGTCAAAAAAAGTACTTTGGACTCAACACTTGTTTTTGCTAAGTAATATGTGAAATGATTGATATTTCTTACGACATGCATCAAATCAATATGATTTAACTGAGTAATAGTCGAATCAAACTTATTAAAACTTTTTAATTTGTAATATGATTCCCAGAAAATATAAAATGCATTAAAAATGGCTAATAATTCGGTTTCATTAGAATCTAAAATGTCAACAAATTTAAAAAAGATGCAAGGTACCATCTCTTTGACAGTTTGGCAACACTTCCCCTATACCTGTAGGCCCGGCTTACCTCTTGCTGCAATATGCCCCTATATTGAATCTAACTGAACCCGAGCAATATGCCCGTTTCTACAAACAATCCTTCTGCTAAAATTCAATCGTTGTTGAAAGCTAATAAAGCAATATGCCCTATTATTTTAATCACATTTAATTAAGTTTCTTTCAATTTTAAATTTATACTAAATGCAGATGATACTTTTATTTTTTAGACAATTGAGTTAACTTAATTAATATTCTTTTTATTTTTATATAGTATTTAAAAATAAAAAACAAAGACAATGAATTATAATATTAAACACATAAAAAATGAAAGGCTTGTATTATTTTAATATTATAAATATTTAAAATTTTATAGTTATATAGCGGTAAATACATACATGATAGATATAAGTTTGAATACCTCTTTTTTAATATTTTAAAAAATCAATAAATTAAAATTTAATAATAATAAAATAAAATAAAAAAATAACATTTAAAAAAAAGAAAAAAACTGTTATTGCTTGGTTTGATGTATGGTTGAATGCATGGAATAAGTAAATAATTACCCTATGATAATTGGTTAATAAACCCTAATTTTGGAGTGAATAATTCTATAACCTATGGGGCGGAGAAAATAAAAAACAGGGTGAAAATAATTAAAAAGAAAAACAAAAGGGGAATTCCCGGTAATTCAATTCACCGAACTTGAATTTCCGTATTGGACACAACGGATAGAAGCTACCTTGTACCAAAACCCTCTCCAGAACCCTAAACTGAATTTCCCGTCAGCATACTCGCTAACAGTCAAAGCAATGGCTTTGGCGATCTCATATGTCTTTAACTGCGCTAAACCCCAAATTGCGCTGAGAAATTGCAATCTCAAACACTCGCTTTCAATTTTTGCTCCTACGATTATCAGGTAAGTTGTTTTCAATCTGTAAAATTCAATACTCTGCATTTTTCTCAGCAACCAAACAGAAATGTTATATTCAATTAATTCCTCTGTACCTCCCACATTTCGCAAGCCCAATCTTGTCGTTCACTGTAAAATAGCTAAAATTAGTATTTCAAGCTTCATATAGAATTCTTCTGTAGCAATGATCGACGGATAGAATTCTATAAATTGTTTCGCTGCTGAGGAAGTATTGCAAAAGTAATTGCGATTTGGACACTGAATTTGCAAAACAGATTATTTGTTTGGGACGCAATTTCCAATTTTTTTGCTTATTCTTTGTCCTTCTTTTGAGTGTATGACTTTCTTTTGTTGTATTGGTTTATTTTCAATGGATTTATAAACCTTTGCTATGAACCTTACCAGATTTTCTAGAAGTGTTCCAGAGAATAAAAGGCTGGTTTGCGTTGCTGCATCTGCAGCAGGAAGTTCTAGTCCAGATAGTGACCTAAACCCATATGAGGTAATATTGGATGACCTTGGTTTGCACTGAGGACGTTGAAGTTGTAAATGCTTTAATTGCTAGATTGGTTATTCTTTTGTTTAAATTATTTTAATTTAGGGTATTTCAGGTCCTTGGCGTGAGCCCCTTTGAGGGGTTTGACAAAGTGAAGGCAGCATATACAAAAAAGCTCAAGGAGGCTGAGAGCATAGGTGATGAAGTGACTGCTTCTCTGGTAGGTGCACTTATCTAATTTTCTCATGTTGTAAAAAGAGTATATTTTTCATAAAATTATCTTTGATTTCCCACTTGCTTGTTCTTGTGCTGCTGTGGGTGTATTCATAATAAGAAATATTGTTTCCACTTCCAGCTTGAAAAGGCGTATGATAAACTGATGATGTCACAGTTAACAAGTCGTAAGAAGGGTGTAGCCTATGGTTCATTTAAGGTATGATTTTGGACACTTTCTTTGTATTATTTGAACCTTTGAGTTCATGGTGAAACATACTTTATATATGCAGTCGTTTCTATATTGTTACTTAAGTGGTTGCATAAATCTAGAACCTTTTTTAGTAATCTGAAGATTCTCTAAATTACTGCAATGGTTTGAGATTGTTTATAGTTTGGCAAAATTCTTTGCTTAATGGGTATATGTGGTGATCACAAAAAGGATAAATCTTTCATGTAAATCTTCCCTGAGGATTTAATTTTAGTGTTTATGCTAGGTATTTATCACCTAAAGCTGCAGAAAAACTAAAATTCTTAATTGGTAAAATTTATGTGTAATATTTGTGAAAATTTCTATTGGAAACTTCAGACTTAGAATTGGAGATGTTTTCATTAATATTCTGAAAAGATAATTAGTTTTCAGGATCTATTTCTGCCTTACAATGATTATCCTTCTATATTTTATTTTGTATAACACAGGTTTCAAAGGACATAAAATATGCTGATAAGCAGCCAATTGTACCATGGGGACCAAGGTTTGTATTTGTTATGGAATTTGATTTTCTTGAAAACCCATACTCTAATTACTTGTTGAGAGAACACAAAAACAATCTTCTGTTTTGCATATTATAGTGGCTTCTTCAGCTATATTCTTAGGGTTTTCGTGCTTGTATGTCCCCTCATATTTATTTCCTAATATGTTATCAGGTTTGCCAAGTCCAGTATCCAAGACATGCGCATCAATTTGGCAATATCTGGTGCATTTGTAAGTAGTGGAATGAGTTTTCCTTGCTAAAAGACGAGATTAGGAATATAGATATTGTGCATGGTGCTATTAGTTCACAGCCTTGTGTTTTTAGTAGATTCTTTGCCTTTATGTGTGCATGTTGCATATTTTGTGGTGGTCATCAGTTTATTATACAATAAGGACATACTCATTTATTTAATTATTTCTTTCACCAATCGCTAGAACATGCACGGTTCATGATGCAGAACTGAAGTTCTGGCAGGAGGGGCCTCAATAATGTTTGTTGTCTGAAAACTGCATTTATCATAGGTCTGAATACAACTTGCAAAGATTATCCTTGTTCTAAATGGAGGTTTGCCAATTGATTATTTCATGAATCAAATTCAAAACCTGTTGGTCAATTTGACTTGATCTGATTGATTTGGCTGATACATGCAAGTTTAAACACATTCTGCATCTGCAATGTTAATAGAAGTTTGTTGCATGTTTCGTGTTTTATGCAACCTCAGTATTGTATTATGGTCTTCATAAAAAAAAAAAAAAAAAGAATGTGCATAAATAATCTTCATGCTTGATGAAGCTCTTTACTTACCAATGCTTCTGTAACACATTAGCTTAAATATTTGATATCTCAGACCTCTCTGATGTTCAGACGTTCGTTCTATTCTTTAATTGATATGCATCTCCCATCCTGCCCTTATCTTTCTGCAGATAGCTTGGATTCTTATCAAACGCAATGCTGATTACAAACCTCTGCAGTTTTTGGCTTTTGCATTCGTATATAGAATTTTTGAGAAGTTAAAATCCTTTGAACCACCTGTATCTCCAACATTTACGGTAAGTGGAACTTAGATTGCAGCCTTTTCCCAACATATTAGACATTATTTATGGATAAACCTCTAAACATTTCTACATTCTTGAACTGCATTTTCAGTCTTTTAAATATTGGATGTGATCTTCCCTGCAGGAAGATGGTGAAGATGATGGGCGAGCATTGCGAATGGGAAAACGACTCCTCCGTTCTCTTGCACTAGTTTTTGGCTGTATCGCTTTTGCTTCTCTGGTATGATGTTTTCCCAACTTGTTTGTGTATCTTCAAGAAGAACATAGACACATTAACAGGTCCAAAGCCTCATGTGATAGCTCATGTAGTAAGCAATTGATTTATAGCCTTCATCTTAAATTCTTAAGAACTTCATATGCATGATATAGGACAGTCTCAGTATCCATAACAAAATTGCAGTGGAGATGTAAAGTAGAAGCAAGTAGGGATAGCTGTAGTATTTTTGACGCCTTCTTTGTTTTACAAAAAAATGAGGCGTGTGAATGAAAGGTACAATAACACAGAGGGCTGCTATATTGCAAATTTCTTTAGTGGGGCTGTGACTATAATTTTGAGTGGGCCCATAAACAATGTAGTTCCATCCCTACAAGCAATGACTGATCTACTTACTATATATTCATGCTTTTTTTCTTTAAATAAGCAAATTCCTAGGAAAAAATGGGTCACCACCGTAGCTTTTTGATCCTGTATAATATTTGACTTCCCACTGTCTGCACTTGTGAACTGTATGGTAGATGGAATTCAACTTTACATTGAGAATACAGACAAGAAACCGCCTTGGTCATCCCAGGGAAAGCTCAACCTTTTTGTATTTAAATTGCTTTTGTAATACCTCCACTTGTTCTGACAAACTTGAAGGGAGTTTAGGAGAAAATGATGTGTCTTTTCTTGGTGGAGAATTCCACTTATATACTATTTACAAGCTGATTTCCAGCCCCTAGAATAGCTATATACAGATCTGTTTACATCTTAATTAAGGAAAGAATAAAATATTTACAGAAGAAAATCCATGGGCTTTAATTGACCAACTAGAGGCCTAAAATCATACAAAATAAAATCTGACACAAAATCAGCAATTCTTAAAAGCAGATTCTTCTAAATCAGCAAATTCTTAATAGCAGATTCTTCTAAATCAGCAAATATTTAATATTAGATTCTTTTAAGAGTTCCTGAACTGGAAAGATACCAATTTAAATTAATTCTTTCCCTGTTCCTATAATTATTATGCTCAGATTTCTTTATCTGATGGTTCTCTTCTATGTTCTTATCATCAGTGTTTTTTGGTTGGTTTCTTGCAGGCATACACTGGTATCTTGAATTTGATTGAGTTTGCTGGCAGTTATATACCCGCTTTTCTATACAATAATCAGGTACTTACTTTGTTTTTATCACGAATAACAGAATATTTAATGTTCTTAGGACAATTTGGGTCGATTTTATTTAATATTGCACACACTTCTGAATAAGAATTAGGATGCACACAGAATTGTCTGTAAACTATGGTGATTGTATTTATGTTCATGGAGCTGAAAAGAACAAGTTGTTGACATAAACTTGAGTGCCATTGCATGCACTAGATTTTAGCACTGCATGCACTAGATTTTAGCACGTGCACTATTTGTCATAGGACAAGAAGTGGAAAATTTGTTTGGCTGAAGTTTGGATTGGGGTTTGGCTGAATTAGAGGAGTTAGGAACATTGGCAAATGCAGGTATATTTTTTCTCACAGGCGGGAAGAAAATTGTTTAAAATTAAAACAGTAACTTTGAGCCTCACATTTTTAGGATCTATGAGTAACTGCTATGGAGAAACCTACACTTCCTAAGATTAGAATTGCGTTATGTATCTCAAAAGAGGCATACCTGCTCAAATTCTTATTCAATTAACTTATTCTATTTTCTCAGAGATAAATTATTACAAGCATATTACCTATATTAAAACGGGTAAATTTCCCTGAAGGCTATTTTTAGGTTGCTGGGAGACCTGGGTTATGCCGAATCAACTAAACTACATCTTTTCTGTGAGGGAGTCCAATGTCTTGAAATTAAAATTTCCAAATGTTCAATGATTTAAGCAATAATCTGCTAGACTAATTTCCAGTTTCCTATATTGCTTGAATATTTGGTCCATCTATTTGACAGACTACCGTGATTGCTTTGCTGTTCAGTGCTTAAAATGAATTTATATTTTATGTTATTGAAAGAGACTATCACTTAGTTCTACAAGACACATTTCTGTTGTTAAGCGTTGCATGCTAATCTATTTATGATTTGTCTGAATGAACAACTGGTGGTGAATGTCGTGTCAATCCTAATAACGCAATTTTATCTGCAGGAACTGTTAGTCACCACTTCCTCAGCTATCATTCTGTACATTTTGGGATCATACTATCGTTAATGTATTGGTGAAAAGATCAACAGCAATGCAGCTGGGCTTTTTTTCTTTTGAGAAACTGGCTTCGTTCTAAATTTATTTAGCGGTCAAATCTATTGTGTGGGGAACTTTGTAAGATTAAAAAATAAAATTAATAGGAAAAAAATTTTGGTTAAATTTTAATGGAAGTTGCAATTTGTTTTGATGCGGCTTTGAACATTAGACAAATTTCTTGTTTAATTTGTTGCTATTACCAAAGGCCCTTAAGATGTCATGTGAAGGCTAAACTCTTTTCTCCTTTTAACCATAGGCCTCACTTTGCCTCTTTTATGGGCTTGTTTGATGCAAATTCGGACTAATCAAGCGAGTGGATTTAGAATATTGAATAATTTTCCATAAAAGAATCCAAAAATAACATCATGCATGAAGAGAAAGAAATCAAATCACTAAAAGAAAGGAACCCATAAAAAGGTAAGCATTATACTTTCTGATACTATCTAATCTTTCCTTCAAGCTTATATAAAAGTACAGTAATGCAACAAAATACAGCAAAAACACCGATAAACTCAAGTAAGTGGGTTAAGTCTGATGCTGCTTGCGTCATATCATACCCATAAGAGAAAGTGCTTCTAATATAAAATTTTTCAATTCATAATAATTAAACCTTCACCTTTTATTTAAAGAATCTAAATTATTTCCGTTCAAATCAAATAGCTTTTTATTGGTAGTGTAAAGCGTGAGAACAAGACCCAAAGTTTATGGTATTTCTACTTGCTAGGCTTTAAATAGATTTTGCATTTTTTTTTTTCCATTTGTAAACTGCATGTCGTATGTACCAAAGTAGTGGGTCGGCTGACTGGACGACCCAATGAAGAGGTTCGATTGAGGTTTTCACTCCTTAACCCCCTTAGCAAATCCAAACCCAGTCAGCGAGAGCCCTTGTGCCCTCTTGCCAGGTTTCTCTCTAGTTCCTCCGAGCGTTCTTCATATCCTCTACGCCGTTTTTCTCGCCGGCTAGTCTTTCTTCGTCTCTTCGTTCAATTCTCAAATTCCTATCGCCTTCCTCGAGCGCTCACCGGTGTTTTTTTGTTCATTTTTAATCTGTCTTAGCTTTGTATAATATCGTCGCCGGTAAATTGCTGGCTTTTGTTGTTTCACTACTATTTCTTCGCCGTCACCTTATCTCTTCGCCTGTTTTGCTTTTATCTTATCCAATTGCGGTTGCTGTTGTAGCTTCGAGTTTAGTAAATCCACATCAGAGAAAACCCTAAGAATACAGATTGAGAGCATAACTCCCAGTCTCAGATTTTTTGTTTCAGCTTTCGAAATCCTAGAATCTTGAAGAGGTAGTTAAATTAAAAGGAAGCAAGATGAGGATTATGATAAAAGGTGGTGTGTGGAAGAACACCGAGGATGAGATCCTTAAAGCGGCTGTTATGAAATATGGGAAGAATCAGTGGGCACGAATCTCTTCACTTCTTGTTCGTAAATCTGCTAAGCAGTGTAAAGCTCGCTGGTATGAGTGGCTCGATCCGTCCATCAAAAAGGTACTACTCTTCGCTTCTTTTTCTCTTCCATATGCTGGTATGCACGCACATTCACATTCAATTTTTTGCATGTTTGTACGTCTGTTTGTGAGCTTCTTTTCTAATATTTGAGGGATGCTCAGTGAATTATTTTAGTTTGGTTTTTGCCGATTTAGAACAAACGCTTCTAATGTTTGAGCCACAGAAATGTACAATGTTTGATAATTGGTTCATGTCAATGAATGACGTTACAAAAATAAAAGGCATGAACCTTAATTTTTGTTATTTAACTTTAGAGAAAGGTGGGCTATGGAATTAGAATTGGTTCCTTTTACTTGTTAGGTAATTTAATAAGGCCTATGAAATTAGAAAAATGTGATTTTTTTTTTTTTCTGGTTATGTACTGCTTCAGCTTTGGGATTATTCAAGAGGCTGCGAAACAAGGAGTCTATATGCAATTTTGGATTTTTAGCTTTTTGTTGACTTCATTGGATGGGCTGATGGGCGTTATGTATTTTGTTAACCCAATTAAGAGAACATATAATTTGAGTTAGCTAAGGAAGCCTTATTTTTTTAACCTTAGCTGTATAATGCAGTAGTATGCTTACTGAACTGAACTTTTTGTTCAGTTTCCCCCAATAATGAAAAATTCTTATCCCTATTCATCCCTTCTGATACTGAAAAGTGACATCGTTAAACTTCAAATGTGGGCTTGATTCTTACATTTAACTTTGTTATGTTTTTAGCGGTAAACTCAACTTGAGGTAGCTACATCTTATGTGGAGACTAATTCTTTATTTTCATGGTGTTTGCAGACTGAGTGGACTCGGGAAGAGGATGAGAAATTGCTTCATCTTGCTAAACTTATGCCAACTCAATGGAGGACAATTGCCCCAATTGTTGGCCGTACTCCATCTCAGTGCCTAGAGCGTTATGAGAAACTTCTCGATGCAGCCTGTGTTAAGGATGAGAATTATGAAGCTGGTGATGACCCACGAAAATTGCGTCCTGGAGAGATTGATCCAAATCCAGAATCCAAACCTGCACGTCCTGATCCTGTTGATATGGATGAAGATGAGAAGGAAATGCTTTCTGAAGCACGAGCTCGATTAGCGAACACTAGGGGCAAGAAAGCGAAAAGGAAAGCAAGAGAAAAACAACTTGAAGAGGCCAGGAGGCTTGCTTCCTTGCAAAAAAGGAGAGAACTGAAAGCAGCTGGTATTGACACACGACATCGTAAGAGGAAAAGGAAGGGTATTGACTATAATGCAGAAATTCCTTTTGAGAAGAGGCCTCCTCCTGGCTTTTTTGATGTTGCTGATGAAGATAGACCAGTGGAACAGCCTAAGTTCCCAACTACAATTGAAGAACTAGAAGGCAAAAGAAGAGTTGATCTAGAGGCTCAATTGAGAAAGCAGGATATTGCAAAGAATAAAATTGCTCAAAGGCAGGATGCCCCATCAGCTATACTACAAGCAAACAAGTTGAATGATCCAGAAACAGTAAGGAAAAGGTCAAAACTGATGCTTCCCGCGCCGCAGATTTCAGACCATGAATTGGAGGAAATTGCAAAGATGGGATATGCGAGTGATCTTCTTGCTGGAAGTGAGGAACTAACTGAAGGGAGTGGTGCAACACGTGCTCTTCTGGCAAATTATGCTGACACACAACGGCAGGGAGTGACACCATTGCGAACACCACAGAGAACTCCTGCCGGCAAGGGTGACGCTATTATGATGGAAGCAGAAAATTTGGCTCGGTTGAGGGAGTCTCAAACACCATTATTGGGAGGAGAAAATCCAGAATTGCACCCTTCGGATTTTTCTGGGGTAACTCCCAAGAGAAGGGAGATCCAAACACCAAATCCAATGTTGACCCCTTCTGCAACTCCTGGCGGTGTTGGTTCGACGCCTAGAATTGGTATGACACCATCAAGAGATGGATACTCTTTTGGTGTGACACCAAAAGGAACTCCCATCAGGGATGAACTTCGTATAAATGAAGACATGGATATGCATGATAGTGCAAAACTTGAGCAGCGAAGACAGGCTGATCTGAGAAAGAACTTGCGGTCTGGTCTCAGTAATCTCCCACAACCCAAGAATGAATACCAAATAGTTATTCAACCTCCTCCAGAAGATAATGAAGAACCGGAGGAGAAGATTGAAGAGGATATGTCTGATAGGCTTGCTAGAGAAAAGGCTGAGGAAGAAGCGCGGCAACAGGCATTGCTTAGGAAGAGGTCTAAAGTGCTGCAGAGGGAACTCCCCAGGCTTCCTGCTGCTTCATTGGAACTAATAAGAAATTCTTTACTGAGAGCTGATGGAGATAAGAGTTCCTTTGTTCCTCCTACATCAATTGAACAGGCTGGTGAAATGATACGAAAGGAACTTCTAAGCTTACTTGAGCATGATAATGCAAAATATCCACTAGATGAGAAGCCGAATAAAGAGAAAAAGAAAGGAGCAAAGCGCCCTGCAAATGCACCTGCTGCTTCTATCCCTGTGATAGAGGATTTTGAAGAAGAAGAGCTAAAAGAAGTATGTATTTTATATTGTCTTTCTTAAATTTGTGCCATTCCATTTATTGAATTTCCAGGGCTCATGTTGAACTTCGTACTGTTTACAGCTGCTTTAGCATTTTTTAAAATAAAAATTTCTGCGGGATATTGGTAGCATGGCAGTAATCAAATAGAAGTACATAGAGTTGGGTATTTTTTGGATATGGATGCAATTTCCTTCCGATATTATTGAATTCCAAAGGATCACATGCTATCCCTCTTTAGAATTGGTGTTATGAAATAAGTTGATGTTGGAACTCCTTAACTATTTCCTTCTACTTTGAAACTAGCATGAAGGTGGAAACAATCCTCCGTCATAATTTAGTTTTTACTAAGAAAATGGTATTATGAATCTATATTCATGAAGTGGGTTAAAGATGAAATTTTGCTATTTGTTTAGTGAAACCAACTGAATTATCAACGTATAGATAATTCATGTATGGACTTACTTTATTGTTGGAGATTAATATTTTTGTCTCAAAACTGCATAGGTTGCTACAGAAGGATTTTTATCTGAAAGAATTTGAACCACTGGTGCTAATAAAAAGAGTAGATGGGCACATTTGTAACTTATCAAATGCTGGAGGAATTATGTGTATTCTCAAACTCATGTATTTCACAATCTGTGTGTGAGCGCGTGCTTGTGAGCTCTTATCTGCTGTAATGTTATAATTAATATTCTGTGTTACCCAATTCATTAAATTGTCTATTTTCTCTATCTGCAATCTGCAATTGTTGCATATGGATTTTATTCCATGCAGCTTATGTCTTTGCTTGATTTGATAAAATAGCAGCATTGATAATTGTATCTCTTGGAAGGCCTTAAAATCCTGTCTAGTGATTGATCTCATTTTCTAACTGTTTGATGATTGCATTCTATTTTACAGGCTGATGATTTGATTAAGGAAGAAGCTAATTATATTCGTGTGGCAATGGGTCATGAAAGTGAATCTCTTGATGAATTTGTTGAAGCACATAAAACATGTCTGAATGATCTTATGTACTTCCCCACTCGAAGCGCTTATGGTCTCGCAAGCGTTGCTGGAAATGTGGAGAAACTTACAGCCTTACAGAATGAGTTTGACAGTGTTAAAATGAGGTTAGAGGCTGAAAGAGAGAAGGCATTACGCCTTGAGAAGAAGGTTAATGTTCTTACACAAGGTTATCAGGTATGTTGTGAGTTTTGATATTGCTGGTGGAAGTTTTTTCTAGATTTATTTTGGCTTTATGTTTGTTGTAGTTTTTTATCACTTTCCTTTTAATTTGTTCTTTATTTCCTCTGATTTGTTTTGAAGGTATGAACCTAAGATGTTTCTAAAATCCCACATCAAAGAGACTTAAATTTTAGCACTTCTTACAATTATGCTCATGGCCTTTGAAGGCTTGCCTAAATGGTTCTGAAATTATATTATTATTTATATTGTGAGGTCTCTTATTCAAAGTTTTTTGGCGGGTTTGTGTGTTGATTATGCTATGAGCACAACTTCCCTCCACATTATATAGCCTTGTATATATCATGCTTCCTTTATTTTCTCCCTTCTTGGGTATTTTATTCCCTCATTTTTGTCATCAATACAGTTAATTACAGTAGTTTAAACATATCAAAAGAGATTTGCACGTTTGCTTTAGTACCAAAAATGGTCATAGTTCTTTAATGCTTTTTCATGTAACTAATAGTGAAATGTGTGGTTTCATTTTCTTCAAGATTTGTAGTTTATATCATATATGAACTATTTTGTATAAACCTTTGTGACAAGTAATGTGTAATTGAAACTTAATCTATCACTTATTTCTGATGGGATCTTTCAATTTTTACTGTCATTGGATTTTGTGTAAATGATATCTTGTAAGTTACTCGACCATTGACATCTTGAATGAACAGACAAGGGCAGAAAGGCAGCTATTGCCACCAATTGAGTCAATTTTAAAGCAGCTGGACACTGCTGGAACTGAACTGGAGTGCTTCCAAGCTCTGCAGAAGCAAGAGCAATTAGCAGCCTCACACAGGATCAATGGCCTTTGGGAGGAAGTTCAGAAGCAAAAGGAACTAGAGCAAGATTTGCAAAGACGATATGGAGATCTTGTAGCTCAGCTGGAAAGGACACAACATATCATTAATCATTACAGAGCAATAGCAAAGCAACAAGAAGAAATTGATGCAAGAAATCGAGCACTTGAGTTGGCAGAGAATGCAGCAAAGCCTGCTGCCTTGCCAAACTCAGAAACATCTGAGCCTTTACCGTCAAATGACTTTGGAAATTCTACACCAGTCAATTCATCTGATGTTGATATCTCAGAGCAGAAAAATTCATCTGATGTTGACATCTCAGAGCAGAAAACAAATGATGCTGAAGATCATGTTATTACAAGTCAAGAACATGACATGGATGCTGATTCAGAGAAAGAGCAGACACCCATGGATGTAAACTTATCTAATGATGTACCTACTTCGGTTGTTTCCGATGGGAAGAATCTGAACGATGAATCTGCTGATGGGAATGCTGGTGAGATTGCAGAGGTTGTAAAGGATGGTGCAGTTGCTGAGGACCAACAAAATATTGTGGAAGCCACGAACTTAGATGATGATGTCACCAAACAAGGAGGCAGTAGCGAAGATGGCAGGGAAAAGTTAGTCAAGGCTGAGGAAAATGCGGCCAATACTGAACACGATGGAGGGAGAGAGTCCTAAAATTGTGGATGGGAAGGAAAGCTCAAAATTGCATGAAAACTTTTCCTTAATTTTTGACAAACTTTTGGCGAGGACTGGAGCCCTGAGTTCAAGTGTCTTGTATGTCCCTTTTTCTGTTAACATGAATGGTTAAAATATGGGATTTTTGCGGGGTTGTTCCCGCAGTCTGTCCATTCTATGTGTTTTTTACAAGAACTGGACATGTATACTCATGGTTTTGTGCTGTTTTGAATTCCATAACATACCTGCTGGAGAAATTCCAGTCGTATGCATGGTGCGGTGCAACTGTTGTTATGTCTCGAGTAATTACCATACTATGGCTATAAAAGGATATTGTATAATAGTCACTTTCATTCAATTATTATATCAAGTTCTAATTTAATGGCAAATAAACTCCATCGATACCTCGGATTAAGGCTGAGGTTTGTTGCTTTATTGTTCGTCTGGATCCAATCTGTTTAAGTTGTGACATATCTAGTACGATCTCATAGACATGAGTTTAATCTGTTGGAATTTCAACTATTTATATTTGAATATCAGTTTACTGATAAGGTTTGATTTAGTCGTACTTGAATCGGTTTGATTCCGCGGTATACATTTGTGACATATTTGCCTTATAAGGTAGATGTGAGCTGAGCCCACATGAATGTGCAAGCCTGGAAGGTACCAGCCAAACGTGCGATAAACCTGCCACTACAGCACATGAAACGTGGCCCAACACGCCTCTTCAGCCTAACACGCCTTTGCGGCTTTACTAAAAGGAGAAATTTTCGTCAAGGAGTCCCCTCTATTTTTAAATTATTATTACTGGGATAAGACTAAAAGCCTTGCCTACTCAGTGCCTTGTTGGAAATTATCATCCAACTAGGCATAATTCTCCCAGAAACAACCTATTCTTCTTCTTCTTGCAAGAAAGATAAGCTCAAGACAACCATCTCTATAAGTGGTCTCTCTCTCTCTCTCTCTCTCTCTCTCTCTCTCTGTATAGTTGTAAAGTAGCAATTGAACTCAGGTACGTTTGTTCATACACATTGTTAATTCCAGAGGGAATTTGTTTTTTTCTGCAGTCTGATTTATGTTATTAACCTGTTGGTTGCATCAGGAAATAATTATGATGCCTTTTCCTTTTCCCTATTATACGTCTTTATTGATTGTGATGCTTGAGTGGAAATGATGGTTGATGGTGGGCTCATTTTCCAGATTCTTGTATTTGTATTAACTCAGAATCTTCAAAATTCATAACAATCCAAACACTTTTGGACATTGGTCCCTGTCAGAAAATGGTTTCAATTTTTTTTTCCCTTTTTCATTTTAATAAAATCTGAACCTCATTGTACATAATCAAATGACATGCAAACTCTATTTTTAGTTTTCATTTTTCTGTTTAACCTTTTACCACAAACTATGAAAGCAATCATTTTGATTGAACGACATTAATAATAAGCATGATCATTTCGCTTTCTCTTCTTATTCGTCTTAATTTATAGTCGTATTTACCTTTTTAAAAGAGAATGAAATATTTTATTGCAGAGATACGTTAGGAAAAAAGACTAACAAAAATTTATTATTTAACTATATTAACAATATATTTTTAATCTATATAAAAATCAAATTATGCATATTTTTATGAATGAAATATTTTATTTTGTTTTGAATTAAATTATATCAGTTCAATATAAGAACATGCTTATAACGGCACTTTCCTTATTATTATTCAATGCTGACTGTGCTTATCAATGATTTCTTCGTCCACAACATTTCTTTAAAGTGCCCAACTTCAAATTGGCTATGGCTTTCCTCTATCACCAGTGCGTGTATTACAGTGTCAAAACCTATGGCTAAGGTTCTTGGACAATATAAATAATTTTTAGCTGGTTGTTAGGTTAATCAATCGTCAACGTTTCCATAATCAAATATATTTTAATTGGTGCGAAAAGGTGAAGAAATATCGGCCTTTTATACCCACCATATTTTAAAGAAAATATAGAAAGTTATTTAAAAAATTGCTATCTTTGTTGGGAAAAAGGCCAGAATAGAGAAAAAAACAACTAAAAAATGAAAGCTTTTTAACTTCCTTTATCACTGTCAGTTCCGGAGGATTCCACTATTTCTGGTACAGGTTTTTCTTGTGATTCCTCTCTTTAACTTTATATGGGTCTGTCTTTCATTTTGTTTGCATGACACTGCATTTCAAGGACCAAGTGGACAATCTTGCTTGTGTACACACTCACATACACATGTTTGTGCATGTCCATATGGGTTTCAGTGGTTAGGTTGGCTGTGTGGATTCCTGTTCAAGAATCAATTAATAAAATTGCTCGAGTTCCATCAGTAGACAACATGTTTCTTTGGATATTAAAGAATTAGATGTATAACTCTAAGAAATATATATAAGATATTTGTTATACATATTTTAGTGATAAGTTAGATCTCTCCCTTGGATTCCTTCTGAGAACATATTTGAAAAAGAAGACTTTTACAACAAGCTTAAAGAAGACTGCTGATTCTTTGAGCTATAAAAATCTGGATTTTGGACAAAGATGGAATAGTTAGCTGGTGTGTTTAAGTTTACTTGGATTAGCCTTTTGTTTATTTTCTTCTAATAACGCTTTTCTTTTGGAGATTCTTGGGCGACTTTTGCTTAATTAGGTGGGTTCAATAATTTAAGTAATCTGAAAATTGTTTAGTTTTTTCTCTTTTAAAGTACTTAAATCTTGTTTCTACACAATATAGTCTAAACATGGTTTTTGTTGTCTTAATTTCTTTTTGCGTTTACGCTAATAATTCTGTTGGTTTTTGTTTATAATTTCGTGGTTTCTGTTTGGAGTCTGAGGTTATAGCTTTAGTAATCTGTTTTAGTTTCTTGTTTCTTGCAGAATACAAGGAAGTGGACAAGCAGAGAAGAAAAAGGCTCCCAAGGGTATGACCATGCCTCTCTGTCTCACACGCTCATACGCTAATTCTGGACTTGGCTGAGCTGAAAATTTCTTGAATTTCCTTAAGACTAGTTCAAGATGGGTTAAACTGTAATTAGTGAGACAATTGAAAGCCCTTTGCTTTTGACCAGAGCAATTCACCAACTATGTGACGCGGACAAGTCATACTTGAATTGAGGGTCAACATATATGGATTTATTGGTTTTTTTTTTTTTTTAATCAAATTCTAGTTAGATCAAAACAATTGTGATTTTATGAATTTTGCGGTTATTTTTATCTTCCAAATTCTCACCATAGAGATTGGACTCCACTTCTTAAAACTTTCTTGCCTGTTGTAAACATCAATCTATCTAGGGCAATTAATTTCAAGTAATGATTTCACATTTTGTAAATGCATTTCAATTGAAGACATGGAATTTGGAGTAATTTCCATTTTTATGGTGGATTGCTTTCAGTGAAAATGGTAACAAGAACAGTCGATCTCCGCTCTGACACTGTCACTAAACCAACCGAAGCGATGAGAGCAGCTATGGCAAACGCTGAGGTTGATGATGATGTTCTGGGAGATGACCCAAACGCCTTACGATTACAGACCGAAATGGCCAGAATCATGGGCAAGGAAGCAGCTCTATTTGTTCCATCAGGCACTATGGGTAACCTTATTAGTGTGCTTGTGCATTGTGACATTAGAGGAAGTGAAGTCATTCTTGGACACGATTCTCATATCCACATATATGAGAATGGAGGCATTTCAACACTCGGTGGTGTGCATCCAAGGACAGTGAAGAATAACAAGGATGGAACAATGGATATCGATTTAATTGAAGCTGCCATCAGAGATCCGAAATGGCAGCTTGTGTATCCAACTACTAGGCTTATCTGTTTGGAAAATTCACATGCCAAGTACGTACCATTTCATCATAAAATTATTTGTAGTTTGTGATGAATGATTGAATAATTTAATGATTCTGTTGTTTGATTATTTTTGTTGTTTCCTTTTCAATTTACCCAGAAAAAAGTTTATTCTGTAACTTTTCACGTCCATTATGTCTTATGATTTTTTTTTTTTTTTTTTTTTTTATTCTGTAACTTTTCACTCCATTATGTCTTAGATTTTTTTTTTTTTTTTTTTTTTTTTTAAATCAAAGCAGCTGTGTGGTAGAGCCATCCTTTAAGAAATACAGATAAGTTGGGTGAATTAGCTAAAATACGGGTTTGAAGCTTCAGCATAGATGTTTTTTTTTTTTTTTTTTTTTTTAAATCAAAGCAGCTGTGGTGGTAGATGCCTATCTGTAGAATATACAGATAAAGTTGGTGAATTAGCTAAAAAGTACGGTTTGAAGCTTCACATAGATGGGGCTCGCATTTTCAATGCAGCAGCTGTGAGTAGAAAAATAAAATTCTCCTTTCAACTATGTGTTAATTTCTGCACATATGGAGATCTGCCTGCAAGAGATTTCATCTAGAACTGCCTTTTGAGCTTATTAACTGGTCTATTTTTCATGTTAATTTGCTGAGCTGCTTTTTCTTTTTCTTTTTTTTTTTAAAAAAAGAACTTTTAAAGTATTAAAGATGTGTTTGACCGATTCTTTCAGTATCTAATCTGAAAACTTTGTCTTCAGGCACTTAAAGTTCCTGTACATAGGCTTGTTCAAGCTGCTGATTCAGTTTCGGTATGATACAAATGTTGATCTTTTTCAATCATGTCATTTCTTTATCTAATTTTTTAAATGAATAATATTGTTTTACTCAGTATGTTATATCATATTTTATGTATCTCCTCAAAATTTAATTCAGGTATGCCTATCAAAAGGTTTAGGTGCACCAGTTGGAACCGTTATCGTTGGTTCAAAAAGCTTTATCGCTAAGGTATTAACTGAAATTTGCTTTGAGGTCAAAGGCCAGCTTTTTTCTTTTACTCTCTTTGCCAAGAATAGCCTAAAAACAATTATTTATTTGCTGTTTCAGTCTAGAATCCTAAGGAAAACATTAGGAGGTGGGATGAGGCAGGTTGGTATGCTTTGTGCTGCTGGTTTAGTTGCTGTACAAGAGAATGTCGGAAAGCTCGAGGACGATCACAAGAAAGCCAAGACAATAGCAGGTTAACATCTAAATGCTCGATTTTATATTCCCTTCCCTTGTTTTGCAAATGATTACTCTAATTTGTAAATTCTTGGAATTTTTTTTTTCTAGAGGGACTGCATCAGTTTAAGGAACTAAGAGTGGATGCTGCTGCAGTAGAAACCAATATCGTACGTATCTATTGCAATGCTTATAATTTCTGTTGCAGCTCTTTTACTTCAGAATTGAAATTTAATCTGACGAAAGAGTAACCAATTTAACATTTGCTTTCAACAGTTTGTTTTTTGTTCAGTATATGAAATATGAACCAACATGTGATTGGCATAATTCGGTTATGTTAAAGGTTTCAGTAAAAGACTTTGAACAAAGTAAAATACTTACTCTTTCCTTCTGTTGTGTTTGATCAGATATATGTGGATGTAGTAGAGAGCTCAAAATTTACAGCAGAAAAACTATGTAAGAGCTTGGAACAACATGGTGTACTTGTGATGCTAGAGGGTCCATTCAGGTCAGTTTCAGCCTCATTCTTACTAGATTCATGAGATCTTAATTTCTACCATCTTGCATATGATATACAGTAGCATAACTGAAAGTTACCGGAATCATTAATCTTCAATATGCCAATAGCACTGAGGTTCAACACATATCATCGATCAGCTAATTTTCTAATACATGCATGACAGTAAGCTAATGAGTCTCTATCTTTGGTCAGCTTTCGGATTGTTCTTCACCATCAAATTTCAGCAAGTGATGTGCAGTACACTTTGTCGTGCTTTCAGGTAATCAATGTCACCTTCATCTCCATCTTTAAAAGCTTGCTTGATTCTGAAAATTGCAGCTCATATTTTTTGCTGACTTGAAATTGCAGCAAATATTGACAGGGGTGCAAGCTGAAAATGGCAACTAGAGGAAGAAAATTCTGTCATAATAAGCTCATTTTCATTTGTTAAGTAAAATTGTTGAAGAAATAAACTGCCTTCAGCAATCCTCCCATGTGGATTACTTACTTGTGTGTAAAATAATAGTCTAAAAGAATTCTATCTTCTCATTGTCAACATAAAACCCATCTGAGAAAATATGATCAATGGGATAGAGATCTATCTATTTTCAAATTAATTTCTTGTGGGTTCTATTGAAATGAAAATGGAGAAATCTAATAGCATGGAATCGTGTGAAATTGCAAACTATAATATTTGTTTAAAAAAATAAATAAATAAATAAATAAATAAATAATGTGTGCATGGGTTCTGGTGAGCCTTTATAGAGCTGAAATTAAAACTTCCACAAGTAAAATGAATAGGCCAGCCCTATTATCTAATGGGCCTTGTTTGGGCTTTGTGTTGTAAAATTGATATGGCCCTCTTTCTCTTCAATATGCAAATACCATGCAATGAAGTTCAATATTCTAAAGATTATCAAGGGGAAAACAAGAGAGAGAATAGAATTTCCCATTACAGCACATTGGGACAAAATTTTTAATAGCATAATTAGGGTTGGCTTTTTCTCCCTTCCAAGGAAAGATTTTATACTTGAGGGAAAGAACAAATAAAATTTATTCGAATTGAATTAGATGTTATTACATTTTCAACTCGTGATCTTAGAAAGATAAAATTTTCAAATGGAAAAAAAGAAAATTATCATTTCTTTTTCATTTTTCTTTTTCTCTGCTTCTTGCATATGTCCAACATACATATAGTTGCATTTATCCTTAGAGAGTAATTGGCAAGTTTATTTAAGGTAAAATGCTTTGAGTGCTTACTACATGTGGAGTTGTTTGAGTAATACTAAATATATGTTTGTACATTTGAAACTTAAGCTTGAAGATTTTAAGAAATGGAAACATTTTTGTTTTAGTTGCTAAGTATGAACAAAAGACATAGCATATGAAGTTAGGTATGGTTTTTATTCTCATATGTGTCTTCTTGAATGAGATGGGGCCTAATAAATAATTCAAATTAGGCTAAGGAATTGCCTTGAAGGTTCCCAATTTTTGTTGCTTTTGATTATCTTTTATTCAAACATTGAAACATAATTCTGAATTGCTAAACATTCGCTATTTATTTTAAAAAACATAATGTGTTGATGGATTAAAATCTATTATATATCCTTTACTAATTAAATATAAAATACATGGTATAATTAATTTGGTCATTTGGCTTAATAGCTGAATACCTATTTTTCGCAATGGAGTAAAAAAAAATTTACCATTTTTCTCTTTTTAAAATATTTCTTTTTCTTTTTTTCTTTTTTTGTCTTGTCGAGAAAAAAAAAAGGAGGGAACATGATATTAGTAATTTACTAAAGGAAAAGTATGATTCAATATACAAGAATGGACAGAAATTTGTTGCTTCTATATGTAAATATTGTGGGTTTTGAGTTATGAATTATCATCTCTCTTGCCATTGTTGTGTAGTTCTTTTGCTTTCTTTTTGGGTACTTTTTTGGACATATTTGTTCCCCAATCTTTGACCAAACCAATATGTTTTTTTTTAAATTTTATGAAATTTCTATACATATTTGATTCACAAACTATAATAATAAAACATATATATAGTTGTACAACCTTTTCATGCCTTCAATTTCTTGGTGAGACATTGTGAGTTTTAGTTTACCCTAATTGGCAGTAGCAGACCAATTCCTTGGTACCAACAGCTAAGTCTAGCTTTTAGATCCCAAATGCAGGGATAGTGTTTTTGTTGCTCCAAATGGAAATATTCAGACTTGCCTTTTTTCTACCATTTTCACTTATCTATTCTAGGCAGGCACCTACTTTATTTTATATGTAAGTAATGATCATATCCAATGAGGTTTTGAAATTTACAATCACATGATGCAAACCCCACCCTAATTAATACGATCTATTGAATTTTTTTCTCCTCTAAAATATATTAGATATGATGTTTTTAACCTCTTTTCACTTTTACAGACTTGTTGTCTTTTACTGGGTGGTGAATCTTTTTCTGGGCTGTGGCAGTGGGCCCTTTAATGTTCCTTTTACTATCAATCCACTAATTGACAAAGTAAAAAAGTTATTGTATTATTTGCTGTATAAGAAACTATTGATATTGAATTATTGACCAATCAAAAGAAAAAAGAAATAAATTGATGATCAATCTTATTTTTAAATTTATAACATTAACAGATGTAGATGTGTGACCTTTTATTGATTTAAAAGGTGTTATTTTCTCTTTTTTTAACAAAAAAAAAAAAAAAAAAAAAAAAAAAAAAAAAAAAAAAAAAAAATCAAGAATTAAGTACTTACTCTACTAGGAATTAAGCATCTTTTACAAATCTTTGTTTTATTTTTTGGTATATAAGAAGAGAAAACAAAAAATATAAACAAAAGTGTTAGATCATTTGAAATAAGCTATTCCAGCGATATCATGAGTTACCAAAGAATAACATTAGTTGATGGACAATGATGAATCTAGAATTTTTTTTTTCGGGGTGAATACATAATTTTCTAAAAAAAAAAAAAAAAGAGGTCAAAACATAAATAAATTGAATTTTATAAATTAGTTTAGACAATTATATATACATATTAAAAAATTTTAGGACCCCTCTTTTTACTAAATGGATCCGCCATTGTTGATGAATAATAAAAAATATAAAGTCCCATCACAATAGTAAAAATAAATTTCGCAAGTCAATAGTAAAAATTTTTAGGTTTGTAATTAAGTGAAATAAGAAGTTAAAAAATCAATTAACTTTGAAAAAAAAATTTATTTTTAATAGAAATGTTGAAAAGAATGTCAAATTATTCTGAGGGTAGCTGAACCATTTTCTTTTTCTTTTTTCTTTTTTCTTTTTTCTTTTTTCTTTTATGCTTACCTGAAGTTTAAAATTTTTTTTTGGTTATTGCATTTATATTATTTACCTGAGGATGGCTGCAAGAGGGGGAACAATTGCTTAAAAAATCTGGTATAACTAGAATCATTTTGTTCCCTGCAAATGGAACAAGCAGAAACCACCCAGTTTTTTACATTTTTCCCTTTTTCAGCAAAATGGAGGTTTACTGTAATTAGGAAATATCGAAATTGATTAATTAATCCCATATTCTTAAATTTGCAGGGATGTCTGTGAACGTTCTTTTGGCCATCCCTCTTGGAAGCCATGAAACCTTATTGGTAGGAAATCTGTTTCTTGCTCTTACCCAAAGTAGAAGGTCATAGCCTTATATTTGTAGGCCTCCTTTTCGAAGAACATGACTCTGTCTTCCTCGCTTGATACGTGCATTCAAAGCGACAGGATGTATAATTATCCTTTTTTTTTTTTTTCCTTTAAAGATATAATAATGACACCATATCTATCTGCAAATGATGTTTTTTACTGTTCTGTATTAAAATGTTTACCTGTATCCTTCACATTCTTTTATGGATATGGATATACTTGGTGAAGTGATTGGTCTAGGTTCGTCAATGAGTCAATACCTAACCTTGTCCAAGATTGAAATGAGACCACCCTTATAAATATTTCTAATTAATTAGATTCTTTTTTCTCTCCTCTCAAAGATCTATGATTGTAACTTCTTAATTAAAATGCTTTGTCCACATTTATAAAGAAGGACATGCAATTCATACTTATTTTGATTAGAATCTTAAAAACATATTTGTAATTCTATCTTTTTTAATTTATAAAATTATTATATTTGATAACAATTGGAAAATAATTTGTAAAAGTTTTGAAATTTTCTCTTTTAGTGTGTATTCTTTAATTAAATAATATGTATTTATATAAAATACTAACAATCTCACTGTAATTGAGTACACGAGAATCACTTATCTACATGGAGTATATGTATTCAAAAATTTTAATAATAGCAATTACAATAAATGAGAATATGGGTTTTTATAAAATAAATAAATAACAATCAAACTATTATGAATATATAAAAACTATTTGGTGTAATGTAGGGTAACTATATATATTCCCATTTCACCTTGTGGTTCCCCAAATGTACAGTCTTGTCTTAAACTGGTGTTGCAGAGTAATAATCTTTAGTTGCTGCAATTTTATCTGTACATGGACGAGAATCAATTAGTGGTAAAAACAAATAATTCCAAATTGAAAAAAATAAAAGAAAATAAAAGAAGCAAAGAAAAACACTTTATGAAGACACATCATCTTTACGCATTCTTGTCGACATACCCACTGGAAGAAAGGGGAAAAAAAAAAAGGAAGAAAAGAAAGCAACTTGCATTATTTCTATTTCCCTATGCCCAGTCTCCTATTTTCATTTGCAAATTATTTACATTTCATCTAATAAAATTTAGAAATTATATGTGTGTGTATATATATATATATCGTTTTAGCATGATATAGAGATCAAATAAAAAATTTATGCACGTGTTCTAACGCTTGAATCATTAGGGTAAATTAATATTTATCCCCATTCAACCATCTGGTAATTATTCAAAATAAGTTTAATTAAGTGAAAGGATGAATAGAAGATATAAAAGGAAGGTGTAGAGGAGTTTGGAAGTGAATTGAAGAAGCAATTGCTAAGAAGGTTCGTGGAGAAATGAAAGTAGAGTGGCTATCAGAATTTCTAGTTTTAGAGGAAAGTGAAAGACACGCACATAAAAGGAAGGAAATAAGAGTGATGGCATATTATGTGTTGTGGCTCTTAGGTCACCATCGATTATGCTCACTGCCAAACATGTCCTATTATAGCAAAACAAAACGCTGTCTTGTCCTCTTTCAACTTATTATCTGAACCAACGAGACTATTTGACTCTCTCTCTCTCTTTCATTCACTCACTCACACTCACCCTTTTTCTAACTTTATCTACAGTGAGAACTTGAGTAGCTTGTTCTTTTCCTGGAAAGAAAATCTGATGATCTGATCTTCTCTTTAAGCATATTTCAGAAATCATCTCTCAATAACTGCAGTCTTTAAAGATTTTCTTGCAGACTGCAAAAACCCATTCTTTAATCAGAATCTTTTCTTTTTCTTCAACAAAAAAAATTAGAAATTTTCTTTCTTTTCTTTCTTTATACCCACATCAAATTCTCAACCTCCTTCTTGTCTCTCTATCTTTCTATTTTGAAGAAGCTAGCCATGCAAATTCTTCCTAGCTGATCCCTTTTTGGTTATTCTTGTGTTTTTTTTTTTTTTTTTTTTTTTTAAATCTCCTAGCTGACTCCCTTTTTGGTTATTCTGTGTTTTTTTTTTTTTTTTTTTTTTCCAAGAAAAGAAAAACGGCATACCCATTTTTTTTTTTTTTTTTTTTTTTTTTTTCCAAGAAATAGGCATACCCATTTTTACAGGGGCAAAGAGGATTATTATATAGCACTGTCAAAGCTTCTTCGCTTTCTTTCATTTCAACCTCATCCTCGAAATCTCAGAAAAAAGAAAAAACGAAAAACTCTCTTCTATCCTTTTTTAGGGTTCTTTCTTGTGTCACCTTCCAAACAAGAACGACGGACGAGCAGTTGCAGGTACAGTTAAAGCAGAACAGGTACCCTACAAAAGAACTACAAATCTTTCATTAAGATCTTGATAAAGACGGAAGGAAAAACCCTAATTTACATGGATTTAGCTTCGTCTTCAACGAATCCAAATTTTTCAAGCCCGATAATGGGTGGTCAGATCACCACCACCACTGCCACGACAAATTCCACCGGCTCCGCCACAGCAACAACCACCACATCGCCATCTTCAACTCCAAGTCGTTATGAAAACCAGAAACGCAGAGACTGGAACACTTTTTGCCAGTACTTAAGGAATCATAGGCCTCCTCTTTCACTTCCTGTGTGTAGTGGCGCTCATGTTCTTGAATTTCTTCGATATCTTGATCAATTTGGTAAAACTAAAGTTCATAATCAAACTTGTCCATTTTTTGGTCTTCCCAATCCACCAGCACCTTGTCCTTGCCCTCTCCGGCAAGCATGGGGGAGCCTCGACGCTCTCATCGGACGGCTCAGAGCTGCCTATGAAGAACATGGAGGGAGACCTGAAGGAAACCCATTTGGTGCAAGAGCTGTAAGGATTTATCTAAGAGAAGTTAGGGATTTTCAAGCTAAAGCAAGAGGTGTTAGTTATGAGAAGAAGCGAAAAAGGCCTAAACCCAAACCCACCTCAACAGCACCACCGCCAGCACCGCCGCATGATTCAAGTGCAGGCTAATGGAAGAATCATATATGGGTATTTTTTTTTTTCTTCGGCTGCTCTCTTTTTAAGTTATTATTTATATTTCATAAAGAAAATGGTTATATAATGAACTTTGCTTTGCTTTGCTTTCTAAGAACATATGTTTGGATTTGTGGGTACCATTGGAACTGCTCTTTAAGGGACAGTGCCTTCCAATGAGGTTGGCTAGTAACCAAGTTACTAAGTAATAAGTATTGGTAGTAATAGTAGTACATCATGATAGTAGATTTATATATTAGTAGATGCTAAATTAAATGGATTTGTACTTGAATATATTACCATCACTCGATAGTAGATCTTATAATATTAGGAGCATTGCTAAATTACACATGGATTGTACTTGAATATATATATAATAATACTATTATATATATATAGTATATATATATATATATATATTATCTAAGTATTTTAATATATATATATGCTCTTAGTAGTCTCTAACTAGCCATTCTGCTGTTTTCAGTTTCTCTCTGAATAGAATTGCCGCACATGTTTTTTTATTTCTCGTTGCAAAAAATTATCTAAGTATTTGTATATATATATATATGCTCTTATTAGTCTCTAACTAGCATTTGCTGTTTCAGTTTCTTCTCTGAATAGAATTGGACATGTTTTTTTATTTCTGTGCAAAAACTAAAAAACAGAAATCAATCAATTGAGTTCTTGTGTATATATATATATTTATATCTACTGTATATAAATATTACACAAACAGTAATTTAAATAAAATATTCTAACAGTGAATTGTATAGAGCATCAGTTAAGTTAGTATGCCTGAAAATAATCGATTTGCATCAGAAACATCACAAGTAACAGACAATATTATATAAGTATAGATTGCAGAGTTGCATATAATTTATCTTCATTTGTAAAGAATTAACCTAGAAAATGAAATATTCCCAATGGTGGGAGTTCACGAGCCTCTGAAGAGTGAATTGATCAGTTAGGTATCCATTTAAAGAAAATGGGATGGACTCTATATTGAGGCTAAAGGACAAAAATTTAGATTCAGCTTTTCTGATATTGATGCCAACTAAAAACACACGTGTTACAAAACAATTAAATACATTAAGAAATGTAGTATCGGGAATTTGTTTGCCAATTTTATAATCTACCTGGACCGACAATGCCATTAAATTACTTTGATTGTTTGGCTAATGTTGGATTGTCCTAATGGGATTATATTATATTTGTGTTTTAGGCTCATACCCTTGAAGGGTACTACTTAATATTCTTTGAAAAAAATATGAAAGAGATAGATGCTCTAATAATTTGGTTACATGGCAGTCATTTCTTCTTGATAGTAAGTAAATTAATTTAGCAAATTGCATGTGTTAGCGCCACAAACTATACTACAGGATCAGTGATCACACAGAAAGAAATCATGCTCATTAAGATGAAGATCCTCCATTAAAGAAGGATTTGGCAGCAGTCAAAGTGGCCGGATCGGCCATGGTTGGCTGGAAAAACCAGCCACATCAGGAGAATTAAGTTGGAGGTGACCAACGCTAACCAATTTAATGGATTTCTTTATGGCATTTAGATACAATCAAATTTAGGGTTTCTTTTATCTTTCTTGTTTTCCTTAATTTTTAGGTTGCGTAGGCTTAGTTGAAGCTTAATTTTAATTTTCCTTTAGTTAAAAATAAAGCTTAATCATTTAATTATAAGTTGATTGCTAGAGGATTAACATTATGATTAATAACCATATCTTTGTTTCCTTTGCTATGAAAATATTGTTGTTACATATACCTTCTCTTCTTGATTTTTGTTTGAATCTCTCTCTCTCTCTCTCTCTCTCTCTCTCTCCATTTCTTTCTGCAATTTGTGTGTGAAGTTGTTGAGATAGATTTATGGATATATATTTTTCATCTTCCTTATTTTGCTCTTTCCCTTCTGTGGCTCCCTTTAGTTTGATTTTTGACAGTGAGTATATATATGTATGAATTAAAATTAAGTAAGAGATGGGGAGACATGTCTCATAAATGTTTTTATTATGTTATTTTGTGAGAAATCTAGGGTTTTACAATAACATATATATCTTTATTTGTATTTCTTCTTGGAATTTCTCCATCATTACAATTATTATAGGAGTCTTATAAAGTTGCACATACATATATCTATATTATGTGACATGACAGCTTAACATATATATATTCGCGGAAAAATACTTATATGGAAGGACAACCACAAACCTAAAACGAGATTGATCTCTTGGAGAGTTCATGCAACGTTCCTGTGTGTTTGTTTTTTGTCTGTGGATATATGGTTTCCTTTTACTTCTTTTGTGTTATATTTTCCATTGCAAACTTTTAAAAAACCTCCATTTTTTTGAAAATTTTCTAATTCAACGGTTGAATTTATAAGGATAAATTTTGCTTAATTAGATACATTATTTCGTGGATTTTTTTTAACCTACATACTGAATTGGATAATTTTAATTACCATTTTCGACTCTCAATTCCATCCTAGCTCTCTTGATTATATTATTTTTCATTTTGTTGATTTTATTATTAAAAATCTCGATACGTCTTTCAAGTTGTCTTCTTCTTTTTTCAAATCTAATTGTGGGGAAGAAATTCTAATATTGTTGAGATTGGAATTCTAGCTAATGTTCCATGCTCACTCTCTTATGGTCTTGTCTGTATGGTATAGTCCTCTTACCTTGACCATTTTTCACCAAATTTCCAAATCTCTCTCAATATTAATAAAATCTTTATTTCTAAAAAAAAATTATAATTTTATTAATACTTTAGTCTATTTATCTAAAATAGTCTATTTTAATTGTCATAGTTGAGAAAATGCAAAATTGGTCTCATATAAATTAATATACGAGAGTCTCTATTTTTTAAAATTAACTATGAGATTCGTAATTTATGATTTCATTAATATTTTAATCTTTCTATTTTGAATGGAATGATCAAAATATTAAAAGAATAATAATTTAGGGATTTTATAAGTTTTAAAAATAAATTTTGTTCATTTGACTATAATTTGAGGATCAATTTATAGAAAGTAAGAATAAATTCATTTAGGTCTAATCAAAGTTAATATCTTTCTATTTTGAATGGAATGATCTAGAATATTAAAAGAATAACATAACTTTAGGCATTTTATTAGTTTTCAAAATAAATTTTGTTCATTTGACTATAATTTGAGCTTCAAATTTATAGAAAATAAGAATAAACTTCATAGGTCTAATCAAAGTTTTAATATATATATATATATATATATAATATACTATATATTATATATAATATATATTATATATATATATATATTATATATATCATATATATATATATATATGACCTACAATTTGTAATATATATGTATATATTAGGTTTTTTCAGTCATAACAATGATTATTTGATTGATTAAAATCTGAAACAACGCAAAAATGTGATCGAATGCTCAGAATAGATCCTCATATTATTGGATATATGACTACAATTGTAATATATATGTATATATTAGTTTTTTTAGTCATAAAATGATTATTGATATTAAGAATTGAAAAACGAAAAATGTGATCAATGCTAGAACTAGATCTCATATTATGGATATTTCTCTCAACAACTTTATTTAACAATACTGTAGAAAACTTACATATCTGCTTCAATAGGGTGATCAGGATTAAGGTGAAGGAGGGGTAAATAAAATAAGGACGGGTAAATAATTTTTATACTTTACTTTAAAAGAACTGAGTCAGAAAACTGTAATGATATAAAATAATGGTAAATCTTACTTTTCCTTATCCTTCAAACCTCAATTTTCCTTATACCTTAACTTAAAAGGGTGTAATAAAAGAGATAAAGATTTAAATTAATTTATATATATTATCTTTTTTAAACTAATTTCATTAATTTATCTCATCCTAAACATGAAGTTTTTATTGTTGTAACCCTCCTACTTCTCATTTAAACAATTATCTATTTTTTATATATTAAATTAAGTGATATTATGGTTTATAACATATATGAATTCTTATACGGGATTAAGACACATGTAAAAAGTAATTACAAATTTCGAAATGAGATTAGCTTGTAAGGAAAAATATGTTGTAGGAAACAAAAAAAATAACAAAAACTAATAGCTAAGATAAGAAATAATAATAACAATAAATAACTCACTTAGAATTTAGAACGAACAAAAAGTGTTTTCATATAATAATTTAATTTTAGATACATATATATATGATAAAGAAAAGACGACAAGGCCTTTTAAGGAGAGGGATATTGACCTTATTGCGTTTTAAAAAATAAAAATAAAAATAAAAACTAAATAATAAGAGAAAATTAAGGATGAAAAATTCTTTGTTAATTTTTTTTTTTATTTTCAATCAACGTCCTCTTATCGTTTTTGAATATGAAACAAATTTTAGTACGGTATTTATAATTGTTTTTTTTCCTATAATTTTTTTTTTATAAATTAAATTCTTAACTTTATAAAAATCATTTATTGAACTCAAATGTATCTTATCACTTGAGTTATTTTTTATGGATTTAAATAATTATATAGGAAAATTTGAAAATTATTTGTCTTTTTAAGAATTAGAACAAGTCGAAGCATATGTAATAATTTTTTTTTAAGAATAAGTTGAAGTACAATAAAATTAAACTTTATGAAATAGAAATAATTAAATTCCTTTTTCTTTCTATTTGCTTAAAGAAAAATTGTCAATTGTGAAAAAATTTTCTTTTTATTCTTCTTTCTTCTATGCTCCTAATCATGCATATATATTACTAGTCCATCAGTAAAAGAAAACCCTCTCTCCACTTATTATTAGAATATATTTTCTGAACAATTTAGTTGATTGTGCACTTTCTTATATTTTGAAAAATATTTATAATATTACTAAAATAATCTTTAATTTAAGCAAAAGCAAACCTACTTATCAAAATAATCATTCCAATTGGTGTAGTTATAAAATATTAGGTAGCCGAAATTTCAGTTGCTATCAAATTAAATGCTCAAGAATTCAAAGTTAGTACTATGAATTTGGCGATTTACCTAATTTTGCTACGGAAATTTTCAATATTAATTTTAAACCATGTAAACTAGGAAGACCTTTCCTTAAATAAAGTCTTGAATAAAAAAGAGACTAGTCGTTTCACTTCTGTCTAGTCTGATGTTAAATTGAAAAACAATTTTTTTTAAAAAAAGAAAAAAAAGGTTTATTTAAGTCCATTGGATGTTGCAGAAAGAAATTTAGTCTTCGAATCATATACTTTTAACCTAATGGTCTGGTGGGCTCCTTTCTCTCTTTTTCTATCACTTCTTGAAATTCAACTTTGCTCTTGCTTATTTCTTTCTTTTCTATTCTGGTAATTAGGGTTTGAGTCCCAATTTATAATCCTAATTACAAAAAAAAAAAAAAAAAAAAAGGGTGAGTCCCAATTTAGTAATCCTAATTACAAAAAAAAAAAAAAAAAAAAAAAGGTATATGATGCGAATAAAGTAGTCGAATGATTTATGATGGAAGAACCACGCCCCACCCTCCTGACATACTCGCATTGCACTAAAAAAAAAAAAAAAAAAAAAAAAGGTATATGATGGAATAAAGTAGTGAATGATTATATGATGAAGAACACGCACAATCTGACATATGCATGCACTAAACCCCGTCGACGTTCATATTGTCAACTGCGTATAGCTTAGTGAGCGCTCGGTCATGGGCGCCCCCACGCACTCCTTCGTAGCCGTCTAAATCCTCTTTGTAATTATATTATTCTTTTATATTATTTAGGGTTGTCAAAATGGATTATAATAATCTAACATGGAAATGAATTAAGTGGATTAGAGTTAAATTTAAAATTGATTTGTTGTAAAAGAGTGATCCATATGACAGGTTTTAATATGTCATATACGGGTGGTCCAGTCTGTTTAACTAAATGTAAAAAAAATAATTTTATATATATTTATTATGCTATGCAATTCATAAAACAATCCATTTAATTAAATATGTTATTCATGTAGTGTTAGTATCACATGTCATATTTGTATTTAAATATTTGACATGATTATAAAATGGTAGTGTTCGTGTTGTGTATTAGGCAAATTCATTGAACCTGATAATGCTGATCTGTTTTTACACTTTAAAATTATGTCGTAATTATAATATTATTTTGACTTATAAAAAGAACTTAATTCTTTTTTTAGAAATTATTTTTAATTTTAATTCTAATTCTACAACTCTTGTTTGGTTTACGGATTAATAGAATAATAAAAAATAAAATAGTTATTCCATTTAATGGAATATTATTTACTATTGTTATTATATTAAAACTATGGTGATGAATAATATCTTTTTTTTAATATTAGCGATGAAAATTTGAATTTAATCTATTATCAGGATGTCCGCGCGTGTGTATATATATATATATATAGGAACACACGATTAAGCGTGGGTGAAGGTACGATATAAGTGGCCAAAAATAGTCGAAGGGTAACAATAAGAAAAGAAGCCCAACCACCGAAACCAATTTGTCTTTTGTCATACATACAAAAGCACGAACCCCTACATCTGTCCGTACAATAAAGATCCCGCAATCTACGGTTTACCAAGCACTTGACACGTGCACTTCCTTGCTGGCCCCCACGTACCTGTCCGCCCACGTGGATACATGTACTGCATGTCGGGAGCCTCGTATCTTGCGTTGGCTTGTTATTTTCGTCCGCGTGGATTTTATTTTTACTGTCCGTTGGATTGGATGGACTTTTGCATGCTATTTTAAAGAAAGGAATCAGGTTTCCTATTCTCTCATTTTGCTATTTATGGGAGCAAACAAAGGAAAGTAAATGCCAAAAGGAATAAATACACATCCCTATTCGTTTTAGCCCTGGTTTGGCCCAGGTTACATTAGACATCAACACCGTTTTAAAATTTCCGATTTCAATTTTAAAATCAAATGTTTCAATTATATATAAAAAAAAAAAGTTAAAAACCAAACTGTTTTTAAATGGTTCTGTAAGACACTTTTGAAACTATCGACTTCGATTTTGTTTTAATTTGAAATAAAAATTACATATTTTATTTCAAGTTAAAAACATTTTTAAAATTTATAGCTTAAATAAATAATAATAATTAATATCACTCTTGAAAAAAAAAATCAATTTAAAAAATTTCTTAAAATTTTATGTTAAAAATTTATAATAAAAAAAAAAACAAATTGAAAGTTTCTAATATGTTTTCACGGTTCCAAACCGTTCGAAAAACAGAACTGAACTTTAACATTTTTTTTTTCCTACTTTTAAATTCCTTTCCCTTCGGTATTGATGGGCGAACGACGTCCATTGAACCCGCGCGCAGTGGATTCACAATCTACTTTGCAGTTCCAGTTTAAAATAAAAAATTATTAACTATAATTTAATACCGGTCAAAACCGATTCACTTTCAATTTAAAATCAAATTGTAGTAATGCCTAGATTGCATCATGGAGCAGATATTTCAGATGAAAATTCTTCTTTCTTTTTTTCGAAAATATGTTATTGTTCATTTAAATTGAATTGTGAACGATGAATCCCAATTTATATATAGTGTCATTTTATAATCGTAACAAATAGTTTTGTCTTTTCATTTAATAAATTATGTAAATCATGAATCTCATTTACCCATACAAAATTTAAGTTAAATTTGAAAATTTGTATAAACGGTTCATTAGTCCAAAAATAAAGCAAATAAGCAAATGCCAACTAGTCGTAGTCTATTTAATCTTTTCACTTGTATAAAAAAAAAAAAAAAAATACGTTCATTAGTTCCACAAAATAAAGCAAATAAGCCAAATGCCAACTTATCGTCAGTCTATTTAATCTTTCACGTTGTATAAAAAAAAAAAAAAACAAACTCTTAACATTTTAAAAAAAAAAAAAAAATCTTAAATTTAAAGTCTCTCGACTATAAACATTTTCATCAATTTAAAGAATTAAAAGAAAAACTATCCCTTAAACTCCCAATGAATCAAGAAATATAAATAAAAAAAAAGGGGTTAAACTAAAGCAGATAACGACTGAAAAAAAGTAAAAGGAAAAAGAAAAAATCGCTGTTGAATATTTATCCTTTGAGAAGTTTAAAAGGTTAGCATCATTGAAGGATATGTTATTTGTTTTCAATTTCCCTCGTCAAAACCTGTAAGCTTATTGTATCCTCTCTACAAAAGTACAGTGGACATCATATCACAAAAATGGAGCATGTTAGAAATAGTTACTGCGGACAAGAATTACAACAAGAAAACCTTTCTTTGCTTTACTACTGTTTTCTTTTTCCCTCTAGCTAAAAGAATTGAGTAGATTGAATGGAGACGTATGTGCGAAGTGAATGTGAGAATTTTGTATTTACAGCAGTAAAAAAAAAAAAAAGAAAAAAAAGAAAAAAAAGAAAATTGCAACGGAAAATTTTAATCTCAGAGCCTGGTGAGATCAAATTAATGAATCATCCAAGTCGATTGTGAATCTCTTCGTTAAGAAGTCTCGTTATTAAGCCTTGATCAATTATTGGCTTACCGTCATTTAGACTTCGACTCAGTGAGTTCAATTCTTCTGGGTTTGCCTTTTTGAATAGACTTTTTAGTACCATACCAACTCCGTCTGCTAGGGGATTGCTCCCGGTGGTGCCATTATTATTATTTTGTTCATCCGATTTCCCCTGGAAATTTCCTCCATTTTCTTTAGGTTGCGAATGTTGTGGAATCTGACCTTGAGGCCTCGAGTAGGGTCTTGAATCCCAGTAATCTGTACAGACTCGATTTCGATCCAATGCCTCTATGGCCTGTTTAATGTAATCAGTATTCAGGTTTTACAGAATTTTGCATTCAAAGCAAAGTGTTTGTTTCATAAGGATATAAAAAAATAAAAGTAAAATTTGCAGAAAATTTTGTCACAAGACAAATGGAAAAAAAAAATTTTTAATTCAGAATTGCCAATTAAATGAGTTATTTAGTTAGCCCCACAGTTGACTTACCTGCACAATTGCTGGTGAAGAAAACCCAAACATTTCAAGGCCATCAAGACTTCCAGGAGGTTGCAAAGGTGGCAAGCTTGTTTTTCCCATTTTATGATGCTTTGTGATCTCTTGATTCACCCTCTCTCTCACCATTTCCCAGCATCTGGCCGCTGAAACGTGAACGAATACCTCATTTGGACAATTCTCCAACGAAACCTAAAAAATATTAAAACATAAATTAATTCTATAAGCATTAAAATGAAATTTTTGCATGATGCAAAACTAACAACAAAGATCTCAACACGACTTTCAGGGTTCCATTGCTGTCTCCAAGAGAATTTTCACAAGACAGATTTCACAAACATCACTTCCAGGCTCTGAGTAGCACTAAAAAGTTAACATTAATCAAGAGAGAAATTTATCTCGATTCTTGAAGGAAATGCGGTAAATCATTTTCTGATATGCCAAAGAGAAATTCCATTGCTGACTAAAAGTTCCATGAGAATAACCCATGAAATTTGGTATGTTAAGAGCACCTGTCAGATGATTTCAAAATTTACATGCACCCCACAGCCATCTATAATCATATTGTATTTAGGTATAACTACAAGCCATAGGCTATCACAAGAAATATTCTGAAAGCCTTGCTAAGGGGAACTACCATTCTGATGTTTCTTATTTTGTTAAGAGTTTTATCAAGTCAGAGGAGTGCCTAAATAACCATGACCTTTTTTGGAAATTAAAGATAAATGAACTAGAGTACTTTGTCTTATTTTATGACACTACAGATAATAGGAAAAAGATTAGGAATTACCATAAAGAGAGGTCTATTTCGTCCTGCATCCAGAATTTCTGAGATATAGTAAGACATATTTGTTGGATCTAGCACACTTATGTACCTAACCCGGGTTCTAAATCCTGCATATACAGAGAAAATTGCATAATTTTCACTCCATTTTTCCAACAGAACTACTCTTAGACATTCTGATCTCTGTAAGTTAAACATGTGGAACATACCTTTGGGAAAAATTGCCTGGCTGTTACACCATAACTTTCCCGGAAGCACAACTCCAAACTCCAGAGACTCAACATTGCAGTTAATTCTCCGCACTACCTTAGCAATGCGGGGACCCTTCTGGCGGAAATACCGGTCCAAATTATTTTGTGAGCAAGATGGGCTACCTGCCACGGCTCTCGAGTTTTCCAGTGGATTTAGGGTGGCATTTACCTCCAGCCTATCCTCGTCATTAGGTTTTGCAATGCTAGACCTCTGTGGATGCTGACACCCAGCATTTGCCATATATTGACCCTTACAAGTCTCTCCCATATTTGAAGGACACTGAACATTCTTGCCAATTCCTGCACTCCTAGAGCCAGGATGGCAAGAACTATTTGCTGCATTAGATCCCAGAACTTTTTCATTATGCTGATGGTGGTCGGCCTTCAATTGGACAGGCACAAATAAAGAATTATTCCTATTTCTGTCAGGGGAAGAACTGACATTAATTTTATTGATCACTGCTGCATCAGACAAAGGTGCAGTTAAGATTGAATCTTTATTTTCATTAAAGGGGCTATCACCAGAGCTTGATGGCCTCTCAGAAATTTCAGAATGCTTCAGAACAGAATTTCCTTTTGCTCTTTTCACAACTGGTTCCTCAGGCTCATCACTTTCATCATCACTCAGAAGTATAACAGTATCATGGCCCAAAGTTGAAGGTTTTTTAATTCCACATCCCACAGAAGTGAGGTCACCAGTGTAAGACGTGTCTTCTTTAGATAGCTCGAAGACTGATGTTTTTAAATTGGAAGGACAAAGGATAGATCCTTCTTTATTTAACTTTGAATCATGAGCTTGCTTCTCAATCACTGGAAAAGGACTGTAGGATATAGATGATGCCTTTGTGCCTTTCAAAGCTGCAGCTTCAGGAGGTGACTTTTCCTCTAAAGAAGCAATCTCATCAAACATCTTAGTTGAGGTCATTGTGATTCTCCCAGAGATTACGTTACCATCCAAGCCTTTCAGGAGGTCCATTGATGGTTTTGATCGCACCTCGTTAAATGCTTCTCCTTCTTGAAAATATGATAACTTACAACCTTGCGAACTCTCTCTGGAGACTGAAGATGTCAGGGCAAGTCCAAGATCTAATCTTGCCCATCTGTACACTGCGCTCAATTTTCCTTCCAATGCCTCGACAAGGATATTTAATTCATTGATGTCATAGCGAAATAGGAAAAATTTGGTAGTCCAACTGCATGCACACATCTGCTTTGCATGATTCAAGCATGCATACTTATCAGGAGAACAACTACATCCTGCTGCAGACAAGTGCAAATCAAAAAGACAGACAACGCATTCCCTTTCACTAGATGCATCAAAATTGCACTCCATCTTCCGTACTGGTGAAGAGTTGCACTGAAACTCTCTCTTTATACGCTCCATCTCCACACGCTCCTATATGAGGATAAAATAAAATAAAATACAAAGCCAAAGTAAAAAGGAAATCACAACAAAAGGTCAATATGATATTTCCTAATGATCTTTGTTTTATTGCTCGCATATTCACAGTTCCAACTTCTTCATCATGTTCTTACTTAATATTAAGGGCTCTATCTGGGAAGCATCAACAACTTAATGACTAAATATGAAGGTGAACACAGTAAAGTTGGCCATGAATATACCTAGTGAGTTTAGGTACAAACTCTAATTACTGCATTGAAATGAGCATCAGCCCACAAACTTAGCCTAAACAGAAAACCACATCAGACAAGTTTTTAGCAAACAATGCTATATCACATAAGTTTTTACCAAATGTAAGCATTAGAGTTGGACAGGGATCCCAAATCCAGGCTTGCTAGTTCACAATTCCAGAAAAGATTGAGGAAAACATCAGATGATTTAATCCAGAAAAACTTAAGAACAAAATCAAATGGTTTGAATATCTACTCTTAAAACTCTTTGTTTCCACCATAATGATATTCTTAGTTTCTCTCTTCATCTTGAGATTTCTCTAATAATATAGGACTCCAGCAAAGATGTTCAAGTTACTCAATTAATACATCCTAGTATACCTTGTGATAAATTCTGGGCCCTAGGAGAAATTAGTTACTTTCATTAATTCATTTACTAATTTGGCTTTATAATGAGTTGATCTTCCCTTTATCACAAGATGGATTAAACCACTTTGGTTGGTTCATCTTTCTCATCATATACCATATACTCTTTTTGGTATTTAACTAATACGGGATAAACCCACACACATCTACATTCCCCTCATGTGACAATTCACCACTTGAAAAGCAAATGATGGCCCAACATGGACCCATCATGGTACAACCCAATCTAGAACTTCCCTTACGCAGTATGGGTCTAGGTCCCAGGCTCTGGTTCCATGATAAATTATGGTCCCTATGAATAATTAGTTAAATTCATTAATTCATTTAATATTTTGGGTTTATAATGAGTTGAGCTTGCTTTTAACACAAAATGGCCTAAGCATTCTGGTTGGTTCACCTTTTGCATTATATGCCATATACTCTTTATGTATTTAACCAATGTAGGACTGACCCACACACATCTACGCCTTGCTAAACTGTAAACTTATCACTGACATTTTGATTTATAAGGATCCAGAATCTCTAATAAATAATTGTACAAACTTCAAATTGCAAAGTGTTCCACTATGACAATTGGCCAAATGAAAAAAGAACCAAAAGAAGCTGAAGTTTACCTTAAGTGCTTTTGCTAATATCCCATCCCTTCCACACACATCCCTCCATCTTAAGTTATCAACTGTATTCTTTTTCAGTAAATTAAGCTCCCAATGAGCTTTCACAGCTTCCCTTGCGGCCCCAAGCAACAGTTTATCATGAGATATGGAAGTTCTCCGTCCCTGCTCACGGTATAGCTCTATAGCAAGCTGCCCATGGGGCAACCAGTCAACCGGAGCTACATTTACTGCCTCCGCGCAATTGAAACCACAATTAAATCCTGAATGATATGCTCGAGGAAAGGTTAGAACAAACTCTCCAGAATTTTGTACACACCGATAAACTGGCACCCCTTCAGATTTTAGGATGGAGGGAGAGAGTTGTGTCACCTGCAAAAATAACAAGATTAGAACACAACAGAATTATAAATCTAGGAAAAAGCAAACTGCTCAGGTAGAAGACAATTTGTCAATTATCAATCATCCATGAACTCAGAAGAACGACATGCCGTAATCTTACTACTGTTGTGCGTCACCAGATGGCACTTGGTATGGTTGGGTTCTCCAGATTTAGTTGTAAATCACTTCATGATGATAACAGTAGAAAGATTATCTTTTTTTTTTTCAACTCAACTTCCGTCAAACTCCATCTTTATGAACAATTTCCACTTGTTGTTTCTCCGCTTGACAAATAAAGTTATCTAAAGGAAAATGTGTGTGTGTGTGTGTGTGTGTGTGAGAGAGAGAGAGAGAGAGAGAGAGAGAGAGAGAGAGAGAGAGATTTAGTTTGTAAAATCACTTCATGATGATAACAGTAGAAAGATTAATCTTTTTTTTTTATCAACTCCAACTTCCGTCAACTCCATCTTTATGAACAATTTTTCCACTTGTGTTTTCTCGCTTGAACAAAATAAGTATCTAAAGAAAAATGTGTGTGTGTGGTGTGTGTGTGTGTGAGAGAGAGAGAGAGAGAGAGAGAGAAGAAGCAGAGAGAGAGAGAGAGAAGGAAAAATTCAAGACTGTGTGTGTGTGTGTGTGTGTGTGAGAGAGAGAGAGAGAGAGAGAGAGAGAGAGAGAGAGAGAGAGAGGAAAAATTCAAACTAGCAAGAGCAAAGAATATCTGAACCCTTCAAAAGACCAGCTATAGCTGAAGCAAGTGAGCAAGTGATAACTGAACAAAAAATATGAATGATGATACATTTTTCACAAACAAAAGGAATGGCATTTAAATTTTTCCATAAAATAGAACACTCCACTCCACTGATTGAATCTCATGCTCTTGTTCTATTCTCTTATGGAATGTTATACCGTTCAAAATGCCACAAGAAAGTTGAGGAACAGAATTTTTTAACTTCACTTTTTTTGGAAGTGCTCCATTTTCAGAAACAAACTATGGCAGAATATTAGGAACTACCAAAACAGAAGGTGCGAACATGTCCAGTCATTATATCAGTTGCAGGAAAATCCCAAGTTGAGCATGTCAAGCAGATAAAAGAAAGGAGAAAGCCAAAAGGCAGAAACAGTATGACCTTTTAAATATTTTCAGTTTTTGAGTGAAATGCAGGAAATGATTATAACACAATGATCAGATCAGACTCAAAACATGAAGTTTAGAATTCAAGACCATGAGGACCGACTAGGATCCCATGATCTGAGCCACTGCGTCATAAATGTAATTTGACCACCAGAAGTGTTTTGCTCAATTTTCTTTTTCTAGCCAATAAACATGTCCAAACAACTAAGCAAGCAAATATTTTATTTTATGGAATCTAACAAAGTACACCACAGAACAGGAAGTTTTACTCACCAGCTTATGAAGTAAGTCAGGTTGTTCTTCAAAAAGATCAGGTAAATGCTTTCTCATAGCCACTTCCAATTTAATGGCATCCTTTCCTGGGACACCATACCACATTTTTGGAGCACCCCAATGCATGTAATTCAGTGAATACAAGTGATGATCTTCAACATGCTGTTTCAATATCATCAAACAAAAATGAACAGACAAATTGGTAATCATCAGCATCTAAAACAGACATGAAGTTTATTGAAGCAAATTAGATAACAATTTAATTCCAGCAATAAATTTAGCATTTAAAGTAGGTCAGAACAGATGTTGGAAGTTGATTTGTATCTCATAATCTTAGAAGTTTGAAAAACTAAAGTACTGGTTGTCACTCAGTAGCTTTATTGCATAGTGCACAGGAAGGGAGAATTTAAGCCTTTTCAAATCGTTGACAACAAAAGAAAAATATAATAATGTTCGTCTCTTTTTTTTTTTTTTTTTTTTTTTTTTTTTTTTTTTTTTTTTTGGCAGAAATGTGCACCTCTCAATAGTCATTTTTACGAAATAAATTTATTTCAAAAACTGTCATCACAATCCTAGCCATGCCTAAGCCTAGCATATAAATGATGCACACACAAGCACATTAAACTGCATTCATATGAGTTACAAGGTTGTGAGGTATATTCTCAATCCACATCCAGGTACCTATCTGTCATTCATTCTTTTTTCCTGAAGCGAAACAGTGGTTTATGCTAGGTTTATGAGACATTGGACCTTACCCAGCAGAAGGAAGAAAAACACATTCCTATATACAACCATGGCACCAAGACACCAGATATGTCACCACTTTCATAGGAAAGGACAGATCCAGGAAGCCTTGGAAAGTTATTCAAGTTCCAGCCAGACTTTGCATAATGTTCGTTTATATCAGAACCAACTTGACTGGATATTTTCGGAAACCCACTGCCAAAAACACCAGTCTCCAGATCAGCCCCATAAAGCACCTAGAAGACAAAATAATGAATAAGTATCCTAGTTCACTTGGCAAATTATTTTGCAAGAAAGAGACGAGTGAGATGGAGTAAAACAGAAAGTACAGGTAAGTAATTAAAAAAATAAAATTATTCATCGTTTGATCAACTCTCAAACAATACCTCTATTTCTTCAGTAGCTTTCTCTACAATCCGCCAATATTCACCCTCAATATTGTCCACTGTTGGCTCCCAGTTTTCATCGAGGACTGCCACGCTACCTTCCTTATTTATGATATTATCATTCTTCCTGAAGTACTGGTTCTTGAAATCATCAGCGTATTTCTGAAATGTATTCAAAGTAAACTCTGGACCAGGTGCAAACCCAAAACCCTCAGCCTCACAAACACCAGCATCACTGCAGCCTGAGATACTTTCAATATCTGTCCTACCATCGACTGCCATTCTCATACATTTTCTCCTTTTTTTCCTAGTATGGTTATATAGCCTTGACATCTTTTTCAAAGAATCTCGATTCTGTAGTTTGTCAACTCTCTGGACACGAGTAGCAAATGTAGAACCCTCCCAAATAGATTTTTCCTTCAGAGGACACGGTGGTTTCCAAGAAGGAGGAGGAACAATGCGACAGATTCCATATGGTTCAGCTTTTGGCCGTATGCTAGCTATGTATTTCAAAGTATCTTCAAACTCCTAGAAAATGGTTATGGACAAGTTCAGAATTTCTGATTTTTAAAACTAAGGAATTATCAAATCCAAAATTGAAAGCAAGTTATTGACGCGGATTTTGAAACAACTAAAATACTAAAAGGAACAATATAAACCTCTTCAGTAGGGTAGAATACAGGAGCATCCTCAATATCAGGCCTGCGAGCATATTCAGGATGCCATCTCGCAGTTACCTATACGAAAGAGTTACACATCATTTGCATTATATTTCAAGACAGACAGTCTAAAAGCAAGTGCCAATGCCTACAGCAAGCTTACGAAACAATAACCACACTGCACAAAAAGATCAATAAGTATGCAAGAAATTATTAAAAAAAAAAAACCTTTTGGCAATTAATGCATTGTGCACACCCACGAATAACCCCCTTTGGAAGGGGCGGCCTTAAACTAAGATTCTGCAATGAAAATGATACGTAAGTCACAAACTGTACGTTAAAGCACTTGCGCATTGATATGGTGTCAGATACTAAGAAATAAGGAAAACCAAAAGCAGATAACAATTATAACCTTCCAAATTCAAAAAATAAGCGTGCAAAAAACTAAAAACTAACTTGATTGAGCTTTGCAGAATCAGACTCATCCTCTAGATTATTGTCCAATTGTCCATAGTTTATCCAAGCTCTACGTCGGAGAGATCTCGTAATTTTTGTGTCGGAACAAACATCAGACTCCACTTCCATCTTAACTGATTGTAATTCAGAAGTACTTGCAGTTGCAGAGGTTGAACAACTAATTACATCTTGACTTTCGTGGTTTTCACTTTTTTGCATCCTCTTTAATGTGAAAGCAGCAAATGATTCAAAACCAGGTGGAACTGATGGGATTTCATCATTCTCTTCCTTAACACAAAGGCTCATGAGCTCAGTTCCCATCAATACTGTTGTCACAAAGACAATAAATACATTACTTATAACTTGCTCTTTTCGACTAGTAGCATGGTTGGGAACACAATATAGTAGTAACACCCTACAATGCAGGCCTGCGTGCAATGAGAGTTCAAATCCTTATATATGCGCACATATAAGAACACAACTAGCATTGGAATGTCAGAAACTTGAAGTAGCATCAACTCCTAAATAATGGTAGAATTTTAATTAGACTACCTTGAAGTGAAAGAGACACTTTAAAAAGGAAGACAACAATGAACTGATCACACAACAGCTATACTTGCATCTCAGTTTCAATGGATGATGAAATCAGTTTGCACCTAAACAGCAAAATCCATGGCATACATTATGTTGTCTGAGCCTCATTAATATGATTTGATCATTAAATTGAAAGATCTCAAACATTAATCCTTCATCAAGGACAAGATGCATAATCCATTATTAACATGATCTCAAAAATTCATAATCAACAATGAAATTGAAATCCATCTATCAGTTAACACAAACCTAGGAAGTTAAAAATTGATGACAAATTCACAAAACCAACCAAAGTCTTCACAAAAAGTCAAAATAAATTGCACAAAATAAATTAACAAAATTAGAAATAATTAGAATTCGAGCTTACATATTCCTGATCCAGAATCTGGATATTCCACTCCACTGAAAGCAGCTTAAACTCCACTCTCACTACACCCAGGTTCAGAAGCAAGAACCAATATTATTAAAAGAAAGAAAAATATTAAAACCTAATTTCATAAAGTGAAAATTGTTTTAAAAAAATTTGAATCAGATTATAGCAGATCTAACCCTAACCCTAAAGCACACTTTTCCTACAGCCAAAAAAAAAAAAAAGAGGAAAAAGATCGCTATTGGAAGGGCACCCACAATTCCAAATATGACAAACAAGACCCACCACACCTTTCAAACATCAACAAAACACCAACAAAAAAAATAATAATATTAAGGAAAAATATTTTTTTTGGAAAAAAAAAAAAAAAAAAAAAAAATATATGACCCAAACCTAGGAGCATTAAAAATTGGAAATCGACTTTCTATTAATAACCAATCCCGTGTTTCTTTGTAGCCAGAAGGTCATATATATATTGCAATAGTTAAATATTTACGAATTGAATATTAGATTTCTGAGCTTACATATTCCATGATGCGCTATGAATCTGGATATTTCTCTACTCCGTGATGGATTATGACTGAAAGCAGCTTAAACTCCACTCTTCGGGACCTTCGATTGTTTTTTCTTCTTGGTTTTTGAGCAAGCCTTTATATATAGGTGTAATGTTCCTATTTCACTAATAGTTGACATTGTGTTCGTTAAAAATATTTTGAATCAGAGTTTATATTTGCAGAATCTAAGACCGCTGTTATTATCCGCCTAAGCCGTTTTTTCCGTGAACACGGCCAAAAAAGAAGAGAGAAATAGAGTGAATAGAAACGATCCGCTAATTTATGAGGAATTAGGCGAGCACCCTTTCACGGGAATTCCAAATAGACACAACATAGAGCCGGCACTCTTAACATGCCTTTTCAACACATCGAACAAAGACGACCAAGCCAGAAGATAAAAAAATAATTACACTAACATTGAAAAGAAAAATATATATTTTTTTGTGGAAAAAGAAAAACAATATAAAAAAAACGCTACATCAAAGACCAGCACGATGAACTACAAAATCAAAAAAAAAAAAAAAAAAAAACGCTACAACCAGTGATGAACTAAAAATCTGGGTGTAATAATCCAGAAGAAAACTCTATTCAATCACAGAAAAAGGATAAGGGCAAATCTGGAAGAAAATTATTAGACTTATTTTTTCAGCAACAAACTCTAGAAACATCTATCCAATCTTTAATAATCTACACAAAAGGAAGAACAAACCAAAAAGAAAATTGTTTCTAGAAGAACATTTATCTAATCCATGTATCTATCTATGTTCATAACAAAAATATATAAAAAAAAAAAAAGAAAAAAGAAAAATTATTACCTCTTTTATTGTTATTTTTATTATCATTGATATTATTATCAAGGACATGTGCCCTTAATAATAATAACAAACAACAGTATGGTGTTTCAGTTTTTATGAGGCCTGTGAAGAAATGAAAATTTTGTAAAAGGGCAATCTGGGAATATGAGAAATAGTTAATTAATTATGGATTTAATGAAGGTTTAAGAGCTGAAAAATCAGTTTTGTTTTAGGATTAGGGGGTGAGAAGACGCGAGAAATTGACGATATTTCTCTTTTTCAGTGTTTTTTTTTTTTTTTTTTTTTTTTTTCACAAATTCTGGGTTTGGTCTTACCAGAGTTTTTGTTGTTTTTCAGTGTTTTTTTTTTTTTTTTTTTCAAATTTTGGGTTTGGTCTACCGAGTTTTTGTTGCGTGAACGAGAGAAAGAGGTGAGGTGGAATGCTGAGTTGTAGCGACCTTGCAAATGTCGAAGCGCAAATCTTAGGGCGCCGCGTGAAATTTCCTCTAAAGGGGCAAAGCAGAGTTCTGTTGCACGAAATATGAATAAAGTTTAATTTGGCTCCGGATAAAAATGTAAGACTTGATTTTTGAGTCAATTTAATTTATAAATTAATTTAAAATGATTTTAAAAAGCTCGGATTTCACCCTTCAGATCAATTTAATTTTGAATTTTTTTTAATTAATGATTGGATTTAATACAATAAAATTAATTTTTATCCCTTTTTATTTTACAATAAAAATACTTAAATCAAAATTTTCCAATATTTTTAAAAATATCATTTCTTCCCTTCTTCTACACTAAAAACACTCAAATCAAATTTTTTTAACACTTTTAAAGAATCATTTCTTCTAACATATGGTATATTCACCAAATATGCAATATAACTTTAATCTGTTCAATATGAAAAATGCATGAGTTTCATAAGTAACAAACTATAAAGGTCGAATTTAAAATATTTAAATTAGTACGAACTTGCGAGCTTAAAATCATCTGTTAACGTAAAAATGGATGCAATATACTTCACATATTATTTTTCTTTATTTCATATTTAATTACTTTTTTAATAAATTATACATTTCAATGTTAACCACAGTTTTAATAACTGTCTATATAAATATTGTCATCATGTAAATACAGTAAAAAATCTGAGTTTAAATCAGTCCAAAAAATTAAATTTGATTTTTTAATCATTCTAAATAAAAATTTTGAAAGTACCTTGGCCAAAACGATTAATTCCAACCTTTTTAATCCTTTCAAACAAATTTAATTTGTCTTTATTGCAAGATTACATATATATATATAAGAGTGAGCATTTGGTTCGAATTTTTCGAAGTTGATTTTGTTTGGGTTTTTAATGTGATTGGTTCAGTTGGCTTTATATTTAACTAGGCGAAGGCATACACATTACCCAGTTTGTTTTATTATTATTTTTTAAAAATATTGTTTTTACACATTAACCCAGGTTTGTGTTATTATTATTTCTTTTTTAATATTAGTTTTTATTTAGTATATTATATTATATATATTATATATATTTTTATATATTATTACAATTTTATTGCATTACTAATATATATATTTACAATTTATAAATTGCATTTACTAATAAATTAACAAAAATAAAAATATCTCTTAATTAAAAAATAAACTCCAAAAATTTAAATTAAGCGTGAACCAATAAATATAGTTATACATATAAAGTTTTGAAAATAAAAAATAAATTTAAGAGTCTTGTTAACTTCAATTATACACAATTTTGATTGGATATTATTGTCGTGCAGGAACGATGACGAATGCAAAAAACTCTTCATGAAAATGCATGATTCCAGTAGATATTGAATTCGATGAGGAGTGTGATGATTAATGCTTAACCGCGAGAAGATAATTGGATTATAAAAATAAGCAAAAATGTGTGAAATACATTAACTGATGCCCTATACAAAAGAAAAAAAAAAATCAACATACAACAAACTAATAAAAGAAAAAAAAAAAAAAAAAAAAAAAAGCATAAACAGTAACATTTATAGGACTATAGAATTTAAACAATACTAACTATAATTTTATGCAAAAACCAATCATCTTTCATCATTTTGGAAATTTTAATAAATTGATATATATATTAAATACAGATGTCAGGTACAAAATTAAAAAATTTTCAAAAGCTAAATTATCGATTAAAAAAATTTTATATTTTGAAAAAATTAAACCCAATTAAAAAAAAAAAAAAAGCAAAACAGTAACCATATAGGTATAGAATTTAAAACAAACTAACTATATATTTTATGCAAAAACAATCATCTTATATTTTGAAATTTTCAATAAATATGATTATATATAAATACAGATGTAGGTACAAAATTAAAAATTTTCAAAAGCTAAATTATCATTAAAAAATTTTATATTTTGAAAAAATTAAAACCAAATACAAATAAAATAGAATAGTCTTTAAATTATATTATATTTCAAAAATATATTGCTATTATGTAAATATTAATTTTAAAATTAAAAAAATATAATCATCCAATCAAAACATGGAAAAATAAAGAAAAAAAATCTGAAAATTCCAATTAAAAATTTTCAAAAGCCAAATTATTTTAAAAAAAATTAAATTTTAGAAAATGAAAATCAAATACCAAATAAAATAAAATAGTTGTTAAATTATATTAGATTTCAAAATATACTGTTATTAAAAAAATATAACCATCAAATCAAAACATAGAAAAATAAAGAAAAAGTCCAAAACTTTATAAAAAAAAAAAGAATTCATAATTGCATCGCTAACCTATGATAAACAACTAAATTTATTTGATAGAAATTTGTTTCACCTACACCTAATGAATAATTACTTTGTGTGAGAGAAAAATTAGAGTACAATTTCTAATTAAATGAATTATCATTTTTTTATTATATATATTTTCTATACACTATAGAAAAAATAAAAAATAAATTTCAATCCATTAATAATAAAAAAAATAATTTCTTTATTTATGTTCAGTTTGTTTATTGAAACTTTAGTTTTTCGTTTACTGATTTATTCAGTTCGATTTAATAATTGGCTTAAAATTAATCAAATTAACTAAGTGCTCAACTCTAAATATAAAAATACATCCTTTTTATCCTGTTTGTTTTTTCTTTTTCTTTTTCTTTATTTTTTTGTTTAAACAATTAGGACTGCATATTGTAGGCCGGACCCAGCTATTGTAATTCGTTCAAATTAATTAGTTTTAGAAGATCAGGAGAATGTATACTTTTATCGTAAAACTTTGAGTTGTTTAAATTTGTGAAATTTATTTAAAAATTACAAATTTTTAATAGAATTTGATTTAACATTCAAATTATAGAATTGAATTTGTAAAATTTAATTCTTCAATTTTTTTTTATATCAAACATGAAAAATTAAATTTACAAATGAATTTCACACAATTTTTGTAGAATCCATTTATTTTAAATAAGAGTAACTTCCCTCCCTTGTCAAAAGAGTTGTTGACCTTTCCTTGGAAAAAAAAAGTTGCTGATATTGCACGAATAAATTGAATTGAATCAAATGTAATTTATTTACACAGTATGATTTTAAATCGTTAGTGATAATTGAATCGAAAATTATAGGAATTATACAAAATAATCATCAGTAACATTTCTAGAATGTATAAATGTATTATATATTAATAACGTGTTGATTGAGATGAAAAAGATCACACTCCTCGTAAGAATAAAAATAAAAATTCGATACTAGGAAAATTTATAATAAATTGTAATCTTCAATTTGAACACTTGCAATTAAAAATTTTCAATATTTTAATTTGAAAATAAAAATTTTCAATTTTCAATTCTTTAACTTAATATTTATATTATACACCATAGTGTAGCAGTGAGAAGTATACGTACGATTTGACAATTAACTTGGGTTTGGGTCCCTTCCTCAATATTAAAAAAAAAAAAAAACTCAATATTTATGTTAAGTTGTGTTATGGGCTTCTGAAACATTCTGTATTATTCAGCTTTAACAAACTTCTATTTTGTTTTTCCAAATAGCAGATACATGAGTGTTATTTTTTTTTTTTTATTTAGATCCTTACATATATTAATTTGTTTTATTTAGATTTGTGTTAAAATATTATTAATTTTAATTTATTTGATAAAATTAAAATAATTTTAATTTAATTTAAGTTACATAATTTTTTTATTAGTATATGGCTCATTGAGTGCACTAATTTGTGCAACATAAATAATTAAATAATTAATTTTTACATTATATAAATAAATAAAATGGGTGTAATTTTGAAAATATATGTGAAATTTTAGGAGGAATTTATACCTTTTGGAGTTTCTGTTTTAAAAAATTGTCCAATAAATCCCAATAATAATAGTAAGCTAAGCGGACAGAGGAATAATCTAGAAGGCTAGAACCCTCTCATCTTGCCTCCCATTTCGATCGATCCCACAGGAGAAAAACTCCTAGTCGTGCTTCGAAATCGATGTCGATCCCGCCATCTTCAACGTCGGCCTCTTCAGCTTCGCAATTCACATACACGACAACGACGCCAACAGCAAATGGTTCGTATTTCCCAATGCCCTTTCACCTCCAGCAATCGGTCCAAACTTACGCGGCTCCGCCGGCGGTCCTACCGGCAGTAGCGCCTGTTTACCCCGCCCCTGTCGGACCCGTCTATTCTCTTCCTCAATATCAGCAGGTTAGCGTCAAAATATTATCAGGGGTGACAATGATTATATAATACGCACGTTTAAGTTATGAATTCTTTTCTTTTCTTTTTTTTTTTTTTGGTTTTTTGTTTCAATATTGAATGTTCTTGTCGCATCAATTTGGGATTTAGGGTTTTTTCGAATCATAATTTGGTAAAATTTAGGAAAAAGTATTTACATGAATACTTCTCTTGGATTTTGAAGTAGTTAATCGTAAAATAACATTCTTTTTGGACCAAAAAAGTTCATATTAGATTGAGTAACTAATTTGTCTCTTTGAATCCTGGTTATTTTGATGTAATTTAATCGACAAACTAAAGCTGACATAGTTTCTGTATTCATATATTTGTAAGCAAGTAAGAGTGTTGGAATGTAATGGTAGGACGCATATATTATATACTTCAAGTGTGTGATATGGAAGTGTATTTGAACAGGCACAGCAGTTGTTTCAAAGGGATGCACAAACGATTACCCCTGAAGCTCTTGAAAGTGTGAAAGCAGCCCTTGCCAGTAGTGAGATTGAGCACAAACAAGAAACCAAAAAGAAAGCAGTTCCTCGAAAAGCTGCTGGCCAGACTTGGGAGGACCCAACGCTTGCCGAGTGGCCTGAAAGTATGATTCATCTAACTCAATCTTTGCTTCTTGCATTTTTGGACCTTATTTTCTTGCTAGGCTGTATTTGTATCTCTTCTTATGTCTTTCTTAGATTATGCGTACTATTTGGTTTGTATAATCTAATTTTAATAACATTTTGCAGATGATTATCGACTTTTTTGTGGTGATCTTGGTAATGAGGTGAATGACGATGTTCTTTCAAAAGCATTTTCCAGGTTTCCTTCCTTTAACATGGCCAGAGTAAGTTTTTGTTTCACTCTGTTTGTTGAATTTTTCTAATGGCAAATTACTTTTTTTGCTCATTACATTTGCATTCCAATCCACATATGGTTGACATGCAACTTGCCAAATGATGGAATAATTTACATCCCAAAAATGCACAAGCTGACATTGAACAAAATCATTTGCTTGTGACGTTATTTTGACAGAATAGGGTTTTATATGTCAATATTTGAAAAACCTGTCATTTTGCTATTACTGTGAATGTGAAATCCTTAAGATAGAAAAAGTCAGGTTGACAATTTAATATGAATATGGACAGCTGGAAGACATCCGGAGCTTGACTTGCTTATATTTCACATGACTCATGGACTAATTGAGTTATATAGCTGATTCCGTTGATTTGAATTGAACAAGTTGGAGTCAGGTTAGTAAGCCATTAAAATTTTCAAGTAGGCTATACTATGTTGATATTCCTAGGAATGTCGTGTCTTGGGTACATTTTGCTATCCAAAACTTCTTTCGTTAACTTGTATAACTTGGGTATGTGTTCTCTGGCTAAGCTAGTATCTTGAATTTGGTGACTTGTTTACTGGCTGAACTTGTGAAGGGTCTGGTATAGCATTCGATTAAGTATTTTAGTAGAGTTGTTTCATATCCATTGGACAATGTTTTGGCTGGACTCTTGGATGGTTGGACCAGAAGACCTTTTTGTTGAACTTTTGTCCTTTTCTTGTGTCAATGCCTTAGAGGAAATGTTATTGCTTTTAAAAAAGTCAACACATATAGAAATATCAGCATTAAGCTTCTTTTGGTTAGTTACAAATTATTACTAGCTTAGATTTGAACGGCCAACTGCAAATTCTACTTGGATCTTTCGCGCTTGATTTTCTTAAGTTGTTTTGTGATAAATCTTGTATATGAAATTATAAGTGATCTTCAAAATTTAGTTGTGGAATTAAGCTACTCATTAGCCATCATCATGTATGAGCCTGGGGCATATTGCAGGATAATAATCTGTCTAATTTTCCTCATAAATTTTTCAGTATTGTTTCTGTGGGGATTGATTTGAGCTAAGCGCTGTGATTGTCTTGCTAGATTGCTTTTTTTTTTTTTTTTTTCCCTTAAGTTTGGGTTTGTGTACTAAATTGTATATGAAATTATACGTGGGTTTCTTCACATTTAGTTTGTGGAATGTTCAGCATACTCATGTTAGATCTTCCATGTATGAGCCTGGGGCATATTGCAGGATAATTAATCTGTCTAATTTTCCTCATAAAAAAAAAAATATTTTTTCAGTATTGTTTCTGTGGGGATTGATTTGAGTCTAAGCGCTGTGATGATCTTGCTAGTTGGCTTTTTTTTTTTTTCCTCCTTTTTGTGTGCATTTCTGTTTCTTGATTTTTTTTTTTTTTTTTTTCCCCCTTTTGTGTGCATTTCTTTCTTGATATGTTGGCTTGTAGCATGCATGATGCGTGTGGTATAATGCTTTCCTTTTTCTCTCCTGGATTGCTGCTAGAGGTTTTTGGTTCTCCCTTTCTATGGTTCATACTTCTGATCTCTGTCAAACCCTTTTCCCTAACCATGTAGACTAGATGGCCAGGTAGTGCATCTGTGAATTTTTTTTTTTTTTTTATCATATAATTGATTGACAAGTATATTTACTTAAATGTTTGTGTCACCACATGATAGGTCGTCAGAGATAAGCGAACTGGCAAAACCAAGGGCTATGGATTTGTTAGCTTTTCCAATCCTACTGACCTTGCAGCAGCACTTAAGGAGATGAATGGTGAGTAAACTTTAATCTTTTCTTAAGAGTTGTGCATGTTTCTGGTGTCTGCTATACTATAACAGTGCAATTGTGTTTTTTTTTTGTGGGGTTGCCGGCCCCGGGGGAACAGGGGAATGGGGAAATCAACAGTTGGGTGCGTGAGCCCTATATATTTACCATTCAATCCTTTTGTGTTACAAATATTTTCATCTTCTCCCACAGTCTGCATCTCTGTTATTGCACAGCTGATATAATGGATATGGGCGTTGAGGGGATGTTTCTGTCAAACATGGATGGGAGATTTAGCAAAAATAGAGATTAATCTCGAAATGCATGTGCTGACTATCTTGTAACCTTGATTTAGGTAAATATGTTGGAAATAGGCCCATTAAGCTGCGGAAGAGCAATTGGAGGGAAAGGACAGACTTTGAAGCTTTAGAAAGACAAAAGGTTACATTTCTTTAAACTCTTTCTTTGCTAGTTCTCTCTAGAATATTTATTACAAATGGCCTCAAAAGGTTATTTTGTGGTCATTGTTTCTTATAGGTGGATCCCTCAAGTGGAGGGAGCCTTGTAGTGCTGAATGGTTTTCAATCTCTTGTTGTATGCTTACATCAAATGTTTTTCTGATGTGGGCAGAACCACAACTTGAAGAAACCGAAGCTTCCTAAGAAGAGTATACTGCACAAGTAAGACATAGAATGACCATTCCTATGCTGTCACCAAAAGGTCCAACGGAGCAGCATTCTCAGATGGTTGTCATTTTAATTTCCTTTATTTGTGTCCTTCGCCGGTTGATGCTAAGCCAAGCAGATGTAGAGTTATGGGATTGTATGTGCCATTTTAAGTAAATTACACCTTTTTAAAGCTTCCTGCTCTTTTACTTTGCATTTTGTGTGGGTGAGGGAGGAAACTGGCTTTTGGTTTTGGGTTGCTGTAAAGAAGAGTATACTGCACAAGTAAGACATAGAATGACCATTCCTATGCTGTCACCAAAAGGTCCAACGGAGCAGCATTCTCAGATGGTTGTCATTTTAATTTCCTTTATTTGTGTCCTTCGCCGGTTGATGCTAAGCCAAGCAGATGTAGAGTTATGGGATTGTATGTGCCATTTTAAGTAAATTACACCTTTTTAAAGCTTCCTGCTCTTTTACTTTGCATTTTGTGTGGGTGAGGGAGGAAACTGGCTTTTGGTTTTGGGTTGCTGTATTTTTGCCTTCTTCAAGCTGAAGCACATTTCAACCTTTCTTAAGGTTTCCAAACGGCTGGTTCCTAATTCACACCCTTTCTGTCAATAACTTGCCAATCATGTATTAATTGACTTCATAGGTGCCTTAAAACGGTTAGAGAACATTACACAAGGCATTGATAGGCGTTAAGGGGGCTGTGAAAACGAATTTCGATCAGAGTTTTTGTGCCACAAGAATTATATCAAACATAATTGCAAAATCCTGTAACCACGAATCACAAATGCAAGCGCACAAAATCCATGCAAAGTTTCACTTAACTGAGAAAGATCGCCCTGCAGGAGGGAATGTATTGATAAATACAAAACTTCTGTACTTATTGTGATTGGAGATTATACAAATATGGATCAAAAACCTTTACTGATCAGCTAAATTTCTTGCTTTAGTTGCTGCGAGCCTCACGTAAACTGGAATGTTCCCTCATTTCCAAAACTTCCCTTACAACAATAGAAAAAATGAAGGCAAAAAGAAAATACTACATACTGCACACATCACACTGTTCTTAAAAACCCACGAACTTCAATCAGGAAGCTATTTACGTTCTTCCTAAACCTTTGGTAATTCATGCGATCTAGAATGGATGACAGCTGATTGGAGCTTGTAAGGGATTGTAATGCATTTGTCAGCCTTGATTTGAGTGTTGGACTTGGCTGCCTCTCTATCAATTCACTGGCTAATTTCTGCACCAAAAGCAACCTTCATATCAACCTCAAAAGACCTTATATTTTTATGACGTAAACAGCGAAATGCATGCGTCTATGCACGTAGTTACAACTGGAAAAGGGAAAAAAAAGATTAAGAAAGTTGACGGTTACACTGTGATATGAGTCTTGCTGTAGCAAATCATCTAGTTAAAGGCACCTATTTGACCATTCGATGATTGCAAATCATCAGAGACTCATATTCTACTTTGGAACTTGTATACCATAATAATTGTGAAATGTGCATTAGAACAATTGTTCAAATTAAAAACCCTAAAGACGTTATTCTTTAACATGAAAGAGTTAAGTTCTTGGAAACCTTTTTGCCATCAAACCAAATATTAATTAACAGGCAAAAGAAGCCTGACAAGCATTTCATTTTCATTGTGAATTGTAAATAAAGTACTTGAAACCAAAGTGAATCCTCCATTTTGACCCAAAAACTCACAAATGAATTCAAACACATACTCCATTCGAGGATACCTGGTACAGGTCTTGTTCACAAAGGATCAGTGGAAAGAGAGCATCTGCTGCAGGACTGACCAGATCAGGACTGGAAGCACAGTAAGGGAAATTAAAAAAAAAAAAGGGACAAGCTTCAGACATGCATCAGAAAATTGCATGCGCAATAACGAATTTCGTTAATTAAAAATCAACCTCAACCTTCACTCAATGCACAAGTGAAATTACCTACCTGTAGTCCTCAAAAAGGAGCAACTGTAGTAACAATCTAAGGAAGTGACCCAAGATGCCTTCTTGCAAATTGCCTTGCAGATCTTTAATAGTCATGGCATGTGATCCCAACCCTACTTTGTCAGCATGTGTCTCCTTGTAGTGGAAGGAAGCAAGAGCTTTAACAGCTCTCAGGCACATATTCACTACGTCAGTATCCTGTTCCAACAGAAGGGTAATTGAAATTGCTTAGTTCAGAACATAGACATCATTCACAATATTGAAGGGTTCAGCAAACAATTTCCATGTATAAGCCCAGTGAGAACACCTAAGCTTGCATATGGAGCTCTCAGAAACCTTTTTCTTATTGAAAGTCAAACTAGCACAAGTGAGTGCAGGCAACATTTTAAAAAACTTCTGCAAGTAAATGACTTTCAAAAGCACAGCAGGAAAATATAGCAGTACTTAAACATACCTGTCATGTAATAGGGAGCAAAGAAATTTACCTGGTGGTGTAGACCAAAGTCAAGGGTTCCGAGTACATGAGCAAAAGCTTCACTATTTAACCGTGCAATTGTTTCAGGATAAACTTCCAACATATGTGATAGCAGTGAGAAGTACTGCAGAATCATATATCATTTATCAGTTTTTTAAAGAAGTACCATAGGTTTACTTCTCATGATCTACAGATATCTTACATCGTGACAAAGCTTGGGGTATTTCAGCAGCTCCAAAGAAATCAATGGGGTAACTATGTGAAGACCGAAATAGACAACCTGCAAGACAATCTATGAGAAACCGACAGCCTAGTCTTCATACAGATCCTTCAATAAAAATTTACCTCAGATATATTTGTCCCCTGTGCCTCAATGGAATCTGATGAGAAATCAACCTGCAAAATGTTCATCATTTTTATGTTGTGATTGTTAAACATGTTCAAAATTAACAAACCTTCCTTTACTTTAAAAAGAATAAGAAAATGAGGAAGGAAGAAAGACAGTGGTACCAGATCTTTTGAACAAAGACTTGATAGAAGCTGAAGAAGAGCACGTAAATCTTTGTACTGCTCAGTCTTTGCCTCGCTGAGTAAGCTGCTTGAAAGAGACACTGATATCTGGAAAACAGAGATGAAGAGAATACATCAAAAACAAAAACATACTGTCCCATGCACCAGCTGGAATCACTCATAAGTTGCTTTATTTTTGGTTTTATTGCTGTAGAGGTTCTGTCCAAATTCTTAAATTTTTATCACAAAAACACTAGCAAGCCATAGAAAAACATATATATATAAAAAAAAAATGCTAAAGCACCCTGTTAAAGTGCAAATAAGATCACTAACAACTTTATGGGGAAAAACTATTTCAATGGAAGTGAGAAGAAAGAAGTTTCAGCAGTTATGTTTGTTCACACAAGCCTGAACTCACTTTATCAGACAAAAGAATCGGTCACAAAAATCACCTTGCCAATATTGTGAGATGAGTAGAGCTGAAGTAAACGCATGCAGAAATCAATAACAGCAGCAGTTTCTTTAGCCTCTAGGTAGGAAATTTGCCCATCCACCCAATCAACAACAAATTTAAGTAGCAGATAAACAACTGCGGACTAAGCAATAATGAAAGATTAGTACACAAATGTCTCAATTATATTAAGAAACGTCTTTACAAGGAAAGTGGAATTATTTCATAAAAGCAAACTAAGGTACCAGAAACTAAAAATCATTATAATAAAACACTCGATTATTTTGTAGTAAAAAACCAGAGAGCAGAGAACAAAAATATTGGCAAATGCAAATCAAAATAGAACTGATTGCATATCCATGAAATAAATTTTCAGCATATGCAACAGATCATATATATTCAGAGGGGCAACAAATAATATCATAAAATGGCACTTCCACTGCTCCATGTAAATTGTGAAAATAAAATAAGGCATTCAGCTTTGCAGTAAGAGTTAAAGATGTGAATTAGAAATGGAAGATCTGAAAACAAAGAATCATACATTCAGGTCGACCTATAATGAACATAAGCAGTTATAAATTGATATGTTACTATACCTCATGTTTATACACTTCAAGGAGAACCAGAACAGGGTGCATCACAGAGAATCCCATCTCATAAAGTGCCCTCTGGGTTCGAGGTTCTGAGGCACTAGCAGCTCCACGAAGCCGCTCTAACAAGCAACTGACCTACAGTGTCCATGTTGTTCCTCAAAATAATCATATTGTAAGAAAGTAAATAATATTTTTGGAATCAAAAATCTCATTTTCTTACTGATAGAATGACATCTGGTTGCTCAGCAACACTTTTGAGGTCGCTCTTGTTAGACAATTCCACCAAATAACTTGTCATATGACCCATGAGATCCCTCACATATCTTTAAGAAAAAACAGCACGCATTAGGCAGCTAATAATGTTTAAAATTAAATAACTAAATGAAAAGAAACCATACAAATTTGACTTACTGATTAGATGCCTCTGAATTTCTCATTCCAGAAGCCCCAAGAACAAGAGTTTGAGCCAGAGAGCGCTGAAAGAGAGTAATAATAACATAGTTATAAAGGAGAGGAAAAAAAAGGAAAAGAAAAACTGGGACAACATAGATAGCAAAGCAGATAACGATTTAAAGTTCTTACTTGATTAGCAGCATTTAACAAAAACAAAATCTTTTCATTAGCAAAAGCATTTGCTAGTTCACGCCAAGAGTCCTGTGAAATATTTTGAAATGAACTGGCTCAAACAATATTCTTTTAAATACAATGAAATAAAAGTTCTATACAATGAACTAGATCACATGTTAATTCAAAGTTTCCTATGGTAATCATAGCAAACGAAGATGCAGCTAAAACGAGATATGAATATTCCCAAACTTATAACTATAAGGCAGAACATCACTCAAGGGAATCACAATATAACAGTCAACGTTGATAGTGAACAATTAAAAACATATAAAGAATGACTCACCAACGTGACGAGCTGAACACAGATACTCTTTCGTCGAACCAGAGAATGGAGTAGTTGGTAGCAAGTGAGGGCCTGCCGGAAAAATAACAAGGAGCATGATATTTGTAACATCTCCCTAGCTGGGAAATTAACAGTTACACTAGATTGAATAAACCAAGCCACAAGACTTTTTTCCTATTTTGAGAACAAGTGCAACTTGCATAGCCTATAGATTACCAGAAGGATAAATTGTCAGGGAGATGATTTCAACGGGGATCACTCAAGTAACCAAAAAAGTCAAAAAAGAAACCTATCAAAAGCACAAGCCATATATTTTATAATTCATGACAATATTATTCTAGCAGATAATGGTCCAATATATATTAATGGATTTTGTTGCCTAATCCCAAACAGCTTATATAAATCTGACAAATTCTGAACTCTCCAGAAGAAAACAACCAGAGCAAGTGATACACAATCTACTTTAAATAAGAATTAGTATGCTTCAGAGAAAATAATTTCCACATCTGACACAATTGAAGTAGATTATCTTGGGCAAGCCATGTCAATCCCTGCCTTCAGGGACTCTGCATGCCTTATGCTGTGGATTAACAAGGCACAAACAGAATCAGGTCAACCTATGGACAGGTTTCCAAAGACAAGCATTCTAAAGGGTCCCATCTTGCTTCAGCCTATTTACTGGATTTTGAAGTAAATGGTGCCACTGACAGTAACAAACATCCCAAGAGACCTTTAAAACGGCTCCTAACTATTCATCATGCTAGTTTCGTTAAAGGCATAAATACACACATGTACATGCACATTTGAGCTAAATTTACCAGTACATATTTCAAACTGTACTTAGAAAATCATCCAGAAGATGTTCCTAACCAGGCACTCCCGTTCCCATTCATTGCTTTTGCCTCCTACTCTGTAAATAAATGACTAATTTCTAACCAACTTCGCTCAGGAAGTACCGCCTGTGGAACCTCAATATCCACGGGCTTATTAGCTAAATGACAATTGGCTCAAATAAAATTAAACATAGAACAAATAGAAAAATTAGAATGCAGGGAAAGCATGAACAAAAGAATACAAGCGCATTAACCAAAAAAACAGAGCAGGTATTAGTTAATATCAACTAATAGCAACTCTTAAAACAGCAAAGTCCTAAAACTTTTACCTGCAAATCCTTCTCCCCAGGGTAAGACAAGAGAGTTGTCACTGAGATGCGAACAATAATATCTAATACAAGTTTTCCCTGATTATGTTCTCCAAAAAAACTGAGCAAAGCTTTTCTCGAATGCAGTTGCTGAAACTGACATCCATGATCATGACTCGAATTGAAATTACTCTCCCTAAATTCTTCAGACATTACATATGTACGAGACCATCTCGCGAGAAACCATATAAGAGACTGCATAAAGCATCAGGTCAAGCAACCAAGATATCATGACTGGAAAGCAAAAAAGAAAAAATTCAACAAAGTATAAGTTCACATCAAAAGATTAGAAGTTCACTACTAGTATCATCTTCTGATTCATAAATACAAAAGTTGATCAGGAAACAATTGAAAGAATAATAAATATAATCTGTTTTTGTAATAATAAATGGCATATGTCAGTAGTAATAAGGCACATGGTATGCCTGGACAAAAAAAAGTGTAAAGCAGGCTCAAGTTGCCACAATAACTCACAGGAGCTAGAATGGGACCAGATCAACCAAAAATGAAAATTTCAGCAGCGACCCATCATATACCCTAATGCAGTTAAAATTTTCAAGCATCATAAATTGCAATTCACAAATTCATTTGTATAATTGATATAGACTTCATGTATATGTTAGCAAGCCTGTCCAGGTGTACAAGAGGTTCACCCATGGACAGAAAGCTAAGTCAGTCAAGTCCAGCAGTTAGCTTCTTTCTGTTTTGTCTGTCCAGCAGTTAGTTTCTATTCTGTTTTTCTGTCTTTCCCATGTTCTGTCATGTGTTTGCTTTCTTTTCGTCATTCTTGTTTTTCTGTCTTTCCCATGTTCCTGTCATGTGTTTGCTTCCCTTAAGTTAGTGGCGTTGGCTTTACCAATTCCACCTAAGGCAGTAAAAACTTCCTTATTTGTAGAGGCCCAGTTACTTATATTTCTGTATTTAACTCTTTCAATTTTCTGTTAATGAAATTCAGTTTGAACTTCTTCTACAGTTTTGAGACTCTAAACTCAAGAGGTTTTCAGGGTCCTCTATTGAGCTCTGAACGTCTGCAACCATAGCGTCGCCAGCGTACAACGCCCTTCGGTTCATCCCCAATCACCCACCAATCCCTCATTACCATCGCCCCATAACTAGATCCTTATCTAGGGACCATAAACAAAATTCGGTATCAGAGCCAATTAGTTATGGGCAGACTCCAGTTTCAGAACAACTTTACCAAACTCCTCAAAACATTGTCCTAGCCGGAGCAGCAAGCCAACAAGCTCGACAAGCAGAAGGTTGGGACCAGAATGACAAAAGCCAAAGCTTGATGCAATTGGCTTCTGGATTTGGACATCCTTGTAAAAGAGGCAATGTCTGCTAGCTGCTTGACAAGTCACTTCCAAGCCGGCCCGCCAACAGATAAAGGAATTTCTGGTATATCTCGTTTCTGAATCTACTGGACGGAAACACGCATCTGTACCCGAAACTTTACCAAACTTGACTCTCCCTCGTTCAATGGCCTCGAAGGACCCCCTGATTTGCCGTTAAAGCCGCTGCGAGTCACTTCTCTCCGTCATCCAACCTCCACCTCCGGAGGAAGAGAAAAGTCAGCTTGCGCTAGCCTATCATTTCTAGAGGGGCCAGCACTTGGCTGCCTATCATTTAGAGGGGGCAGCACAGCTTTGGTACATGCAATTATTGGAAGATATGCCGGATCCCACGTGGGAGGAGTTCACCCACCAGTGTAATCTTCGGTTTGGACCACCTGTTCGTAGCAACAAATTGGGGGAACTAGCCAAACTCAAACAATGGGGATCCGTAGCGGATTATCAAACTAAATTTGAGAGTTTGGTATCTCGTGCCGGCACACTTACCCAATTCCAAAAGGTACAATTGTACCTTAGTGGGCTGCAAGAAGCAATTGCTGTGGAGGTTGAATTAAATCAGCCTAAGGATTTGGTGACAGCAATGAGCATGTCTCGTTTGTATGAACGCAGGTTGTCTTCCAAAATCTCAAATTTTCGTGATACCAGAAAGGGAACAGCAGTGACAAACATAAGGCCTACCCGTTCTGTTAAAACATTAACCAGAGAAGAGATGGAGGATAGAAGAAAGAAGGGCCTTTGCTTCAATTGTGATGAAGCTTTTGTGCGGGGACATCAATGCAAAAACTCTTCTGGATTGAATTAGTTGAAGGAGAGACTGAAAATGCAGTGGCTGAATTCCATGAAGAAGAAGTCCCTCCAGAGATCTCATTGAATGCAATCACGGGAATCAGAAACCCTCAAACGATGCGTCTGGAAGGAAAGTGGAATGGGAAATCAGTTCTATGCAATCACGGGAATCAGAAACCCTCAAACGATGCGTCTGGAAGGAAAGTGGAATGGGAAATCAGTTCTGGTCCTTGTTGATTCAGGTAGTACACAGTTTTATTGCTGTTTCTGCCGTAGATCACTCAACGGCTTTTGTGGATAAAAGAGCAGATTTACAGGTTAACGTGGCCAATGGGGAATCTATCAATAGTCCTGGTATTTGTAAACAGTCCACTCTCTACTTGGACTCTTATTCCTTATCAATTGATTTATTTGTGTTGCCTCTAACCACTTTTGATGTAGTATTGGGAGTTAATTGGTTACGCACATTGGGACCCATTTTGTGGGATTTCTCTCTCATGAGTATGACGTTTTTTGCCCAGGGTTAACGGGTTGAATTATGGGGAATCCAGACTCCTAACCCTAATTTTTTATTGGAAGTTAACGCCATTCAGACTTCCCTAGAGGCTGACGTTCAATTGCAGAAATTGTTGGCAGAATTTACGGCCTTATTCAATACTCCCACATGTCTTCCTCCCAACAGGCCTTGTGATCATCGTATAACTTTGGAACCAGGAACGGGTCCAGTGGTGGTTCGCCCTTATAGATATTATCATGGGCAAAAAGATGAAATTGAGATGCAATGTTCAGCCATGTTGCAACAGGGCATCATCAGACCCAGCCGGTCTCCATTCTCCTCACCCGGCAATGTTCAGCCATGTTGCAACAGGGCATCATCAGACCCAGCCGGTCTCCATTCTCCTCACCCGTCATTCTTGTTCCCAAGGCAGATGGTTCATGGAGGTTATGTGTGGATTACCGGGAACTAAATTCGAAAACTGTAAAAGATAAGTTCCCAATTCCAGTAATCGATGAATTATTGGAGGAGTTAGGAGGGGCTAAATTCTTTACAAAATTGGATTTATTGGCTGGATACCATCAAGTCTGCATGTACAGTCCCGATATTGAGAAAACTGCTTTCCGCACTCACCATGGCCATTTCGAATTTTTGGTGATGCCGTTTGGCCTCACGAATGCTCCATCAACTTTTCAGGCATTGATGAATGAGGTATTCCAACCCTATTTGCGGAAATTTGTTTTGGTTTTCTTTGACGATTTCTTGGTTTTCAGTCAAACTTGGGCAGAACACCTCCATTGCCTGCATTTGGTCTTTCAATTATTGTCCAGCAATAAGTTATTTTTGAAGAAATCCAAATGTTCCTTTGCCCAGATCCAGGTTGCTTATTTGGGTCATGTTATAACTTCACAAGGTGTACAGGTTGATCAATCCAAGATTTCTGCAGTACTGGATTGGCCTCGACCCACAACCATTTCACAAGGTGTACAGGTTGATCAATCCAAGATTTCTGCAGTACTGGATTGGCCTCGACCCACAACCATTCGGGGATTGAGAGGATTTTTAGGGCTCACTGGCTATTACCGTAAATTTGTCCTGAACTACGGTATCATTGCTGCCCCTCTCACGGCGATGTTACGGAAGAGTTCATTCCACTGGAGTCAGGAGGCAATTGCTGCTTTTGATGAACTTAAGAAAGCGATGACATCCACTCCTGTTCTTACTCTTCCAGATTTCAGCCAGCCTTTCACCATCGAGTGTGATGCCTCTGATTCGGGAATGGGAGCTGTCTTGTTACAAAACAACAAACCAGTCGCTTATTTCAGTCGGCCAATGGCAGTCCGCCATCAGAAATTACCTGCCTATGACAAGGAGCTGATTGGGTTGGTCAAGGCAGTGCGGCACTGGAATTCTTATTTATGGGGACGCCAATTTATAGTGCGGACAGATCACTACAGTTTAAAATTCCTCCTAGAGCAGCGGACTCTTTCTTCCAACCAGCAGCACTGGATTAGTAAGCTGATGGGATTTTTTTTTACAGTGGAATACAAGGCTGGAAAGAACAATCAGGTTGCAGATGCCCTTTCTCGTCAAAATGCTGACATTGCTGTCCTTTCTGCAATTTCTATGCCGCAACTCAGTTTATTTGAAGAAATTCGAAAAGAACAAGAATCTTCACCAGAGGTACAGCAATTACTCTCTCAAGTTAATAACAAAACAGCACCGCCTCAGTGGAATTTCAAATAGGGCTTTCTGCTGTACAAAAACAGAATTTTTCTGCCGAAAGCCTCTCCTTCAATTCAACTGGTGGTAGCTGCCCTGCACAATCAGAGTCATGAGGGTTATCAAAAGACTCTCTACAGGATCACACGTGATTTCTATTGGGCAGGAATGAAATCTGTTGTTCGAGATTTTGTTCGGGCTTGTAATATTTGTCAACGCCACAAATCAGAAACATTGCAACTAGCAGGTCTTCTCCAACCTCTTCCTATTCCAACACAAATCTGGTCTGATATTTCTTTGGACTTTGTGGAAGGCTTGCCAATGTCCAAAGGGAAAAGTGTTTTATTGGTGGTGGTTGATCGATTTTCAAAATACGGCCACTTTATTCCCCCGTCTCATCCTTATACGGCTATAAGTGTGGCTCGTTCTTTTTTCGATCATATTTTTAAATTACATGGGCTGCCTGAAACTATGGTCAGTGATTGATGAGCGCATAGCTGATACGCAAAGGGCATTTTGGGTATATACCAGGAAAGGGAAGCCAGCTAAGAGAATCATCCTTGGGAAGGAAGAAAAGAGCAGTTACACGTCAGCATAGTTGGAAGGAGCTATCTCTCGTTTGAGTCGGCACTTCACATTGTCTTCTTTAGCTCAGCCCTCACCATCCCAACAATCTCGATGGTCACAACACAGAGGTTGCTAAACCTGCACAATTGAGATGTATCTCAGATGTTTTACAGGTGAGCACGCCTACTAAATGACAGATTTGGCCTCTTCATGGGCCTGGCAACTATTCTATAATACCGCGTTTTCACTCCTCTCTCCAAAGGCTAACACCC